TTTCTTTGGACGAATACAAATAATAGTTCGATAATTAATTTTAATTCATTTAATTGCATAGACATTAAATAAATAATATAACATCAAATATGAAATACAATTCAAAAACAAAGTTGGCCGTCACCTGATAATCGGCAGATGTGAAACATCTATGTTAATATTAGAATTCATATTCATAATTAATATATACCTATAACGAAATATGGAGTAAAATAAAGTAAAACTACGCATATCACACAAAGAAGCAACAGTGTATATACTCTGTTTTCCAATTACCGCAATTTGGCGCACAATGCCGAAGTGTGCTAATAGGTTCAGTGTTGAAAGAAAAAAACTAACTAATAAATACATAATAATATATAAATAAATTAAAATCAAATATTTCTAGCGATAATGTAAATAAAATGTTGATTAATGCCATGTTGAAGAAAAAACACTTCTTATATTTTCTGCTACTGAGATGTTATCCGTTGCGCGCATCACGCCAAAGTAGTACCTTTCAAAGTGCTAGATTTTACGGAGCGTTGCAGATGAAACATTCGAAGTTGAGCATAATGCCGCATAATGCGCTTTAGTGCTGTAATTGGAAAACTACCATAGGATCATCAACGAGCGCGCACACGCAAACGAGTCGAAAGCGGTCGCATAGAACAGGCATATATCCGTCACGCCACCGTTTGCTGTAATAACACGAATCAGTTTTACTGCCAAGGCGTGCCTATACCTATAGATGTTTCACATCAATAACATTATAATTGGACAGTATCAGAATTAAAGTAAATACAATAAGAAAAACAAAAAATATCATGACATTAATTTAATTATTGTAATATTATCTTAGTTTTTATCAACATGAATGGTACAAATGTCTATTCTAAGTTCTAGAATTTTCGATACAAAATGCCTACTTTTATATTGAATATTAAGATCTAAGTAAGGCAATTTTGAATTTACTTACTGAGCCAAATATTGCATTATATAAATGATTTTGTTTTTAATGATTGGAAAAAAAATGTGGAAAAATAATATATTTTCTATGAATTATTACTTTAAATGCTAACATTTACATATAAAATTGAGCCCTTTCCAAAATAACCACACAGCAGTATAGAATATATATAATTAATAATAACGTGGTATTGCCATACACTTTCAAAACAATTTAGGAATGATCTGAATAGGAGGAATGGTAAAAAATATATTATTCAGCAGATTTTGCAAAAAAAAAACAATAATAAAAAAATCAATATCTTACTTTCATGACTGAAAAAAACGTTAAAAGAAATTAAAAAAAAAATCTATTGTAAAAAATATATTATTTAGCATGATTTGTAAAAGAAACAAGCAATTGTAATAGAAGTCAAGATTTTAAATGTCAAATGAAATAAAAAAATCTAATAATATATTGTTAGAATGAACAAAATTTATACAGACATATATAATATGCATTTGTCTCACGACTACTTCGCACGCCTCAATTCGGTCGAGCAGTAAGAAAAGAGACAAAAAACAATTATATTCTGTCTTACTCACTCCATGACACTTTTCCTCAAAAGTGCTTGCAATAAGTGTATCGGAATATATTAAAATATTCTTATCGTTTTTTAATTCTCAGACAGACAAAAAATGGATTATATATCTATCAATTAATGAACAGAAATGTGCGAGAGAAATGTATATATATATATATATGTATATATATATATATATATATATATATATATATATATATATATATATATATATTTAAAAGACTCCAGGGCTGCCAGTAGAGCTTATTTATTTTATACCACTGAAATTATACCAAATCAAATCTAATAATACAAATCAATTATAGCATAAAAAATCATTACCAATACGTAAGAATTTAATTAGAATGGATAACTAAAAAAAAAGGTAATTGCATATGGCGCCTGTTTGCCATCAACAAATATGAGACGTTCGATCATCTTTTGATACTTTTTTGTTTAACATTACCGAAATTACGGGACAAATAAAATCTTTTTTAACCTCCGATGCAAAAAGAGGTGTTATAAGTTTGACGTCGATGTCTGTGTGTGTGTGTGTCTGTCTGTGGCATCGTAGCTCTCAAACGGATGGACAGATTTCGATGCGGTTTTTTTCATTTGAAAGCCAGTTTCCTTGAGGTGGTTCTGAGCTATGTTTGGTTAATATCGGTCCAGCAGTGTAAGAGTATCAGCTCTTTTCCAAAATAATGTAAGACATTTCGGCGTATGATTACTCGATTTAGCGCTTCACGCGTGCCAATTTTTATAATTATTTTGTATCCAATTATGTATAATGTATACAAGCTGGATACATAAGATAACCATATTATACAATTTTTGTATCCAATTATACGCTCTGGCAGTCCTGAAAGACTCCTCTTAACTCATTTATTTACCTCATTTATAGAATTTCATAACAGATAAAATATGTAAAGTCCATTCCTCGGTGGCTATATTTTAAAATGTCCTAATTATAACTAAATTTGGTGGGAAAGTTCACAGTAAAATGACGTGCTAAGTCATTTTGAAGGTATGTCCAGATTGAAAATTTCTAATCCATTATCTAAAAATCTGTAACAAAGTATAGAGTAATATGATATTGTTACTAAATTATACACAAAAATAATTTTATTTTATAAAAAAATTATGAAGTACATTATGTCACATTTTATTTTATTGTGCGTTCGTCTTTTTGAAGTTATACTTCTTTTGGCACGTTTAGGAAAAAAATATGAGAGTAAAATTTTTACGATGCGCGCGCACATCGACAGCCAAAAAGCGACATGATGAAGTTAGCTGCATTTCTTTCACAACCAGATAGTTGTGACATACGGGATGAAATCATTAGCTATTTTTTTTTCTGTTACGCCAAAGAAGTATAACTTCTTATGTGCGTACATAAGTACACACATGTTTTTCTACATATTTTTTTTAATATTCTATTATAACATTACAGAGTAATGAAACACATTTTTTTCGAAATTCATACAACACATGATTGCAAGAAAAAATATTGTACTCAATAAAGTATTAATTATGAAATGTTAAATACTTTTAATATTATAAAATATCAAGCCATTAATTAACGTCCCACTGCTGGGGGTGGACCTTCCTCAATGAGAGGAATCAGGGCAAAAAAGCGTTCAAAGCAACACAACGCGCTCGCTTGGGAAACCGAATGAAACGGGTTCAAATCCCAGGTCTCGCACCTCTGATATTTTCATGTGCGAATCATTTCCAACATGATTACCACTTGTCATTTTGAAAACATCCTAAGAAAACCTGCATATCTGAGAATCTAGTAAGTTTTTAAAGGACATGTTCAGTCCGCCCGCACTTAGCCAGCGTGGCGGACTATGATCTGATCCCCCGTATTTAAGGAAGGCCCACCCCCAGCAGTGGGACGTCAAATTTACTGAAAACCTGTTGGGAATATACTATTTACATCATAACAACAAGTAAAATTTAAGAAATATTATTATTTTTTCTTACACATGTTGTTGTTATGATGTAAATAGTATATTCGCAAAAGGTTTTCAGTAAATTAAAAATGACCCTGTATATGTACTAAAACCAATATACATGTGTACCATTTTACCATAAACTATTGGAGATAGTCGTTTATTCTAAGGAACTAGTCTATACAGACGTATTTGAGAAAAATCGTTTAAGCCGCGTTGACACGCTCAAAGTCTGATTTGACAAAGTAGCATTGACAAAAAACTGTGAAACTTTCGTTCAGAAAAACACGGTTGCAAGTTCACTTAGATTGAACGTCGACGTCAAAGTGCGCTTTGATTGCTCGTTTACACGATCAAAATGGCGACTATGTAGTCATCAAAACTACTTTGTCAAAGTAGACTTTGATCGTGTCTACGCGGCTTTAATCGTCGAATTCGAAGAAAATCAATTTACTAATAATTTTAATATTCTTTTTCAAAGTAGCTCCAAAAAATTTAGTATTTTTTCCTACATATAACAAAAAAGGCCCTAAATTTAATAAAAACTACAATTATTTGGAAGTCAAGTCTATATAAACATTATTATTTTTGGTACATAAAAATTACATCTTAACGAAGGAAGAAAATGTCAAAATGGATGGTATTATGCTATAGCAAACAATTTATTACGTCAAAATTTTAACTAATAAAGTATTTTATAAAAAATAATATGAAAATATATACATATTTGAATCAAATCCTTTCATTCTCACAAGTTTATAATATCAATTGATTATTAATAATAATTAAATATTGGCTCGTTTTTACATAACATAGCCCCCATAACCTAATAATGTACGGGTTTACAGTCAACATTAAGAATAGTAGTGAAGTAGACAGATCAAAGTAAGACCCTACAGTCCATTCTATACCCATCCCGGCTAATACCATGGTTAAATATTTCCTAAATTACCTGAAAAAAAAAAGTTTTTTTCTTAAAAAAATGACGAAACACAGTAATCTATATGTATATAATAAAATTGTAACCAAGCCGAATCTGTACATTAAATATTTTTTGGAAAATCTTATTGAAATAGACATTATTATCGATACAAAGGCCGAATCTATAGTTTTTAGATTTTTTGTCTATCTGTCTGTCTGTTGCCGCATCACGGAAAAACCAGTAGAGGGATTTTGATGAAATTTGGTATGATGATATAAGATACTTTTTGCTGTGGGAGAATATCTCATCTCTGAGAAATCTATACTAAAACGTTAAAATGTAAGTAGGGACGAACCCGAACGGAGCGAGGGTGAGTCGCTAGTTTATTATAAATTTAGCTAATGTATTAGTAGTTTTTTAGGAAAAGATTTTTTTATTATTTATTATTACTTTTTTCTTCTGACAATATTCTTGATGTACAAACAAACAAATTAATATTTAAATTAAAAGCGTATATAGGCACATATTATTTTACATTTATTTTAAATAGTAATTTCCATTTGTTATAAAAACTCATTATACGTACCGCTAATTTAAATGCAACAGCTACGTGCTAGCATTTGACGATTTTGTTTCATCAGATTTTGTATTATTCTGGAAAAAAAATAAAAAAAATGTAATTATTTTTTATCTACGCTAATATTATAAAAGTATACAAATCTGAACAGGGTAATGGGGGAAAAGAGTTTTTTTAAGAGCATAGGTAATAGGTATCCATTATTTGCCACAACATAGATTATACAATATTTAAAAATACAATCTTTAAAAAAAGAGTGTAATAATAAAAAAAAAATTCTTATGAAATAAAATTGCTAGCATTAAATATTTTACTAACTTCACTATCAACAGCAACATGACCGTTCTGAAGTGGTTCTCGAAGGGTATCTTCTTCATCTGACGGCACGTCGTAAAACTCTTCGCTGTCCATCTCAATGTCTGTGCCTAATAGGGGCATAATTGAAAAAAAATATAGAAAAAAATGTATGGATTAATAAAAAAAATTTTTTAATATTTCGCTTTTCTAAATATGACTCTGTCTCTTTGTGTAACAATACTTTGATGTAATTTTTATGAGACATTAGAAAAAGTAAAAAAAACTATAACAGTTTTTTTTATTTAGTTATTTTATCACAAATATTTCAAGAATTACGGAGCAAAAAAAACTAAGCAGTACAGAATGTTGGCATTACAAAATTGATATTTTTGTGTTAGTAAATAAAAAATACAAATTACAATATTTTAACAGAATTAAAAAAAATATCATGGCGTTTTCCAAACAAGCTACAAATAATTTAACATACCAATTAAAGACTGGCAATCAGTGAAATATTCTGAATCTGTAGCATCACCGCCAGAGGCAATCGCCTCGCGCTTGGCTCGAGGTTTTTGTCGAACTCGTCGTAAATTCCTGTTTGGAGAAAAAAAAATTCTAAAAAGGCGACAAAGTACAAACAAGTATTTGATCTCCCTATGGTAGACAGTAACCATAGATCATGTAACCTTGAAACACCAAGGTCATCATTAAAGTCATTGTCATTTGAAGGAGCTAAGAGAGGAAAATTATTAGAGTTGATTCTCTAACGCCCTCATTAGAAGAATGCAGCCCAACGGTACATATACTGCTACTGTATCTCATAAGAATGTATTTTCCTACAATCGCTGGCCATTCATGCTTATACCAGCACACAATTTCTTTCCTCAATACTGTATCCTTTACGATGTAACGTAATAAGTAATTAATTTCACCACGCACGGGAGTTTAAGAGGGAGTATACACTTTGGATTATCTAAGCCACACTGTCAATGTTACTTGAATAAATAAATTGAGTTAAATTTTCAGTGATTAGTATTGCAAAAAAAAAACAAAAAAAGTTTCTATCGTGAGAAAAGCTTAAAAAAATGATTTTTTTTCTGGAGCATGTTTTTTATCAAAAGTACAGAATTCTAAATTATTAAGATGGTTACCGTAAAAGATAAATACTTAAGAGTTCATATTAAAGTTTTCTGTTTATTTTTAAATCTACCATACTTTTTTGCATAGTATCAAGTTTACATGTGAAAATTTCGACACTGACAAGGACAAAACTAGTTAACAGACAAAAGTAGTTAGTTAACAGAGTTAAAAAAAACAACCATTACTTTTTGTTTTTTTTCACCATATTGAAAAAAAAGACATTTTTTCATGTTACGTCACTATCAGTGATACCTTATTAAGCTCAAGTGGATATTTGCACAATACCAAAGCCAAAATAATCGCTAAAAATTTTTTTGTTTATATCCTTTAATCTTGTATGTGTGAAATATGTAAGATATATAAAAAAAATACTTTAGCCATTTTCTTTCCTAGTTTATAGGAACCACCATTGGTAAAGCCTATTCAACAAATGTAACAAAACATTAAAGCTGTCAAGTTCAAGATTTTCAAAGACATCACGTAACACACACACACACATACACACAAACAAACACACATAAAAAAATATAGTCCATTGAGAAACTTCCCCTTATGTGTCTACTTGGCTATCATCATGAACTTAAGTTCTGCCGAACCCTTAAAACCAGTATCACATCTAAAAAAAAGTATCTTTCAACAAAAACAAGATACTTACGCCAATAGACATCTTAATAATACAGAATAGAATTTTTTTAAAGAAGAAAAAAAATTAAAAATCATTTTTATGATTATATAAAACTGTTTATAGTTAATTTCAATAATAATGAATATATTTATTCATGCAATTAATCATTTAGGGACTCGTTTTCAAGATTGGACTTTCACAGAGACCAAATTATTGCACCAGATTATGGTTAATTTTGGATGTAAGCTGAATGGTGCATATAAACCCATCCATCAAACACCCTAAAACTGTAACATCTGGTATCATTCATCACATGCTTTATAGAAATCGAATGTAGTGAGTATGTTACCAATAGCAAATATGCAATATAAATGCAGTTGTAACACTGACTCGGTTTGAATTTAGATAGTCACTCACCGCGTACGCAACGATGAACTTTGTTGTTTTTCATACCTAAAGATGGGCAAATTGCAGTTTTTAATAAAGATTACTAAGTAATTTACAAATTTTGAAGCACAAGGAGCATGTACGTTGAGAATTATGGGTCTAATTCTTATGCAGAATTTGATAAATTGTTATTTAACCATTAATATTTAAGTTTTATTATACAGATGGCATATAATAACTCTAAAACAAACTTAACATTGGTGACAAGAGTACAATGTATGAAATGTAAGCAATAAACAATGTCATTTCAGCGATCTGTCTATTTTCTTATGAAATAAAAATTTAAAAGGAAAAACTATTGAAAATAATAAAAAAAATAATTAAGTAAACAATTTGCTTTAATTAATAACATGGGTCTAACCGAAATTTTTTACTGTTGTGTATATCAAAGTAGCATTAAGATAACTTTCTATGATGTTATCTATATATAATTTTTTGGCCTTTTGTTATGAACATAAAAAAAATTAATAATCTTATTTGTTTCCAACAAACGTTTGGAAAGATTTTGGAACTGACATATACATTTTTTTATATTACATTTCATTTTAATTATTCATTTTGTTTGTTTACTCAATGTATTAAATTATTTATATACTTACGTCTCTTTCTGCAATTCTCTCAAAGCTTCTACCTCTGTCCTCATAGATGCCAACTGTTGGTCCAGTCTTGCCACTTCACTTACTGAAATTTGAATATATAATGTATAGAGGAAATTTGTGTTTCTTTAGAACCAACCATGATATAAATGTATATAGTAATACTATCATTATTGGCTAGACTTACCCTAGCTTCGTTTCGGGTTTGTTCCTAGACAAAAACACATTATCCCACAGGAACCATACATTTTTCCAGGTTAAAAAGTAACCTATGGCTATTCCAGACTATAATCTATCTCTGTGCCAAATTTCATCCAGATCCTTTCCGCTGTTTTGGTGTGAAAGAGTAACAAACATCCATCCATCCATCCAACCTCACAAGCTTTCATATTTATTATATAAGTAGGATATTTCATTGTTAAATATTTAGACAAAAGATATTGTCCTTCATATTTACAAAAATTAAGTAATTAATAGTTTGAATTGATTTTATTTGAGCAGTGATATCATATGTTAAAAAGATTTAATTTATTCCTCAGCCTCCTAATACTGTTTATACCTAATACATACAATAATAAGTATATATTTAATTAATTACATAATTAATAGTATTATATAAAACAGTATATAACAAGGTATATATTCATAACAAATTCTTACCTAACATAGCTCTTCGCTTTTCAGCGTACACTTGTTCATATATGATAACCCCAGCTGCACCAACAAGACCGACAATAGCCGCTCCCACCATCATACGAGGTGATAAATAGCTGTTTAGATTCATTTTAATATTTCGATAATATACCGAAAATATCACAACAAACGGTTAACACTTTAAAAATAAATATAATTGAATAATTATGTTGTTATTTCAAGAGCTATTTATTCTGTATTCATCACATGTATTTATCTTTTAACGTGAAAGTTGCACTGCAATAAAGATTAAAGTTATATTGTAATGTCATTCAAAGAAATATATAATGAACTACTAAAATTACAATTGCTAATATAATAAAATTATTGACCAATAATATGTATTTGCAAAATCAAAAATGTACACGAACAAATCTTTGTGTCAAATTGGAAGAGGTGTCAAACTCAAAGTCATTGAAAATATAAAGTTGACATATTTATTATTTAGTGATGCACCGAAAGGTTTTGTACTATTCAAGAAAGCAGATCACAGAAAAATAGTCTGTGTACACTCTTTATAAAAATAATTAAAGAAGTATTCCCTAATGAAAAGTAATAAAAACTGTTACGTGTTTATTTAAGTATAATAAATTGCTATTGTTTGTTACAGCTACTAGGGATGATGATGTTGAATGTCGTCACCGTAATGTCAGTTAGAAGTAATACTTTAAAGTATTATTTTTCAATATTCAAAATGGATACATAGAAAATATAATAACAATTTCCCTAAATGTATATGAAGAGAATGGGAAATATGGCTTCAATAATCATACTCAACGTCATAATTTGAATATTAAGTGTACCAAAATGTAATACTTTCTTAGATTTACGCGAATGTTTGACATTTTTAAATAAAACTATCTTTTCGGATTATTTCGCGGATTTATTTTGATTTTTGGTTCCCGACGTTTCGAATGCTTTACAGCATCCATGGTCAGAGTCTCTCCCGTGACCATGGATGCTGTAAAGCATTCGAAACGTCGGGAACCAAAAATCAAAATAAATCCGCGAAATAATCCGAAAAGATAGTTTTATTTAAAAATGTACCAAAATGTTTTTATTTTTTTACATACCTATAAATTTTTGTCTGAATTTTCAATTTTGATATAAATGAATTTTATACTATTTCCAGCGCTAATGAAGCCACTTTTGATATTGGTCAATTTCAACCTTTATATTTACATAATGATTTTGTTTTCTTAATGATTTTTTTCGAAGGCAGTGGTAGCACAGTGGCAACGCGCTCGCTTGGGAAATCGAGTGAAGCGAGCTCAAATCTCGGGTCTCGTACCTTTGATATTTTCATATGCAATTCATTTCCAACGTGATTACCACTTGTCTTAACAGTGAAGGAAAACATCGTGAGGAAACCTACATGTTTGAGAGAAGCAAGCAAGATTTCAAAAGACATGTGAAGTCTGCCAATCCGCACTTGGTCAGCGTGTCTATCAATTTATACTACATTCGAAATAATTATAACTAACAACAAAATATCATTATGAAAAGGCTCTCTAATCAGTGTAATGTATCTTAATTATAATTGAGTTTTTATTTTTCCCTTTGAAACGGATTTACGATATTAATTTAATTTAAATATATTACGTATATGTATGTAATTACTTAGAATGTGAATATCGATATACCGAACAATATATTCGATAGTTAACTTGCAAAAAATAATATTTACCTACATCTCTGGCAACACTAAAATGTCAAATGTCAATTGTCATTTGTCAAACAAAAAAACATTGTTGATTGTCGGTGGTTTTGAGACTGATAGGTACTCGTTTCTTCAAGATTTGATGTTCCGAAATGTTTTGTACGGCATATTTAAATATAAATACGCAATTTAGAAATCTTAACCATTTTAATTTACTTTAGTTACTTATTAAATTTAGCTTAAGTATTTCGTCATTCGAGTGTAAAAATTACCTGCAAGCCAACCTACCTATACAATTTAATTTCTAAGATGTCTTCAGCAGAGAAGAAAATAAACAGCCCTGTTTATGACAAGGAAAATGAAAAGACGCGTATTCAGAGTTTAATAGAAAAAGAGCTGGATTTGGAAGAATCGATTTTGAATGAGGAACTGTCAGATATTGCTTTAGATCAAGCAATCATAGGCGAGCAATCCAAAAAAGTTGAAGATGTTATAGAAAAGAATTTAGAGGATATCTTGTTAAATAATATGGGTGATAAACCTTCAGAGTTAGGAGACAGTGACAACCAAGATGATGACTTAAAGTTAAGATGGGAAGACGATCTTGAAGAGGAAGCAGCGCTTTTGGAAGATCCAATAGACAAATCAGGTGTTGAAAGTTGTAAAATAGACTTAACATTTCAAGAGGACGTTATTCAAACTATTGAAGATGAAGAGAAATTTTTGGATGCATTAGATGAAGTTAATGAAGCGAAAGATTCTGTGCCATCGTCTGTGGTAGGTACTCCATTTGCTCCAAAAACAGCACATGGTCTAAATAAACCGGATATGATGTTAGAAATACCAACACAAGAATTGATTGAGTGTAGTGATGATGAAGCAGACCTGATGAATAATCTTGAAATGTCACCAGATGAGGTTTCAGAGGTTAGTAATGACAATTCAAAAGATATAGATGAAGATATATTATTAGGTACTGACGAAGAAAAGTCAAATGAGAACCTAATAGACAGCAAAAGCAATGAAATTAATGATAATGATGATGAAGTTGATGATAATGATGACATGACTACATCAGGAAATGACACTTCATTACAACAACAAATACTTACAGAAGAAAACATAATAAAAGAAACATTTATTGAACCAGATCCAGAAGCAGAAACTAAATTAGCTGTAGATATTCTTTCAAAAGAGTTAAATGCATCTTATACAAGAAATCTTATAGATCAAGAAGAGTATTTTTTACTTGGCGATGATTCTATTGATGTAGCGGAAAATAAATTACTTCAAGACTCTGAAACTAAAGAAACAAACAAACTCGAAATTTTGCAAGCTTCTTCAGAAATTGTGACCTTAGATACTGAATTTATACAACAGGAAGATAATATAGAAGTCAATGAAGAAATTTTAGATGATAGAGATGTAAATAAAGATGATTGTGGTGATAGTCTGTTATCCCTGATTGAAAGTGAATCAGATAAAAATAAATCTGTTGCAATAGTAGGCATAACAGATGATGCTCAAGAACCATCAGTTGAAGCAATGGAATGTGACGTTGAAAATATTAAAGAATCAGAAGAATCTGTTTTTCCAATTCTATCTAATATACAAATTGATACTAAACTAATAGAGAAAGATAATTTAAATCAAAATATCAAAGATATGAATGATATTAATATGGATTTAGAGGAACAAAGTGAAGAAATGTCTAAAGAGGACAATACTATGCATGATCAAATAACTGAAGTCCAAGAGATTTTTAAAGGAAAAAAAGAGCAAGATCAAGATCAAGCAGTTCAAGAATCACTAGAAAAACAACAATCAAATACAATTTTAGAACAACAATTAACAGACACAACACATTCTGTCACTGAATTACAAAAAACAGCTATGGAAATAAGTGAACCGCAACCATCAACTTCATTTGCAGTAGAAATAAAAAGTAACTTCCCAGAAGTTAGTGAAATAATTGACAATCAAGATGTAGAATCAAATATTCCTCAACCTTGTACATCTTTTAGTATTGATAATGAAAATTCTACATTTGGTTCACCAATTGCTCAAAACGATGTATCAGAAATGTCAGACAGTCTTGGATTATTGGCTGAAAGTTCCAGGGTTGTTGAAGATGATGAGTATGATGAAGATGGTGATGGTGATGATGATGACGACTTTGATAATTATGATGATGGTAATTTTTTTTCATATACTGCTTATATCGGTAGGTATACATACTACTACTATATACAGTGACTGTTCAATCTCTTCCATAAGTTTCTTTTCATTGATATTTTCAATTAAAAGTTATTTTTTTTTTTACAAAAGAGCTGAACTAAGAAATCATTGTGTCGGTGTTTATGTCCAAATAATTAATCAATTTACTGAAATTGTTTCAATATAAGTAGAATTATTGACTTTTAAATGTCAATTCTATTGGCATTAAATATACATTTAACTTTAGAAAAGCCGAAAAAATAATAATTTATCTATATATTTATTAAAGTCTTAGAAATAAATCTTTGGTTTTAAAATATAAGTAAATGGCTCTCAACTGTAAAGTACAACAAGCACTGGTATTTGGTCATTTTAATACATAAGCACTAAGGTGATGAAATGCTTTGTCTCAATTTAAATAAAGTTATATACTTGAGGTCATGCAAAAATAGTATTGAAATTCTTGATTTTTTAGACAACTTTGCCAAATTTTTTACCAGAATCTTTTGTAAAACATTTTAAAGAAAACTCAGTTGAGTCCTTCTTCAGCATATTCACTTTTATTATATAGAATCTATGTAAATTACAGATGAAGTATATTCTCTGTATGTTGTAATGTTGAGGTACTCCAGAAGACATGTTAAATATTATGTATTAATTGTTAAATTATATTATCGTTAATCAATTCCAGAAAGCAGTTTCCCGGTGACAGCTGAAAATTCAGAGGATTCTAACGCTCAACACTCGGAGACTGATACAAAGTTAGAAGTGCCTGATAAGGATAACTTTGAATTTACTATTAGTGATGTAGTCAGTGATTCTTATGACAAAAAAACAGACTGGAATAATGAGGTATTTTTCCATCCTTACATATGGGGCATTCCATGCCAAATCGGACAGTTTCAAAAATATTTATTTTTGATTTTCTTAATATTTTGGTATTTTTTAGTACCTCTCAAAAGAGGCTTCCTGGTCACTTTGAGATTTTTTTGATGACTGGTTCAAAATGCGGTTCAAAGTGCGTTTTTTTTGAAAATTCGATATTTTTGAACCAGAAATAAATATTTTTGAAACCGTCCGATTTAGCGTGAAATGCCCTATATGTAATTTATCTATTTCTTTATTCTATGAGAAACAACTAATTTTAGTACTTGTGTATTAAAAAAACAATTATTGTGCTCCTAAACGATTTTGACCATGGAGACTAGCCAACTGCAGGAGATATTATAGTGCACTGTTGTTTTTTAACCCCCAACGCAAATACGACGGGGCCAAATCGTAGCTCCCGAACGGACGAACCGATTTTGATTTTGTTTTTTTTTGTTTAAAAGGTGCATTAGTCGGCAGTGTTCTTAGCTATGTTTGATGAAAATCGGTCCAAGATGGCCACAAGATCCGCTACAAAATGGAGAATTACAAATCTTTTCACAACTCCCTTAATATGGGTATCAAAAATTATGTTATGTTATCAAAAAGTATGTTATTTCATAACTTTTAGGCAGCTTTTTTTTATGAGAGACATAAAATTAAGGTTATTATAATTTGTTGATAGTGAACGCATTTTTTTCGGAAAATTTATACTACATTCAAATTTATACATTCAAATTTACAAATTCTATAATATTATCGTAGATATCACTGCAGAAAGTATTATTTTGTCTTGAATTTTATTATTTACAGACTGAAGTAGATCAGAAACAACAAATAAAGGAAACTGATGTGAAAGAAGATTCAAATGAATGTGTAAGTGCTAAAATTATTTATATACCACTTTTTAGATTCTAATCATTTTATGCTTTTAAAGGCTTAATCAAAATCCAGTATGAATAAATAAGAATACAGATTAAATAAGAACACAGAATAAAAAAGCAGTCATGAGGACTGCAGACAGAAGTGAAAACTTTAGATGAAACGACCGATTTAGATGAAATTTGGTAAGAAGATAGTTTGAGACCCCGGGAAGGACATACTTTTTATCCCGGAAATCATCTCTTAAGGGGATGAAAATGGGGATGAAAGTGTGTATGGTACCTATATAAATACTGAAAAATATTTGTGTACACGCAATACTCGTTTTGGCAACTGCAAAAGTTTACATTTCATGCAGTAAGCAAACTATCAAAATGTGTAATTGATAATATCTTCTAATGTGATTTTCATTCAATATTTTTTTTTTCAGAAACTCGAAGAGGATTCAAGAGATACAGAACGGGAACATTCGTCTGATGTATGCGATACTAATGTGGATGTTAAAGCGGATAGCATTTTGAAGAATTTGCTAATAAATAATGAGAGTATGTGGAATGTTGTCTTGCAATAGGTTCTAATTATTTTGTGTGTGTGTGCGTGTGTGCATACTGTATGTGTGTGTGTGTGTGTGTAATATTCATTATAATGTATTGTGTTAGCTATCGTGTGTGTGTGAGTGTATGTGTGTGTGCGTGTGTGTATGCGTGTGTGTAATATTCATTATAATGTAATGTGTTAGCCACTTTTTATATATATTTTTAATACATATGTAATCTTATTTTACCGACCAATCTCTTTCGTGTCTTCTTCATTCTACGTTATATTGGCGAAGTTTTGTGCTCAACTGGCACGCTTTGAGGCCGTTAATAAGAGAATTTAATTCTATACATATAATAAAATCTGTACATTAATTTTTTTTTTTGGAAAATATTATTGAAATAGTCATTATTATCGATACAGAGGTCGAATCTATAGTTTTTAGAATTTTTGACTGCCTGTCCAAAACCAATGGACAGATTTTGATGAAATTTGGTATAATGATATAGCTAGTGAATTAATATATTTTTAAATTTATCATTTGCTTCATTTTTAAAGATTCGCGAGAAACGTCCAGTGCGAAAGATAAAAAATTACCAGATGGCGCTACCACCCAAGACAATGTGGTGAATATCGTTGATCTAGAAGAGAGTTCTTCAGATGAGGGTATTGTTATATATTTTTTTTTAAATAGATACAATTGTACTTATAATATTAAATGAGCAATTCTTGTATATATGTATATAAATTTATTTCGTATATCTCGGAAACGGCTCTAACGATTTGGATCAAATTTTGTATTTAGATATGGTTTAGCTTTTTAAGTTTATCCATATAGGTGTCTTTTTTAAAAGAACCTAATTTTTTTTTGCAAAAACACGATCTTACAAGAAACAAAAACGCCCAGGTATTATAGAGTAAATGATAACAATTTGTAAGAAATAAATAATATCGTATAAAATCTATTTTCTAAATAACAGTACGTGTGTTATTATTACAAAATAAAGTACAAAATTATAATGACTTTATACATGTATATATTATAAATGTAAACTCCCATGACTGGAGTACAAAAATTCGTGCTCATCACACAAATGAATGCTCAGCGGGACTCGAACCCGCGACCGCTGGCACAGCAACTACGGTCATTACAAACTGACCCAAATTTCGTCGTAATATATGAATCAATATAGTAATTTTTAAGTTTGTGTACTTTTTTCAGAAAAAGGAAGTGATCAAGTGCCTACTGAAGAGATATCAACAAGCACAGATAAACTAGAAGCGACTATTGAAGATACAACTACATACAATAAAGATGTCCAAATTGAAACAAAGAAATCGCCTAAAAAATCTGTAAGTTTTGTTTACTTTTTTTTTTAAGTTAAAGAAAGCACTTTAACTTCTTTCTTAAAAAATTAAGATATAGATAATAAATACTTTATAGTAAATTGAGAATATATTGATGTTTTAAATGTGTGTGCTATAAAGGGTTTATATAACACTAGCGGCTCAACCTCGCTTCGCTCGGTTTCATCTCTAGGAAAACAAATACAAACCTATCCCACGGGAACCGTACATTTTTTCGGGATAAAAAATAGCCTATGTGCTATTCCAGACTATAATCTATCTCTGAGCTAATTTCATCTAGATCCGTTCAGCCGTTCTGGCGTGATTGAGCAACAAACAAACATGCGAAAGTTTGTGAGGATGTATGGATGTATGGATATGTAGATAGATGTATGGATGTTTGTTACTCTTTCATGCAAAAACTACTGAATGGATTTTAATGAAACTTTACAATAATATAGTTCATACATCACAATAACAAATAGTCTAATTTGTATCCACAAAAAATGTACATTTCCCGTGGGATAGATTTGGTTTTGTTTTTCTGGCGAACCCGAGTGAAGCGAGGGTGCGTTTAGTCATATTTAGTTAAAAGTTATACACAAAACTATTTTTTCGGATTCTTTCGCGAATTTATATTAATTTTTGGTTCCTCCCGTGACCATTATTGTTTTGAATCATTCGAAACGTCGGGAACAAAAAATCAAAATAAATCCGCGAAATAACCCGAAAAGATAGTTTTATTAAAAATGTCAAATATTCGCGTAAATCTAGGAAAGTATTAGTTATTTTTTTTTTGTTACAGGACAAAAAAACAGAGCAAGCGAAGAGTGAGATAGAGTCGGTCAATGAAAATGAAAACAAGGTATGTACACATTATGTTTGACGACACGTTTGGCTCAGTTTGTAGTGACCCTACTTGCTGTGCCAGAGGTCGCGGGTTCGAGCCCGCTGGGGGCATTTATTCGTGTGATGAGTACGAATATATGTACTCCAGTCATGGGTGTTTATATTTATAATATGTATGTATTTAAAGTTATATATTATGTGTTGTGTATCAACTATCTGGTAGCCATAACACAAGCCTCGTAGCTTACCATGGAACTAGATGGCGCTGTGTGTTAATGTAAAAAAACAATGTAAAACAATATACATAGGTAGCGACAATTATTAGGACTGATCTACACCATAGTGATGATCACGGTTCGTTCTCGGTGTGATATCGGTCTGGTAAAGTATTGTTACACGAGAAACAATGAGTGCATTCACATTATCAGTAAGAGTCACTTTTCGGTCGAATCTAAAACCAGCAACGTTTCTTGTATAAAAAAACTTTACCAGACCGATATCGGACCGAAAACGGAGTGTGATCGGCACTATAGTGTGGATCGGCCCTTAGAGTTACGTTTTGCGAACGCAGCATTTAACACCTCCAGGTAAATTTTTAAGAAATTAATTAAATTTCTAAGAAATCTATTGTTAACTGTAACGCTGGTGTCCGCGGTCGTGGAGGGATTAAATCTATACAGATAAATAAAATTGAAGTATTTGTTTGTAATCATCATCAAAATAACAGCGTTTTACTAAATCCATATGAAATTATAAGAAAAACTCAATTTTAAAATTTTTGTCGGTCTGTCTGTTTGCTCCGGATAATCTCTGAAACGGCTGGACTGATTTTGGCGGGACTTTCACTGGAAGATAACTAATATTATAGGTAGTAACATAGGCTACTTTTATTTTAGAAAAAGAATTAGGGTTCCACTCAAAAAAAAACAAAACTTACCTAGGGACGAACCCGAGCGAAGCGAGGGTGAGTCGCTAGTTATAACAACCCTTACAATAACAAGACCTTTTTATTAACCATTAAATTTATTTTATATATTACGTTTTTGACAGATGATAATAAAAATTAAAAAGTAGTGACATTAAAGGCGTACAATTTTATGCACGATTTCTATTTCTAATTCAATAAAATATATTTAAATAATCTAATATTGCTGCAACGGTCATTTATAGTAATATTATGAAGAGGTAAAGTTTGTGAGTTTGTGACGTTGTAGGTAAGGTAATCTGTGGATCTACTGAACCGATTTAGATGAAATATGGAAAGAAATAAGTTTGAGACTCTGGGAGGACATAGGATACTTTTTGGTCCCGGAAATCATCCCTTAAGGGGGTGAAAATGGGGATAAAAGTTTGTATGGGGAAGCAAGCTAGGGACGAACCCGAGCGAACGCTAGTACCTTATATAGATAGATGTATGTAGGGTTTTATTACTATATTGTATATATTTTTGACAGAAAACTCAAAGTGGTTTAGAAGTGTACAACCTTGATTCTGATGAAGAGGACTCTGTGGAGAACAAAATGGAGGTAGACAATAAAGGTTCGTGCTTGTTATTATTTTATTCTGTTTTTTTATGTGTATTAAAAAAAAACTATCTTTAAATATACGTATCCGAGAGTGTATAAGGATGTACCTGTATAAACACAGGTTATTTAATGGCTAAGACCTTTTCCGACTATATTGCTAACATTGTAGTGTGTACCTGTTTTAATCGGTAAGAGGTAACAAACGTACAGAGAGTTACATATATATTTATATTTAAATTAATATAGATATTCATCCATTTTATTCATTTACAATGTGAAAATTGCTTAAATAACCGGCAATTATTAATAATTTCCAAATATTTTAAATAAATATTATCTTTTCGGATTTTCTCGCGGATCTATTTTGATTTTTGGTTCCCGACGTTACATTCTATATTCAATGTTAAAGTTATTAAAATTATAAAAATGTTTAAAATTAAAATTAACAAATATTGTAAGGTACTTCAGTGCCATTTTTGAATTTTTAAATCATTTTTGTAAAAAATAGTAGGTAGACACGGTCTGTTACAAGTATATGTGTTTGAGACGTCTATAACCTTAGTCTCTCCCATGACCATGTGCGCTGTAAAGCATTCGAAACGTCGGGAACCAAAATTTAAAATAAATCTGCGAAATAATCCGAAAAGATAGTTATATTTATAATGTCAAATATTCGCGTAAATATTATAAAGTGTTTATATCCAAATATTTATATTAACCGTGACATACATATTTAATATATTTGAATTATTATTTATTATTTATTACAGCTTCAGAAGATAAAAAGGAGATAGAGCAATTAAGTGTCGATACACCAAAATGTATAAACAAATTATGCTCGCACACGTCGCGTAACTTTTATATAGCGAATATCCAAGCTATAAACTTTTATGAGGCGGATAAGAAGAAACGTCTGTATGTGTGTGAGACGTGTGCTGATGCTGTGGAGGAAAGGAATCAGGTGAGATAATGAAAGGTTATTTCTAAGTTATAGATAGGTTGATTCCCTATACAAACGTTCATCCGCATTTTCACCCCCTTAAGGGATGATTTCCGGAATGAAATATATTCTATGTCTTTCCCAGGGTCTCAAATTATCTTCTTACCAAATTTCATCTAAATTGGTCCAGTAGTTTTTGAGTTTATTCGTTACAAACATACAAAAATACAAATCTTTACTCTTTATAATAGTAATATAGTTTAGATGAATTTATGATTATTTTACTGGGTAAATCCATTTTGTGTAGTTAAAAGTTAAATTAAAAAAAAAACGTGTGTGTCTGTACTTATGTAAGCATGTAAGAAGTTATACTTCTTTGGCGTAACAGAACAAAAAAGCTAAAGATTTCATCCCGTATGTCAGAACTCTCTGTAAAAAGAATGCAGTTAAGTTCTATTAGTGTTATGTATTGTTTCATAATCATAATGACTGCTAATTTCTTTATATCACATACTATTTTGCTTCCCAATACAAATTTTCATCCACTTTTTACCCCCTTAAGGGATGACTTTGCGGATTAAAAGTATCCTATGTCCTTCCCAGAGTCTCAAACTATCTTCTTACCAAATTACATCTAAATCGGTTCAGTAGGTCCAGAGATTACCCCCTACAACGTCACAAACTCACAAATTTTACCTCTCTATAATATTAGTATAAGGCAGTGGTAGCCCAGTGGTGACGCGCTCGCTTGGGCAACCGAGTGAAGCGGGTTCAAATCCCGGGTCTCGCACCTCTGATATTTCCATGTGCAAATCTTTTTCAACATGATTACCACTTGTCTTACGGTGAAGGAAAACATCGTGAGGAAACCTGCATGTCTGAGAGAACCCAGCAAGTTTTCGAAAGACATGTGAAGTCCGCCAACCCGCACTTGGCCAGCGTGGTGGACTATGGCCTGATCCCCCTCGTATTGAAGGGAGGCCCACGCCCAGCAGTGGGACGATAAAAAGGGCTGAATACAATATTAGTATAGACTTGTATTGTTTTTTTCGCAGGAGCTTATAGCGGGCGTGAAAAATTTCACCCCTCTTTTAGAGTTGAGTTTTAAGAAATGTAGAGAAGATCTTGTGGAGATATCTGACTCCGAGTCTGAAGAAGAAGTAGAGTTCGACGATCGGGATCAACAGATGATCGGTGAAGGTGGTGCTAAGTAAGGAGTTTTATTGTTTGTTTACTTGTTTTTACGTTTGTTTGTTTGTTTTTTTGTTTGTAGGAAGTAATCAAAACAAAGTATAATTTACTGGTGTTTTCTCGCGGCACCGCTCGTTTAGTTTTTCCAGAATGTTTTTCAAATTAGATTCGTTATTATCGATACAGAATCTATAGTTTTTAGAATTTTTGTCTGTCTATTTGTTTGTCTGGGAACGCATCACGAGAAAACCACTGGACAGTTTTAGATGAAATTTGGTATGATGAAAATATCTCATCTCTGAGAAATCTATACTAAACCTCAAAACGCGAGGGTGTGTCGCTAGATATTTATGTACATCTCATTTTTTCAGAATAATAGAACAGCAATTGGCAGCGATGATCAATGAAACGTGGGAAAAATTCAAAATGGACGCCCGTTTGGCGCAATCTAAGGATGCGCTCCAAGTTGAAATGTCTAGGATACAGAGTAAGTAGTACTTAGTCACTACATAGTATAAAACAAAGTCGCTTCCCGCTATCTGTCCGTCCCTATGTATGCTTAGATCTTTAAAACTACGCAACGGATTTTGATGCGGTTTTTTCAATTGATAGTTAGATAGTAGTAGTTGAGTGATCCAAGAGAAAGGTTTTAGTATATAATTTGTTAAGTTTTTGTATACATAGTTTAAAATATAACGATATTTGTTGGAGGTGTCGGAAAAAAATAAGCCGTCTGGGAGCTTTCAACGAAAACGCTGCTTAAACCCTTTGAGATATAACAAAATGATGTATGGTGGAAGTGTGTATCTTATATAGGTCTACAGAAAAGTCCGTGATGGCATATCGTTGGCTCACAATTACAAGGTTCTACGTTATAATTTTAGTACTTATTTAGTTATTAATGCTACAAGGTTCTATGTGTCATTAGCTACAGTTTTGCAAAAACAAACCACTAGATAGCGGCACTTTAACTACAAACTATTCAATTTTACATAGTTCTATGTTTTTTTTTACGATAACAAAATAACGAAGTTCTATGTAAAAATTACTAAACTTTATTAAAATTAACATAGAACCTTGTAATGGTGATCCAACGAATTATGTCTACCTCTTAAGGATAACATACTATATCAATTTTAATATAAAACGTATCTAGGGACGAACCCGAGCGAAGCGGGAGTGAGTCGCTAGTTATACATATGATAGAATATAGACGTAATATTATTGAATATAATGTCTTCGATGTAGTGTCAGAGCCAGTGGTAGCCCAGTGGTAACGCGCTCGTTTGTTAAACCAAGTGAAGCGAGTTCAAATCCCGGGTCTCGCACTTCTGATATTTTCATGTGCGAACCATTTCTAACACGATTACCACTTGCCTTACGTTGAAGGAAAACGTCATGAGGAAACATTCACGTCTGAGAGAACCTAGCAAGTTTTCCAAAGACATGTTCAGTACGCCCGCACTTGGCCAGCGTGGTGGACTACGGCCTGATCCCCCTCGTATTGAAGGGAAGCCCACCCCCAGAAGTGGGACGTTAAAAAGGCCTGAATGCAGTGTCTCCATTAGTGATAAAAAAAGTATTTTTTGTCTGTATTCTTTCCATCGTTCCTTGTTTTGAAGGTGTTATCCGTTAAGAGATGACGTTCGTCTGTGAATAAATGTTTATTTATACAGATAAATTAAATTGAAGTTTCTGTGTGTAATGTTTAAATAACATCTTTTTCACTAAATTGCATTTCAAATTATTTACGGTACTTATACGAAAAACACAATTTTAATTTTTTTTGTCTGTCTTTCTGTTTGTTCTACCTAATCTCCGAAACGGCTGGACTGATTTTGACGGGACTTTTACTGGCAGATAGCTGATGTTATATAAGAAGTAACTTATGCTACTTTAATTTTTTTTAAATAGTTAGGGTTCCGCTTATAAAAAGTAAAACTTACTCAGGGCCGCACCCTACCGAAGCGAGCGTAAGTCGTTAGTTATTTATATTATTTTTGTTACACATTAGCCTCGATAGCCTCGCTTCTCTTTTATGTAGATAAAGATAGTTATTGCGAGTGTACCTTAGGATATACATTATACACACAGATGGACGGTTATAATTTAATATTAATTCATACTAATATTATAAATATTAAAGTTTGTGAGGATGGATGGATGGATGTTTGATATTCTTTCACGCCAGAACGGCTAAACGGATCTGGATGAAATTTGACACAGACATAGATTATAGTCTGGAATAGCAAATAGGTTACTTTTTATCACATAAATGTACAGTTCCCGTGGGATAGATTTGTTTTGTTTTTCACTAGAGACGAACTCGAAGCGAAGCGAGTGTCAGTCGCTAATAAATAATAAACTAACAAAAGTCAATATTTTTTTTGATGTTATGATTTCAGAGGAAAGTCAAGAGTTGAACGACCTTTTGAACGAGTGTCAAGCCGCCACAGATAAACTAAGAAATGATCTATATTCAACGTTTGAACCGAAAATAGTGGAACTACCCACATTAGTTGTGTTTGATACACCTAATTGTTCTGTAAGTATTGTTTTTATTAAAATTTTTGTTTTGAATTTTCGAAGTTATACTTCTTTTGGCACGTTTGGAAAAAAATATGAGAGTAAAATTCTTACGATGCACGCGCACACCGACAGCCGAAAACTGACATGATGAAGTTAGCTGCATTCCTTTTACAAACAGAGAGTTGTGACATACGGGATGAAATCTTTAGCTATTTTTGTTCTGTTACGCCAAAGAAGTATAACTTCTTACGTGCGTACATAAGTACACATACACACGTTTTTTCTTGGCGTCAACATACAAATAGTTTTTTAATGGCGTCAATATACAAATAGAATATTTAAAAAATGGATTTAAAGTGTATTTTTTAGTTATTTACAATTTTATCAAAGGTTTTGGCTGTGTTATATTTTTCTTGTTTTGTTTTTAAAGCCCCACTGCTGGGCTCGGACCTCCCTTTAATACGAGGGGGATCAGGCCATAGTCCACCGCGTACTGGTTGTACCAACCAAGTACTGGTTGGCGGACATTATTATTTTTTTTAATTAGTTCGTCAATATGAAAATGGAATGTTTTTTTTTGTCCTTTAGATTATTATATTAAAGATTTAGATTTTATTAAAAATGATTTTAAATTAATATTTTGTATTTCAATAACTTTCAATAATATTTTATATTGACATATGAAAGAAAAACACGGATTTTATATTTTATCCAAATTGAGAATCAAACCCACATTCTAAACCCCCTTTCGTTTAATTATTAAGGTGAATTGTTATGAAATGACAAAAAAAAACAACATTTTTCTCTACAGTAATGTATATTCAAATTTTTCAGTATTCGTGCACGAATTCTTCGAAAGGCGCAGAAGTAAGTTTTATTTATTAATTTGATTTTTTTAATTTTTTAATGTATTGGAAAAATAATTGGAAACCTCCTTTTTTTGAAATCGGTCAAAGATAATAATTTCATCTTGCCAGCAACCACATCTTCAGTTTATTTAGTTCACAGAAGACGCTGAAATCTCGAATTTAAACTTTTAAAATTATATATAAGGACAAAAGTTATAATAATAATTTTATTTAGGTTTTTTTTTTGTTTTATTTTGCCAATTACTTTTCGTGCTCTAATAATAACTACCTGGGCGACCGAGCTTCGCTCGGAGTTATTTTTTGTTGTATCGTATTTTTTAGATAAAAAACTTAAAAGTTGAATAAATAAATAAAAAAAAAACAAAAATAAAATCTTTGTATCCGATCGGGATTCGAACCAGGACACCTGTGATTGTCAATCTTGCGCCTTGCCCGCTTGACCACGATGCTTACGCCCGAGTGTGCGAAATTAGCGACCATATTTTGCGTGGAATAATGAGAAAGAGAACCACATGAAAACTCGAAAACACGCGTTTTCCCAGACTTAAGACTGATCCAGATCGATTTTTCGCCCCCGAAAATCCCCACATCAAATTTCATTAAAATCGTTACAGCCATTTCCGAGATCGCCGGTATATAATATAAATAAACAAGAATTGCTCGTTCAAATATTGTAGGTGTTTTTTTAATTATATGGGTGTCACGCGATAACTTTGTAAATATTTTTGTTAGTAATTATTGAAGTCATTTTTATAATATTTTATTAATAAATATGTTATTTAGGATGGTTATATAAATGGTCTCATATAAATTTTTGTATAAAGCTGTAAAGGCGAATTGTACCAAATTGCACGTATATTGTATAAATAATTATAGAGTCATTAGGATAAGTATCGACCATCGGGTGTATCTTTCCAATAAATAAAAAAACAATAAATAAAAAAAACGTGTGTGTGGATGTAAGTATATGTACGCACGTAAGAAGTTATACTTCTTTGTCGTAACGGAACAAAAATAGCTAAAGGTTTCATCCCGTTTGGCTCTTCATCATGTCGCTTTTTGGCTGTTGGTGTGTTTTTTTCCAAACGTGCCAAAATAAGTATAATTTCAAAAAAAAACACGTCACCCATAGTAGTGGAATAAATGATTTAAAACTTATTTTAAACTTACTGTACCTTGTTTAATTCAGGAGTAATGTTATATCTAGACTAATGATATACACTCGTTTTCCCTTGGGCGCGTCTCTTAGTACATTTTGTATTTATAATATTATATACAAAAAGCTATACATTTTGGCAAATTTTGTTACTAACATCCATACTGATATTATAAATGTGAAAGAGTGTTTTTTTGTTTGTTTGTTTGTCCTTCTTTCACGTCGAAACGGAATGACGGATTGGAGTGATTTGTTGGAGGGCTGGAGAGTGACATAGGCTACTTTTTATCGTGGTAGATTACCTCATTTCCACGGGATAACACGTTAAAATGCACCCAAAAAAATAATTTATGATCAGAATTACTTGAAACTCGGTATTATTGTTTTTCAATTCAATTAAATAAGTACGTGTTTTAGCATTTCTCGAAATTCATCTCATAAGGGGGTAAAATAGGTGATGAAAGTTTGTATGGAACCTACTTTTTTGTTTTTCTTTTAGTTTTAGCGCGAGCGAAGCCGTGGGTTCTGCTAGTTAGCCTGTATATTACTCCAGGTCATAGTTTATCTCTGTATTAAATTTCATCCAAATCTGCCCAACCGTTTAAGCTTGAACGAGTGACAAACATACACACATATGAATTATATATGTATAATGTTATTTGCAGGAAAAACTAATTAAAGACGCAGCATCATTGAAATTGAAACGAGGACGTTCGCCATCGAAGGACATTCCATCTAAACGACCCGCCATACCGTTAGGATATACGCCTTTGGAAGATAAAACTAATATAGTATGTATTGTTTTATTTAAATGGCAAAAACACATAAAACTTTTTTATAAATAGCAAAAATAAATAAAAAAGATAATTGTAGAGGTTGTTTATTATCGTAACTGTATAAAAAATGCTGACTTTCAGACATTAAAAAGTAAAAACTTACAAAAGTACCTATTTATAGATTCTAAACAGTTAAAAATAACTGAACGAGTGTTTATTTACTATAGATCTATACTTATTATTATAAAGGGGAAAGATTAGATTTTTTGTTTGCTTGTACATAATAGGCCCTGAAACTTCTGAACCGATTTAGATGAAATTTGGTAAGAATATAGTTTGAGACCCTGGATATGGAGGATATGGAGACATAGGATTTTTTATTCCGGAAATCATCCCTTAAGAGAGTGAAAATGGGGATGAAAGTTTGTTTGAAACAGTAAAATTATATAATGCTCAATAACATATTTTGAATTTGAATAAAATAATCTAATATTAAATTAAAATTATTAGCATTCGTTATCTATATTTTAAGAGCATTGTATTTTCACGACATTCACAAGTTTCGACTAATTTATGAAATTATAAAAAAAATATACTGCGGCAAAAAAAAACAATACAATCCATATATTAAATTATATTTTCAATTTGATTTTTTTTCTTATAGGAATCAATTGAACATACAGGTGACAAACTGGATGACGATGTAAGTATTATATTATATGTATATAATGCTTCAAATTTTTTCTCTTAATGAATAGTGGCCAGAAAAAAAACATTTGGCCACTCATAATTTGGTTTCATAGCATAAAGCAATATCAACAATAAAGAAGCGAATTCTGATCAGATATAAATTAAAAATGTGGTAAAGTTATAAAATTTACTATCTTTGTTTCTTAATACTTTCTTAGATTTACGCGAATATTTGATATTTTAAATAAAACTATTTAATTATTTTTTTTCGCGGATTTATTTTGATTTTTGGTTCCCGACATTTAGGATGCTTTACAACATTCATGGTCACGGGAGAGATAGTGACCATGATTGCTGTAAAGAATGAACGAAACGTCAGAAAGTAAAAATCGAAATAAATCTACAAAAAATACATAAAAGATAGTTTTTTTAAAACCTTATTTCTACAACCACAATAAATAATTGCTTAAATTATTTTGATGTTAAGAAGAAGATAGAAGAAGAAAATAAATTGAAATTTCAAAATGGTCCTTCGAGCCACTACTATTGATTTTTTTATTACAGTCAACAGACGTGGCTGTGGTCAAATTATCCGCAGAATCTGCCCCAAAAGACCTTCCACCCTCTGGGGAGGTGACCTTTGCCCCCTTAAAAGTTGGTATGACGGTATACGCCATGAAAAATACATCTGGTTCATGGTTGAAAGCGAGGATAGTGGAAATCATACCGAAAGGTGGAGCAGTAAGTATTAAAATACAATAGAACTTTATTTATTGAACATACTGTTTTTAGATTATATAAAAAACTAGCTTTTACATTTTAACTTTTAGTATAGATTTCTCAGAGATGAGATATTTTCCTGCAGTTAAAATTATTCTATATGTTGATCCGGATAACCAGCTATCATCATACCAAATTTCATCAAAATCCGTCCATTGGTTTTCTCGTGATGCGGTTACAGACCGAAAAACAAGTATTATAAAAAAAACTATATATTCGGTCTCTGTATCGATATTAATAAGTATTTCAATAAGATTTTCCAAAAAATGTTTATTGTACAGATTCGGCTCAGAATTTTATTATATGTATTGTATCAAAAATTGTGTACTGGTTTATGTTAAATAAATAAATTTAGAGGTGTCTTTATAATCTAACTGAATAATATGTTGTTCTGATGTTTTTCTCTCTAACGTCAAGATTGTAGAATTAATTTTGTGTTTTAAGAAACAAATATTTTTTCAATTTATAAGAGGTCTTAATCAATTTTATGCGAAATATAGCTGTAATCCAATAGTTTAGTATCTAATCTTTGTGGAATTTGTTGACTGAGGTTCTGGGTTCTGGTTTCAAGTTCTGGGTCGGGCTAAGAGCTCTGGGAGTTGGGATGAAAATTGTTAGTCATTATTCTATCCTTGGGAATGGTTTTATTTTAATATTATAAATTAAATCTTCTTTTTTTGAAATATGTTAAAGCTGAGTTCTATTATAATAATGTCGATATATCAAAATAAATGTGGATTTATTTTGATTTTCGGTTCCTCCCGATTTTTTGAATTAACTGAACGAGGTTTTTCATTTAATTTATTTATTTAAAATGAATCCGCCAAATAATCCGAAAAGATAGTATTTTTTTAAAGGTAAAAATATGAGTATATTATTCTTTATGTTTGTTTGATTATCCCTTTTCAGAACGCTTTCACGGCTTGTCGAGTCAAATTCGAGCATAGAGTATCTAAACAGCCCTTCAAGACTTTGCCGGCTAGACATTTGGCGTACTTCGAACCGCCAGACGTCAGGATGACTATTGGTAAGGAGAAATATTTAAAATACATAAATACCTTGGGACATTAACACACAGCACCATCTTGTTCCATGGTAAGCTACGGGGCTTGTGTTATGGATACCAGATAGTTCATACAATACACATACAATTTCCATAAATTAGCTAAAAAATCCGTTAGCTTGTGATAATTGTATTAGGTCTTATTTATGTTAGGTGGGCTTTCCTCAGTGCTAGCATCGGCTATACGCGACCACAATGGACAAGTACAGGCGATTGACCATGTCTTTTGAAAACTCGTTAGCTTTCTCATGATATTTTCTTTTACCGTAAGGCAAGTGATAATCATGTTGAAAATAATTGGCACATGATGGTGCGATATTCGGGATTTGAACCCGCTTCATTTGGTTCTGGGTCCAAAATAAACGAGCGTGTTACCACTGGGCTACAGGCATATTACCTTAATTGTTATAATTTAAAAAAATACCAAAAAGTAATACATATATATGTCGTTTGTTTGCAGGACGTCGTGTAATAGCTCTGTTCAAAGATGTGAATAAACGCGAATCTTTCTATTCGGGCATTGTCGCTGAGATTCCGAATCCAGTGAATTCTTACAGGTGCGTCGATTTTTCTCTAAAATATCATATACTACACTATTTTGACATCTGTCTGTTAATCAGTTTAGTCGATAAATATTTTCATGGTAAAACTTCAATGAATAATAATCTTTACCGACCAATCTCCTTCGTGTCTTCTCCATTCTACGTGACATTAGCGAAGTTATCTGTGCTCAATTGGCACGATTTTTGCCCAAATGCAGGCGGATTGAGCATGTCTTGTGAAAACTTGCTAGGTTCTCTCAGACATGCAAGTTTTTTCACAGAAAATGTATCGCACATGAGATTATCAGAGGTGCAAAACCGGAATTTGAACCCGCTTCACTTGGTTTCCCAAGCGAGCGCGCTACCACTGGGTTACCACCTTACCCCCCATACTTCATATAGTTATTTTTCCATGTAATCACTAATCATAATAATTGATTTCCGGGATAAAAAGTATCCTATATCCTTCCCAGGGTCTCAAACTATCATCTTACAAAATTTCATCTAATTCGGTTTAGTAGATCCAGAGATTACCCCCTACAACGTCACAAACTCACAATATAACAAACTTTACCTCTTTATATATTAGTATAGTTAATTATTTTTTCATGTACGTAAACACTAATCATAATTATTTCCGTTTTTTCCTTTAAGATACTTAATATTCTTCGATGACGGCTATGCACAGTACGCGCCGCATGCGCATACACGTTTAGTATGTGAGTGCGCCGCTTTAGTATGGGAGGAAGTTCAGTCTTTCTCACGGGAATTCGTACGCCAGTACCTACTGGCTTACCCTGAACGTCCCATGGTCCGTCTCCATGCTGGACAGAATCTGAAGACTGAGTGGCGTGGTGAGTATTGCAATGGATCCTTTATTCAAATAAAGTCCATGGTCCATATTATATGGTTTATGATTCGTGAGTCTGTATGCTGTATGAGTACTTGCTGATTTACCGTGAACGTTCAATGGTCCGTTTTCATGCTGGATAGAGTCTGAAGACTGAGTGGCGTGGTGAGATAATTGCAGTGGATTCTATTAGATGGTCCATGGTCCATTTTGTGTTATGTATAGATTTAACTTCTGTATCTTATGGTCCATATTATTAGGTCTATTTTGTATATTCAGTCTGTAGCTTGTGACAATTAAAGCGAAAAGCTCCGGTAAAAAGGAATCCAGTTAAAGTCCTTTATGTGCATATAATTTCTAAATTATGACTAGTATGGTTTATAAATGGATTTGTCATTTTATTATAAATTAATATTTTGCATTAAACTCATTTCCGAATCGATGGTAGTATGTAGAGAGTATCATAATATGTCCAATATGTAAATATTTAAGAAGTTGAAATTATGCATAAGCCTTTTTGAAATTTTGTTTAAACCCTGTCATGCTCACACGAAAATTTCAATGTATTTCAGATTTTATATGGGATTCGATTATTATTTGTTTTTTATAATATATTTTTTAAACAAGGAAAATGGCTGCCATCTCGAGTGTTACGTGTAGACGCGTCGTTAGTCGAAGTGCAGTTTCTGAAGGTAGCCAGAAGAGAATGGATATATCGTGGCTCTACGAGACTGGCGCCATTATATCTAGAATTTAAGGCTGCAGAAAGGCATAGACCTAGGGCTATGCCCAGAACTCAACCACAGTCTAGGGTGAGTGGGAATGTCTAAAATATCTAATTCTACATTTTGTATTTTGTTGCTTATTTACATACATAATACGATTATGTCATATATTTGCTCTGTTTCGAGGTTTCGAAATATGTTACATACTAATCTATAGTGCTACTTAAAGAGAAGAAAATAATGTTTGTTTGTTTGGTTGTTTGTTTAAATAAAATAAATAAATATTTTGGGACATTAACACACAGCACCATCTAGTGCCATGGTAAGCTACGAGGCCTGTGTTATGGATACCAGATAGTTGATACACTACACATATTATTAATATAAACACCCATGGCTAGAGTACAAACATTCGTGCTCATCACACTAATGAATGCCCCTAGCGGAACTCGAGCCCGCGACCACTGGCACATCAAGTAGGCTCACTACAAACTGAGCCAAACGTGTTGCTAGTAGATTTATATAGATTAATATGAAATTTGTCCCTTTCAGTCGAACATGCCGTACGTAGAATACACGCGATCAGACGAGCAAAATAAGGCATCAGACAATCAATCACAACAAATAATAATACAGCAACAAAATGAGGTAATACTTTTTAACAAAGTTCCTTTCTATATGTCTTATCTTTCTCCCTTCCCTCCCTTTAACCTCCCATTTTCACTCCCTCACCCATCCCACTAGTCCCTCCCGCTTCCTCCCACCCTCGTACTCCAACACCCCTACCCCAATCTAAAAATGGCAATCTCTCCTTGAGACAACGAGGCGACAAAGAAACTGGCAAACTTCACCTACCAGGCAAGTACCACACCAGAAGCAGAAGAAACACCATCAAACTCAACCCATAACTCTTAAAGTCCTTTCTTCTTTTATTAAATAACCTTCTTAAATGATTCTGAAATTGTACACGCACGAATAAAATAAAAATAACAGCAAAATGCTCAAAAAAGGCACGGACGTTTGTCTGTGGGTGTTAGACTTACTCAAATAAAAAAAAACACCCCTACCCCCTTCCTCTCCCCCTACTCTTTTATTTTTCCATTTTTTCTTTTTTGGTCTTCTAACTTTTCTTTTTTTATTTCTATAAAGATATAGATAGTTCTATGTAAATATTAATAATATTTTTTTAATTATTATAATTTTCTTTGTCGTATTTTAACAAGTGATATTCTTGTTGGGTATGTGAGGTCCGTTTGGAACTCGCGTTACATAGTTTTGCAAGGTATTGCGTAATCAATGCGCTCCCCCCTCCCCTCCTCTCGCTCTCTCTCCCCTTCTTACTCTCTATTATCACTTAATGAATAGATATAATTAACAGAACAACGAAGATTAACAGAACTTTTCTACCTTCCCCCACCCCTTTCCCCTTTCTATAATCTAATTAATATATTTACTTAGGTATCATACCTAAGTAAATATATTAATTTACTAAATATTTACAATCTTGATGGATGCTAATAAAATAAATAAGATATAGATAATTTGACCTGTAACTTTGCATGCTTTTTTACTGAACGTCATGAGTCTACTACCTAAAGGTTTTAACTTTACAAAACATTGTTTAGTGAAAAAGATTTTCAATTCAATTCAATTAATTTTTTCTTGTTAATGCCTTCAAAGTGTTGCCAGTTGCGCAAAGAAGATCTTTTGCGAAAACATTGAAAATAGTTTCTTATTTGCAGGAATTACGCCGTCAACGCGCCGTAGCAAAGAAATCAACGACTGCACCGTTACAGACGACTGCGTATGCAAGTTCGAATCTCGACAACGTCTGTAGTAGGGTCGTGGTAAGTTATTCTATGTGTAGATGTGCCGAGAGAAGTATGAAAGTGAGATTTAAAGATGAAAAATTTAAGTACATAATTACAAGAGAGAAGTTAATAAACTGTGACGCAATTAGAAAATTATTAGAATACTAGCGATTCACCCTCGCGTTTTAAAGTTTAATATAGATTTTTCAGAGAGAAGATATTTTCCCGCAATAAAAAATATCGTATATGTTGACCCGAATGACTAGCTATCACCATACCAAATTTTATCAAAATCTCTCCTGTGGTTTTTCCGTGATGCGGTAACAGACAGACAGACAGATAGAAAGACAGACAGACCAAAATTTTAATAAGATTTTCCAAAAAATATTTAATGTACAGATTCGGCTTAGTTACAATTTTATTAAATGTATAGATAGATGTATAGATGTACATACAAAAACAAAAAAAAAAAACACATTTGAAAATAACAAAACAAACAAAAAAATAACACTTATTGGACAAATATATTTGACATAAGCACGACATATAATTAATAAATAGTAAGATCATCATTGTGTTAGTTGTGTATGTAAGTCACTGTTTTTTTTAGTACTATACACCTAAAAACGCAGTGAAACCACTCAAAATGGTTCCACACATCTGTTCACCGAAATGTAAGAGGAAAGATGTGTTGGCATTGAAGGATCTAAGGACCTACAATCCGTTGGCTAAGCCTTTGCTGAGTGGATGGGAAAGGTGAGTTCTTAAATTTTAGTAGTAGGTTCTGTTCTCGGTTAGCTTCTTTTAAGATTTCGTACTTAAAGAATCGTTTCTTAAAATCTTTTGATTGGATTAAAGCCAATATTATTCATTGCATTAATTCTGTTTTAATATATAATAGTACTAGCGACTCACCCTCGCTTCGCTCGGGTTCGTGCCTAGTAAGAAGCAAAAACAAATCTATCCCACGGGAACCGTACAATTTTCTGGGATAAAAAGTAACATATGTGCTATTGCAGACTATAATCTATCTCTGTACCAAATTTCATCCAGATCCGTTCGGCCGTTCTGGCGTGATTGAGTAACAAACATCCATCCATCCAAACTTACGCATTTATAATATTTGTATGGAATAGAATGCCAAGTGAAAATTTGGTTATGTCTGATTGTTCGTATGTCACAGAAATTTTACTCGGGCTCTAATATATTGTATTAGGGATATTTTTACTAGGTGTCTATATATTAGGTGTTCTGTTAGAAAATATAAAGAAAAGAGGGATGATACATTTTTATTGGAATAAAAATGAGTGTAGCACTTGGCGGTAATATAGTTTGTTATTAGTGAAAGAATTTTTAGAATCGTGTCATAAGTTTCAGAGATTACCCCTCCACATACAAACATACAAACTTTAATTGTTCATAATATTAGTGTACATTTGTTTATGTTTTATAGACAAATAGTAAGATGGAAATGCCATAAAGAAGTAATGTATAGAGCCCCCTGTGGCCGGCGTTTGAGGGATATGCGAGAGTTGCACAAATATCTAAGAGATATACAATCTGACATGGCTGTGGATTTGTTTGATTTCTCACCTTCTACGCACTGTTTGGCCGAATTCGTCCTGAATAAATGTTTTGTCGGCAAAAAGGTGAGTATTTTTTTTGGACTTGTTGATTTTTATCTATGGACTTATATATTTGTATAAGGATATAAAACCTCTATGTATAATATATAATTATAAATATAGTAACAATAATAGATACATAGTGCTATTTAGATATGTCTGAGTCTGTTGATGATCTCCACTAATAAAAAAAAACAAAAACCAATTTTAAAAAGAAACAAACTCCATATTAACCGTTTTCCTGTCTAATGAATCTTAAATGAACATTTCGATTGTTTAACTATTGTGTCTATTGTTTGCAGACAGTTAATCTGTTAATATTGAATTTCCTTAAAATCGATTAATCATTTCTTTTGTTTCTCATGTCTCACAGAAATACGAGGTACATTTGACATATATTATTTTTATAATATTTGCCTACGGGCAAAGGTTAAGTTTTTAACATAAAGGTTTATCTATTAACATTTAAAATCGTTTTTGTTCTGGCAGAATAAATCAATCCTTTGCCTGCTATTATTATAAAAATTGCGATAAAAAGTAAAATAAATATTAACCTATGTCAAGTATAATAAAACGACTTGTTCCAAAATGTAAATATTTTTCAGTTCAGTAACATTTTTAAGCAGCCATTTTGTACATTTCAAAACAATAGAAAATCAATTGGCTTTTAAGAGTTAGTTAAAGATGTGTCACATAATGTACAAAATTAAAGCGTAATTTCTTCATTCATTCATTTCATCTAATAAATCAAAATAGCATATAATTTTAAATCAACTAAATACAGATAATAAAACCAGTTTTTTTTTAATTTCAGGATTTGTCACATGGCAAGGAAAACGTGCCGGTGCCATGTGTGAATTATTATGATGATTCGCTGCCAGAATTTTGTTCCTACAACACTGAGAGAACACCCACTGCGGGAGTGCCCCTAAATTTGGATCCAGAGTTTCTATGTGGATGTGATTGTGAAGACGATTGTGAGGTATAATAATATACGCTTTTGTATCGATATTTTCTTTGATTTTCTTGATTATTATTGTCATTATAATGTCTATGTAAAGCCATTTTATATCACATAGATAGATAGCTGTTTTACAAACTAGCTGACCCACGTTTAGCGTTTTTTTTGTGTAATTACTGAACTTTAATGCATAGAATTGCATGAATGTTTTGCATTTATGTCAACATGTCAACGATTAGAGGTTATGTTAAACAGCGTGAAATGAAACGTCGAATTGTAGATTGTAGATTTCAGTAATTTTTGATTTCTGATTAGGTGACAGGTCCGATAACGTAGGTTGAGAAGATTAATTCGCCTTCTCGTTAGGTCTTTTTTTATTAAAACCCTGAACACCTATGTATTTCAAAACTTACTAGCGGAACGGCAATCTGACAGCTGATCAGAATAACTAGCGGTTTTGTAAAACAGCTGATACGGCAATCCATCTGCGATATTGACATAGCTAGATAATGCTTTTCATTTTATTTCATTATTTTGAGTTAGTTATAATATTTTATATACGTATAACAAAAAAAAATATAACTTACTTCACTCCAACTTTTGTCCAAGGCTCCGCTGCCAAAGCTTAGTAAATAACGCCTTACGTTTCTTATTTCTCATATCACATCAATTTTTAACAAATTTTTTGTCCAATATTAATCTAAAGAACTATATACACTACCTATTCGGTGTCAGTATAGTATTAAAACAATTAGAACGAATTCAATTTTGTTTTCATTCCAATCTTCAACACTAAAAGCGACTCGCTCGCCGAAATAGACGTTTCACGTTAAACCAACTACAGTGTGATTTTATGATCTTTCTCATACTGAACTGTTTTGTCTTTACCTATCTATATATGTATATATATACATAAAAAAAAACTGTTTATAATTTATATTAGTGAAACTTCTTTAGAATCTTTGTTATTTAAAACTCGATTTTATTTAAGGGAGCTCCCAGACAACAAACATGATTTTTTGGCTCGTTTTTGCTCTATATTGATAACGGGAACAGGTAGACGCTTGAAATATTCACAGAATATTTAGTTGTATATTCACTTTAAAAATAAATAATTAAATTAAAATAAAACAAATATTTTAGTGGGGCTCCCATATAACAAACGTGATTTTTTTGCTGTTTTTATAGATAATGGTACGGAACCCTTAGTCCGTGAGTCCGACTCTCACTTGGCCGGTTTTTTGTAAATTGATTGTCTGTATCGTTTTGTTCAGGACAAAACAAAATGTGCATGCTGGAAGATGACTCTCGAAGGTGCTAAAACTATAGGTCTTGAAGGAGATAACGTGGGTTACGCATACAAGAGACTACCGGAGCCGTTGCCTTCGGGTATATACGAGTGTAATTCTAGGTAAGTGCAATACATAATTTCTTAGATTTACACGAATATTTGACATCTATATGCTCATATTATAAAGAGGAAAGATTTGATTTTTTGAACTCAAGAACTATTAATCTGATTTGAAAAATCTTTTTGCATTAGATACCCGGCTTATTGGGAAAGACTTATAGGCTATATATCATTTAATATATAGACTATACTAACCCTTAAAACTTATAAAAAATATCAATTTAAAAAAAATATCTACGTCTGTCTGTTTGTTCCGGCTAACCTCCGAAAAGGCTGGACCGATTTTGACGGAACTTTTACTCGCAGATAACATTATTATAAGGAGTAATTTAGTTACTTTTGTTTTAAAAAATAATTACGTTTCCGCGCAAAAAAAAAAAACGCATGAAATTGTGAACAAAAACCGTAGCTAAAACGAAAACGTCCAAAGAAAAAGTCTTTTTTAGCGTGAGGAACTTTAGCTGGCGTATATAGAGTAACCCACAAGAGTTTCATCACAATCGGATCAATGGTTTAGGAACGCATGGAGGACAAACATACGAACATTCATTTTTATTTATATAGATAAGCTGTGGACAATCGCTTCGCCTCTAAGGATCTTAGTGTGGTGTAAAATATCCTGTACCCTCTTTCATAAGTAAACTATAAAATGCAATAAAATATTTCAAATCTAACAGCTAGTTCCATAGATCAATGCGTACAAATACACAGAATAATATTATTATTTTTTCTCATTTTTATATATTTCCATAAATTTTAAATGTTTCTTTCAGATGTAAATGTAAACACACGTGTCTCAATCGCGTCGCACAACATCCCTTGCAGCTAAAACTACAAGTAAGTATATTTATGATGATTTGTATATTGTATATTGTTATTTGCAAAGCATTATGATCTATACAGATAAATAAAATTGAAGTGTCTATTTGTAATGTCAAAATAACAGCTCTTTACTAAATGCATATGAAAGTATATACGGCACTAGTAAGAAAAAACAATTTTTCTTTTTTTTTCTTTCTGTTTGTTTGTTCCGGCTTAAATCTTCGAAACGGCTGGACCGATTTTGACGGGACTTTCATTGGCATATAGCTGATGTTATTAAGAGTAACTTAGAATACTTATATTTTAGAAAAAAAATTGGGGTTTCGCGCAAAAAAATTAAAACCCATAAAATTGTGAACAAAACCTTTGTGTACTTAGGGACGACCAGAGCGAAGCGAGGGTAAGTCGCTAGTCATTAATAAGTTATCTATACTATTGTACTATAATATTATAAAGAGGTAGTTTGTAAGTTTGTGACGTTGTAGGGAGTAATCTCTAGATCTACTGAACCAATTTAGATAAAATTCGCTGAGAAGATAGTTCGAGACGCTGAGAAGGACATAGGATACTTTTTATCCCGGAAATCATTCTTTAAGAGGGTGAGAATGGAAATGAAAGTTTGTGCTGGGAATCAAGCTAGGGACGAATTCGAGCGAAGCGAGGGTGAGTCGCTAGTAGATAATAAATATAAAAAAAATCTTTTCAGGTATTCAAAACGGGTAATCGTGGTTGGGGAATACGCGCTCTAAACGATATCCCTAAGGGAGCCTTTTTATGTGTATACGCGGGGAACCTATTGACAGACGCTACAGCTAATTTGGTAAGTAAAACGCTATTTTCTTAGTTATTTGTTACAACAGGTTATTATTCCACGGGAACTTACTATGAAAAAATTTGTAGAAATAAAAGATATTTATCCTTCAAAATATGTCACTCTAGATTCATTTATACTCTAGTCATCTATAGTGTTTCATATACCACGCCACCACCACGCAAAAAATATTTAAAAGTCTATACTTAATATTAATTTATCCCGCTCGTTATATATGTACATATAATTAAAAATTGCTGAGTTCGTAAAAAAAAAACGTAACGCTAATTGAACGTAGTTATGCAAAATAGATCCAACCACAAAAACTTACTTTTGAGAAAATAGGAGTTTTAGCAAAATTGGTACGTATATCAAAGTAACAAGATCGTTGTTTTTTTTGTTTAATTTCTTTTAAATATTCGGTATTTTATCTACTTTCTGTATATATGTTGATAAATATATAGGTGCAATTTGTGACAGTAACTCAAACGGTTTTCGTGGCTCTAACTAATCCACTTAATTATTATCCGTGGTATTAATATTTATTATATACTCCCTTCCGGTTTGCTTAGATTTGTCTGCTCAAGTAAACAACACTTGTACTCAGCCCTTTTTAACGTCCCACTGCTGGGGGTGGGCTGCCCTTCAATACATGGGGGATCAGGGTATAGTCCACCACGCTGGCCGACTGCGGGTTGGCGGATTAACACACCTTAACAAACCTTTAACAAGACTTAATTGAACATTAAAAAAAACTCTTAGGGGTGATTTTTTTTGTTGATATTTTTGACTTTAAGCTATTATCCATTTTAGGATGGTCTGAACGAAGGAGATGAGTATTTAGCCGAATTAGATTATATAGAAGTGGTCGAGCAAATGAAAGAAGGATATGAAGAAGATATACCGGAAAATATAAAGAAATTAGATAAGGTATGTCATTATGTATTTGACGACATGTTTGGCTCAGTTTTGCCTCAGTTTGTGTGATGAGCACGAATGTTTGTACTCCAGCCATTGGTGTTTATATTTATAATTCATATATAATATATATGTGTAGTGTATAAACTATCTGGTATCCATAACACAAGCCTCGTAGCTTACCATGGAACTAGATGGTGCTGTGTGTTGATGTCCTGACATATTTATTATTATTATTATGATAAGGTTTAAAGTAACTGTTCTTATTTTGTATTTGTTTGGTTTATTTTTATTTAGTGGGTGTATAGATAACTTTGACTGATAAATTTTAACTAACGGTAATAAAATAAAGCAGTTAAATAAAACAGTTACTAAGTTGCCACTTCACTTTGCATATGAAGTCCCGTATGAAGTATTAATTTGTTTTCAATCATTATTATTAGTCACTAGCGATTTAGCTTCCCTGCGCTCGCGTCCCTAGCTTGTTTCCCTATACAAACTTCGATCCCCATTTTCACCCCCTTAAAGGTTGATTTCCGGGATAAAAAGTATTCTATGTCCTTCTCAGGATCTCAAACTATCTTCTTACCAAATTTCATTTAAATCAATTCAATAGATCTAGAAATTACTCCCTACAACATCACAAACTCATAAACTGTACCTCTTTATAATATTAATATAGGTTAATGTTTACATTTTTTTTTCAAATAACTATGTTAATTACAGAAAGAATCTTCCCAACAACCTTCGGAAGAGTCGGAAGATGAACTATCGTCGGAAGGGGAGTCTAATAACAGTAACTACGATCAAGAAGATGACGACTTCCAACCGGGATATATATCTAACTCTGTGTCTGAGTTCAAGTAAGTATGGAAAGAAATGTAAAAAATATCAAAAAAAATGGTTATTTTTTCTAGTTGACGTGAAAGAATTATGGAACAAGCAACTCACCCTCGCTTCGCTCGGGTTCGTCTTTAATGAAAATCAAAAACAAATCTAGCCCACAGGAATCGTACATTTTTCCGGGATAAAAAGTAACCTTTGTGCTATTCCAGACTATAATCTATCTCTGTGCCAAATTTCATCCAGATCCGTTAAGCCGTTCTGGCGTGAAAGAGTATCAAACATCCATACATACTCACAAACTTTCACATTTATAATATTAATAAAAGGAGGTATCAAATGGGATTGGGGAAAGTTAGATAGTTTTAATTAATTACAATTATTTGTTCCAACAGTAAACGTCTACGCAGACGAGATTCTAAGAAGGACAAAGAAGAAGCTAACCAAAAAGAAAAGGAGAAAGAGAAAGAGACAGAAAAGAAAGAGAAAGAGACAGAAAAGAAAGAGAAAGAGGAGAAGGAAACGAATCCAGATGAAGAGTGCATCACAATCAGCGATGATGAAGAAGGTAAGGTTATTAATTAATAATAATAAGTGTATGGATGTTTGTTTTTTCTTCTATCATGCAGTAACTAGGTTATGGATCAGCTTGATAGTTAACCCCCGATGCAAATAGGGGTGTTATAAGTTTAACGTGTGCTACTGTGTGTCTGTCTGTGGCATCGTAGCACCCAAACGGATTATTTGTTTTTGTTTGATAGGTGACTTGATCGAGAGTATTTTTAGCTATAAAATAAGAAAATCGCTTCAGTCGTTTGCAGGCTATCAGCTCTTTTCTAGACGGTAAAAGGATATGAGTGACTTCCACAGATCTAATTTATTCGAAACTTGGTATCCCGTTACTTTAAAGACATTGCAACGATATGGTAACCTTGGCCTGATGCTGCAGCGTCATCTGGAATCTGCAAGATACTCAGCTCTTTACTAAAATACTGTAGATATATCGTGTTTAGGCACATTGAAATGGCTTCGATGAATAAGTTATTGCGTTGTAGGGTTTTTGAAGTTATACTTCTTTTGGCACATTTGGAAAATAATATGAGAGTAAAATTTTTACGATGAGCGCGCACACCGACAGCCAAAAAGCGACATGATGAAGTTAGCTATATTCCTTTTACAAACAGGGAGTTGTGACATACAGGGTGTGTGATGCGGGGTGAAATCTTTATTATTTTTGTTCTGTTACGCCAAAGAAGTATAACTTTTCAAGTGCTTACAAAAGTACACACACTCGTTTTTTTTATAATTTATTTTCTGTTTGAACTTATTTATGGTATCTATTATTTATGGTTTCAACTTCTTTATTATAAAAAAAAACGAACTAATTTTAATAATTTAATAAGTAAGTATGGTTAAAGGCTTTCAATTGTTTTAATGATTTAAAAAAAATCTGGCATACCTATAGGTTTTAAAATTACAAGCCCAAAATTTGTCCCAATTGTAGTATAACCGCTATCTTGACGATAAATCTAGAGGGAAACTAAAAAAAATCATTTCATATTAAAATAATATTATTATTACTAATAATAAAAATAGAAATACCAATATTTTGAAGTAAAACTTGTGTAGTCGTGACTGAGGTGTAATTCAGTGCATTGAAAAAATGATTGTTGCGGAAATACGATGTGGCGGGAATATTCAAAAAATGTTATATTTATAAAAAATAAATATTGAATACTAATAATTTTATAAAAATTACTAGCGTTTTCCCGCGGCTCCGCCCGCATAGTACATTAATCACCAACATGTCATATACTAAAACCTTCTCCGAAACACGCCGCATCTTGTGGTATGAGTATTATTCCGATCGATTCAGTAGTTATCGCAGTATAACCGAACAAAAAAATCGGCTCTCCATTTATTATTATAGATTATATTTATATTTTTATAAAAATAATTAATTTTAAAAATATATATTTATTATAAAAAAATGTAATAATTATTGTTACTCATAAAAATGAATATTTATTACAAACAATTTTATAAAAAAATATTATATCGATGGGTGCCTGGAACAAGACCGCAATAGCCATAGTAGCTGTTTTCCGATTAAGCCATTTTCGTAATCTACGAACCCTTAAATACACCTTGTGAATTTATTTCACAAATTAATAATGAAAACTGCCTGATTTAGCAAAAGCAGTATGGATATTGTCTCGTTATTCCCCGCTCATCGTTCGAATTTTGTTTACCGCAATAATTGTGCTATGTGCAATGATAAAAAAAAATTCTACCTTCTATAAGTAACGGCCACGGCCAGGCTTTGTTCCCCGAAATAAACTTAGTATACCGATTCACAATAAACATTGCTGTACAAATATTTTAAACTTCCACTAGTAATAGTAATTATGGTTTTCTTCCATGAAATAAAATTATGTCGATTGATTTTCAATAAACAGTGCTATAATATGTATGTAACCTACCTACTATTTTTCTCACATTAATTTTAAATACCAAAAGTGTTTATCAATAGAAAATACCTGCCAGATAAGATTGGTTAAGTAGGTATTATATTATTATTGTTGTGAGACATCACATAGGTGCATCTTAAAGTAATAAAATATTATGTTATTAATATTTTTGCATCTGTATAGGTAAGTAAGTAGATGTTTTTCAGAGTAGTCGTCAGTTACTGCATTGTATATCACTTGTGTAGTTTGAAATGAAATACAATGGTAATTCATTGCGGCGATATACTAAAAACTTTTTGAAAACAATGTAATATGTTGCTGTGTATTACTATAAAAATATCTCCATCGGAAATATTAAAAGTAGATAACCATACTATTAGTTTAAGCACACCCAAATACAAAAATCAAATTAGAAATAACAAAGAAATGGTGTATTTTGTGGGTATGGCATTAAAATCCTCACGAGAACATAACTTTCAGATTAATTATGACTCTGACACTACAAGTCAAACGTTGAGTGTAAATAATTCACCAGGAGAACAACGAGGGGTCACTGTATCAATAGAAGCTATAGTACTTGCTGAAGATACATATTCTAGATTTAATGTTTCTTCTCTATGTCAAGGTAGTGGTAGCGCCATAGATTTGAATATCTCTGATTATGATACTACTTTAAAACCAGAGAATATTACAGTTTCCGATTCAAATCAAACATTGTTATGCAATTTAGATAGAATTTCAGAAGATAATGATTCTTGTTCTATCTTGAACCTCGTGGTCCATAACATCTCATCACTAATTCTGCCCTCTGCAAATGAACTACAAAATAGCACAATAAGCAATTTACAAAATGTTGAGACTTATAATAATATTATTATTATACCATTCGCCGATGCTTCTGATGATCTAGTCCCACTTGTTTCTGAAAATAATATACCTGCTTCACTTATTGTTAAAGCTGTAGATGACCAACATCTAGATAATGAACATGAATATAATGAATCGGTTCTTACACGTGTGTCATCTGTTGAACCTTACATAATTGCTTCTAACATAGCACCGCCTATACTCAAACCTGGAAATAACTTACCTGAGCGGCCATCACTTCCCGAAGGGCCCATGAATGATGTATCTGTAGACGCTGAATAGACTGTCAATGCAAGCATGCATTGAACGTGAGCTAAAGAAAATAAATTTCTATATACGTCAGAACAAATTTACGCAGTTGCAATGAATGCCGTAGTTAGTGGCGAGAAATATAAAATCATAGTGATGGATCAATCTGACTTTGTCGATATAAATATGCTTATTGAAGGCCGAAATTGGACGCATGACTCTGAGGGAAATAAAATATTGTGGTCCAATATTATGGAAGTGGTTGCGTGTCATACTCATGAGGGCATACTGAAGTTAAAATACAAATTTGAAGATGATTATATTATGGAGTTACACACTCGTGATCTACCAACCAGATTTCCTACTTGAGGCGCCCGTGTACGGTGGACGCACATAAAGTGGACGTACACGGGGTGCACAAATACTCCGTGCTGCTGCTACTCTTACTGCTGAAATTCCAATGCAAAGGGCTTACAATCAAGCATGCCTAAAGCCCTACACTCAGACTTATTAAGTCTTTGTAAAAATCATAATATTGCACGCTACTACCATGATTTTTATGTGACTTGTACGTGCGAAACTGTTAAGGATGAAGTCCTCGTAGCAGAACATTATTCCCAAGAAGACACACCATTTCTTTATGAATAATTTTGTTATTTCTTTTTGATACCTACCAAGATTTTAATATTGTTTCTGGTTCCATTTATGTAGATAGACTTTGATAATAATAAAAAAGGGTCGAAATTCATACAAATTTAATACATTTTAGATCGTAGAAATGTAAATCACCTGAATAACTATGTTATTGTTCTGATAAATATTGGTATTTTTTCTTATGACTTAATTATGCAAAGTGTCCAAAACTTTAAGTAAAAATAATATATACACAATAATAAATTATTACGTAATATTCTAGATTGATTGTAGTCATTCCAAAACAACCATAATTTATTTATATTTTCATTTGTTTTAATTTAATTGTGGGTATCTGCCACACGCGCACTATTTTTTATTTAACAATGCACCTTTAGTTATCTTTCCAAACGATGCTTTCAATCCAATCTATGAAGCTGGAGACCCTGGTGTAGACCCCGGGTTGGTTAGGAAGCCCACACCCAATACCGAATGATGTCACTCCTATGATAAAATGCATCGCTCCTTCACCAAGTTCTGGGAGATCGATTTTCACTTGCAAAGGACCGCCAGAATCACCCTGAAATGATTTTTTTTAGAATATATTAAAATACTAGCGACTCACGTCCCTAGATGATTCTTTAAATGGGCGTAGCTTTTTAATTTATGAACCGATTGAAATAAAACAAATACTTTTTATAATTAGGTGAAGCTTTCTATAATGTATTAGTGAAAACCGCATCCAAATCGGTGAAGCCGTTTCTGGGATTAACAACCCAAACGCACAGACAAGCAGACAAACAGACAAAAGTTCTAAAAATATTGTTTTGGGTTCTATTGCGTAAATAAAGACTCCCAATGATAGTTTTTCTCAAATATCTTCCATGTACAGACAGCGATCAGTTACACTTTTATTAATACTAGCGGCTCACCCTCGCTTCGCTCGGGTTCGTCGCTAGGTACGTTTTAAATAGATATAAAAAGAAAAAATCTTTCTTTCTCACATTTTAATTATATGTTTTAATACTTACCTATTCCGGACTAAGAGAAATCCAAAAATTAAAATATCATAAAAATTGGAACGCGGTCGAACGGGATAAAAAGTATCCTATGTCCTTCTCCTGGCTCTAAACTACCTCCCTGCCAATTTTCAGCTAAATCGGTTCAGCCGTTCTTGAGTTATAAGCGAAGTAACTAACACGACTTTCTTTTATATATATAGATGTATAGATTGTCGCGTAGTGGAGAGTGTGTAACGTCATTACACCAAAACTAATTGGCCAAAATCAATGAAATGCCTAAAGCGTGCTTTATATGTACACCCTTTTTTTCACTTTCAATTAGGGAAACAAAAGGGATTTTAATTAAAACAATTCACAACAAACAAACCGACAATTTAAAGGAATATATTTGTTTTTGGAATAATATTTTGAATGTTTACATACTACGTAGGTATGAATATTGTTAATATCTGATAACTAAGAAATGTGTAAACCATTCCATTTATTTTCGAGTAACAGTACGACAGATGATAACCAACAGATTGACATTTCAAAATAATATTACTCTTTACTTTTATTTACTCCCGATGTAAAAAGGGGAAGTTATAATGTTTAACGTGTGTATATGTGGTATCGTAGCGCCTAAACGAATACACCGATTTTCATTTAGTTTTTTGTTTAAAAGGTGGCTTTATCGAAAACGGTCGTAGCTATAAATTAAAAAAAATCAGTTCAACCGTTTGCTGACTATAAGGTTTTTTTCTGGACGGTATAAGGATATGAACAATGTCTCATTAACGTCCGGCAATCCAGCCGGGCGAAAGGCCAAGAAATGCTGGGATGAGGCCCTCCTTCGTGGCTTGGGCGGTGTGCCGTGAGGGTTGCTCCTGGTACTTATCTGATAGCAAAGTAGACCGTGGGAGCAACTCCTAGGTTCTGTGGTCTGCTCCGGCAGGCCTGACATCAGGGCATGGTGGTTCATGCGTAAGCGATCCTGCAACGCTCCTCCTGTACTTTGCTGTCAATGAAGTACCAGAAGTAACCTTGCTAGGGTTGGTCTTGTGTAATAAATGTAGATTATTTAACTTTATTTACATGTATATATAAGTATATTTCTTTTTACCTGGCACGAATCTACACCACCAGACAGCTTCCCCCCACATAACTGATGTGGCTCCAGTCCACACCAATGTCGATTACATGAATGCTGGAGCAAAGCGTCACATTGTTCCGGATCTATAATATCAACTACCGCCGCCTGAAGTTTTGGAGATGTTTTTGTTTCTGGAAAAGATAAAATATATCGTGGAACTAAAAGAGTGTTTAAAAACTAAATCCCATCGGTTTAATTGGGAGAGTAATGGTACTAGAAAAACTAATATAGAACTATTGATTTTTAAATGTCAATTGTATTGTTATTAAATACACATTTTACATTAAAAACCCCAAAATACATAAATTTTATCTTAGAAAGCTTTGTTTTTAAAATATAGGAACAAAAAATACTCTTTTCTAAAGTACAACAAGTATTGGTAGTTTAAATAAAACTGTCTTTTCGGATTTTTTCACGGATCTATTTTGATTTTTGGTTCCCGACGTTCCATTCCATATTCAATTATAAAACTTATTGAAATTATAAAAATGTTAAAAATTAAAATTAACAAATATTGTAAGGTACTTTGGTGCCATTTTTGTTTTCTTTTCGTTCATTTTGTTATTTTGTGGGTAAACCGTCTGTAACAACTATATAATACCTTTGAGACATCTAAAATCTTAGTCTCTCCCGAGACCATAATTGCTGTAAAGCACTCGAAACGTCCAGAACCAAAAATCTAAATAAATCCGCGAAAAAATTCGAAAAGAAGAAGATTTTATTTAAAATGACAAATATTCGCGTAAATCTAAGAAAGTATTAAGTATTGGTAGTAAGAAGTATAAACATCGAGACGACGAAACGATTAGCTTTATAATATTAGTATGATTTACCTGCATCTATCGCTCCCCAACCTGTTAATGTTGCTGAAGTACCGAGTTTTGAAATATCAAAGTTACTCCAGAGACACGCTGGTTGTTGGTTTTTTGTGAATGTATACACTTTAGATATCTCCATTAATGCGATATCAAAATATTTCTTTGGCGAACGATAGGCAGGATGGACGATTATTCTTAAAATTCTAGAGTCTTCTGGGAAAAGTCCATCGGAAAACTGTTGGGAAAGAGATTCAATCGATTAAAATAAGTATTACCTTGAATAAAAAAAAAAACTTGTATGTGTACTTATGTATGTACGCACGTAAGAAGTTATCCTTCTATGGCGTAACAGAACAATAATAGCTAAAGATTTCACCACGTATGTCACAACTCTCTCTTGAAAAGGAATGCTGCTAGCTTCATCATATCGCTTTCAGCTAACTTCGTCATGTCGCTTTTTGGCTGTCGGTGTGCGCACGCATCGTAAAAATTTTACACAAAAAAATTTCCAACCTTCCCAAAAGAAATATAACTAGAAAATGTATTAATGTACATAAAATGTATCCATGGCGCTTATCAGTTACGCAGTGTTTTGGTTTGACAGGCATTCGTTGTTACAGAAGTCATCCTAACAAACCTATGTTTCAATTCTAAGAAATTGTAAATATTGGACTTCCGTGTTAGCCGCTTCAGACTAAGGAATAATATAGATAGATCTAAAGTGATAAGTAAATACATGCCACGGCTTGGCCCCGTCGGTCTCATCTCAAACAGACTTAAAAATTCTTTTCTAAAATATTATACGGCATGTACATATACATATATTGTACCTACACATATATTCTAGTTCAAAAAAAAAATTACTAGCATTGCCCGCGGCTCCGCTCGCGTTCAGATGACCAAAAACTAAATTCTTAGGTTTTACATATTAGTATATACTCTTACATTGTAGTTTTTTTTATTTTTTCAGAACTAAGATATTTTCTCGCGGTATAAAGTATCCTATATGTTGACCCGGATAACCAGCTATCACCATACCAAACTTCATCAAAATCCCTTCAGTGTTTTTTCTGTGATGCGGTAATAGACAGACAGATAGACAAAATTCTAAAAACTATAAATTCGGCCCCTGTATCGATAATAATGTTTATTTCAATAAGATTTTCCAAAAAATATTTAATGTGCAGATTCGGCTTATTTACAATTTTATTGTATGTATAGATTATACTGACCATCATTATTACTTAGATTACTTTATTTTATTTCACCACCACAATAACACCGGTTCGAAAACAAAGTCACAGTCCTGAGAAGATCTGGCGAAAATCTCAACGGGAGTAAAATTATAATTGGTATACCTACTTACGCTGTCAAAAATATTTTTGACACCAAGTCTCACGATTTCGGGTACAGAGCTTAGTAACCTAGGGTCGCGCGATGATTTGGTACAATGGGCAGCTGTTAAAGTATACTTAGAACTGATGAGGGAGCATCCACACTTAAATATCCAATTTCCTTCTAGAGGTCTCCATCCTACTGCACCCTGGAAAGTATTAATAATATGAATAGCTGCATCATGTTTCGCATACCGTTAGGGTTGTTGATGTATTTGGCTGCCTTGTTGGTCTAATAGCGGTTACACATCGTGAGACCATGGGTTCGAATCCCGGTTCAGGTCAAAATAGTTGCTCGGGTTTTCTGTCCCAAAATACTCAGTAGTCGCGTGAAAAGGCGTTTAGTTGTCGGTCCCGCGCTCTAACCGTCTCTTGTCGTGTAAAATTATCGTCCTATCAGAATAAGAGAGTAAAATAAATAGAGTGCGTGTAGTGTTTGCGTATTTGCACAAGCTGCACTATAGTATGACTCGAGCGGTTAGCTAGTTGGCTTCAATATGAGATTCGATCACCGTAACTGGAATCGGTTCGGAGGACATTTATAAATTAGAAATCTGGAAAATAGTAGTGTCAAAAATCTAGGGATCATAATGGACAGTACTTTCTCCTGGACACCTCAAATTTCCCAACTTAGCCGTAGGATATTTCTTGCTATTGACACCTTGAGAAGGTGGAAAAACCTATTGCCGGTCAAAACCAAAATATTATTAGCCAAGACAACTCCCTTTTATTGCTGATACTCGACTATGCTGACTCCTGCTAACTAGATCTATCTCAGCAGTTACTCAATAAGCTTGAGCGTCTCCAGAATCTTATTATAAGATATATTTTTGGACTTAGGAAGTATGACCACATTACGCAATATCGGACACAGTTGAGATGGCTAACAGTTCACAATAGACGTAATTTACACGCGCTTTCTCTATACTACGAAATCCTTTACCATCCTCACACTCCCACCTACCTCAAAGAACACTTTACGTTCCTAGGGGCAAGTTCCCAGCTCGCCCTAGAGCTTCGCTCTAGCAGTGAAAGATTACTAGAAATCCCATTAGTCCATTCCAAATCCTATAGTGAATCTTTCACTATTAAGACAGTGAAGCTCTGGAACGAGCTTCCTATTGAAATAAGACAGTCCAAGTCGGTAAGCATTTTTAAAAGGCGTCTCAAAACACACTATTTGTCGCTTTACAACTAAGCTGTCTTTATAGTTGCATGTATTATATTATTGTGTATATTATGTATGTTTATTATTATTTTATTATATTATTATGTATATGTATGTTTAAGTATTTAAACAATAAATATTTATTGTATAAATAGTATTTTATATATGTATTTTTTTATGTATGTGTATAATATAAAATACGTCTATTGAGTACACTTTATGCACCTTTCCACTTTCTGTTAACTTTTGTATCCTACTTCTAGCGGTTGCCTGTAAGAGATCACTTTTAGTGATTAGGCCGCCTTTGCACATTTCTTTAAATGTATTTTTTTTGTATGTATCATTTTTATTTTTGTGTGCAATAAAGAAATGTGAAAGTTTGTGAGTATGGATGTTTGTTACTCTTTTCACGCCAGAACGACTGAACGATTATAATCTGGAATAATACATAGGTTACTTTTTATCCCGGAAAAATATACGGTTCCCGAGGGATAGATTTTTTTTGTTTTTCTTTTTTTTAAATAAAAGGAATTGAAGTAACGCCTACAGCATTGTAATGACATCAAAACTGTACCATGTGTGGAAATTCTCCTGGCAAAGCATCTCTTCCTCCATAAGCGTAGGATCGCGTGTTGCTCTTACTCTCGCCTGCTTGCCCACAAACAAAGAAATTCCTATTATAATAAAATTATAGATGTGAAAGCTTTTCAAAATATTTATAAGTGGATTTTTTACGGATTTGGGTGAAACTTGCGCAAATTCTGGATTTAGTTTACGATATGTTTAGCAGAGTGCTAATTATTGTTTTGAAAATGTCAATAGATAGTGTTGCTCCAAAATTTTTGGTATAATTTATTACAAACTAATAGGACTACTTGAAATTTTTATTGAATAAATTAAAAAGAACAGTTACACCTTTAGTTATATGCTATATCGTGAAGCTGGAAATTAGGTTGTGTATTAAAGATAAAGCCCAATAAAAAAAACTTACATTCTTCCCTTTTTTTATTTGTCTCAGCTCTGTCACTTCTTTGCCTAATATATTTTAAGCATTCTGTAAAAAAAGGAATTTCAATATTTGACATTTTAAATATAACTATCTTTTCGGATTTTTTCGCGAATTTATTTGGATTTTTGGGACGTTTCGAATGCTTTACAGCAATCATGGTCTCTCCCGTGACCATGATCGTTTCATACTTTTTCGAGTCTGATTTTTCATCAGTCGGGTTTTTAGTTTTTGAACTTCTCAGTGGTTTTCTCGTGACGCGTTCCCAGACACAGACGAAAATTCTAAAAACTAGATTCGTCCTTTGTATTGATAATAATGACTATTCCAATAAGATTTTCCAAAAAATATTTAATGTACGGATTCGACCCAGTTAGAATTTTATTTTATGTGTATATTATTTTGATAAGCATAGCATTACTCGAGAAATTTAATAAGCAAAGAAAAACTTTTTTATATATATTATTAAAGATTACCTACATACTTGCTATACTAATCCTTCGTCCAGGCGCATTGAAGTTTGGTGTGGGAGGTTCATCGAAAACGCACGCATAATTTGGACTCGCCGTTGTAGAGCTTTCTGTATTGGATCTGTTTAAACCTAAACTATTGTTCTGAAACACAAATACGTTATTTATTTCTTGTGAACCGCATTTTTAATTAAAATTTTACCCACATCTAGTATCTCATTGTAATAATATTATTATTTATATAACAGAATATTAAATTGTCAAAGGAGTTTCAAAGTCGGTAACAAATTATGTATGTACTAGAGACTCACTCTTATTCCGCTCGGGTTTGTCCCTTGGTACGTTCTCACAGTTAGTATAGATTTCTCAGAGATGAGATATTTTCACGTAGTAAAAAGTATCCTAAATGTTGATCCGGATAACCAGCTATCGACATACCAAATTTCATCAAAATCTGTCTAGTGGTTTTCTCGTGATGCGTTCCCAGACAGACATACAAAAATTCTAAAAACTATGGATTTGGCCTGTATATCGATAATAATGATTATTTCAATAAGATTTTCCAAAAAATATTTAATGTACAGATTCGACTCGGTTAGAATTTTATTATATGTATAGATAATAATAATATATGGTGTTATATATACCTGAGTATCTCTTTTTTTGGACAGTACCCTCCTTGTACCACAGACGTTTGATACTAGAATGGGAGAATTTTTAAATTTAATTTAGATCATACTAGTGACTCACCCACGCTTTGCTCGGGTTCGTCCTTAGGTTGCTTCCCTATACAAATTTTAACCCTCATTGTCATCCCTTCAAGGGATGATTTCGGGATAAAAAGTATCCTATATCCATCCCAGGGTCTCAAACTATCTTCTTACCAAATTTCATCTAAATCGGTTCAGTAGATCCAGGGACTACATTTATAGTATTTGCATATTTTATGAAAATATCCCTCGTATCTAAAACGCCAAAATTGGAAATAATGGACGCCGAACCTAGTACCGAGCTCGACTACTGTACATAACGAACCCGACGAACATTTGACTTTAAAACGACGTTGATAAACCCGACAAATTTACTAAAAATGTCAGACATGACGTTCTAGCAAAAATATCAAGGTCAACATTATAAAACGAATTGCAGTTGTTTGAAGGATTTTAATTAAATTTGCATTTCTAATTTGTAATTAAAATGAATTATACAAGTTTTTTAGACTAGACTTTAAATAACGATGTTAGAATTTGAAACAAAATATGTATACAATATGTTCAAGAAATGTTGATATTTTCTAAAATTACTCTATTTATTGGTACATCTTACCAAACAATAATCTAGTTTTATTCTGAGAAGTCTTGAAGTCCTGGGAAGTCCCGGGAATTTTGTCGTGGGTGGTCTCGTCTCCCGGGACTTTGAGAATGTCGAGACTTCCCAGACCCTAGACCTTATAGTGAGATATTTTAGTTACCTACACATAAATCAAAGAAACAAGAACCTACAAAAACACAGAAATTACGCTAGTTTAAACATTTCTGTCTATTTTCATCTCTAAAAAGGTAGTTTCATACAAACTTTCATCCCCTATTTTACCCCCTTATAGAATAAATTTCGAAAAATGCTAAAATATATATTTATTTAATTTTATTAAAGAGCAGTAATACCAAGTTACAAGTAATTCGAATCATAAATATTTTTTTGGATTGTGTTATAACGTGCTTTCCCGTGGGAATTAGGTAATCTCCCGCGGTGAAAAGCCTGTCACTCTCCAGCCCTCCAACTATCTCCACACAAAAAATCACGCCAATCCGTTGATTCGTTTCGACGTGAAAGAAGGACAAACAAACACACATACTTTCACATTTATAATATTAGTATGGATTTTAGTTCGTCCCTAGATACGTTTTAACAGTTAGTATAGGTTTCTCGGAGATGAGATATTTTCCCGCAATAAAAAGTATCCTATAGGTATGTTGACCTAATTAATCAGATGTTCGTTCAGTGGTTTTCTCGTGATGTGGTCATAGACAGACAGATAGACAAAAATTCTAAAAATACAGATTCAGCCTCTGTATCGAAAATAATGACTATGTCAATAAGATTTTCCAACAAATGTTTAAGTACAGATTCGACTCGGTTATAATTTTATTATATGTAATTAAAACCTGATCATTGTTACGTAATAAGTACTAAACTCCATTAGCTCCGGTTTTATGATATTACGTAGTGTTGCGTTTGTACTTTACAAACAGATGGTTCGAGGATAATAATTAAAATAAATTAAAAGTAAATTTTGCTTGAGTTGTATTTTTATATAATAACACTAGTATGTAATATCGTAAGAAATGATTATGATATGATCGTAAGATTTTGTAAAATTGCTTTGTATTCAGCCCTTTTTAACTTTCGACAGCTGAGATCGACAGACCGTAGTCATCCACGCTGGCCAAGTCCGTTTTGGCGGACTGCACAGTGCACATGTCTTTCGAAAACATGCTAGGTTCTCTCAGACATGCAGTTTTCCTCACGATGTTTCCCATCACCGTATAAGCAAAATAACTTTAAAGGATTCTAAATAATTACTTACCTAATATCGCTGCAAACAAAACACAAAAATAGCGCATTTTTAAACTTAACGGCGCTCAGATTGTATAAAAAATATAATAACCGTTTTTATGAAACAATTTATTATTATCAAATTTTGATTATTACGAATCGTCTTCTTACTATAGAGATCGAAGCAACACTGCGTGTTTGAATATGATTGCATTATATATAGGTAACTTATTTTACATACCGAGCAGTTTATTCACGCGCGTTTCTTAAATGACGAGCGTTTTTCGTATGTGCTTTTTAAATGTGTAACAGTATATTTTTTACAAGCTTTTATTTAATTTATAATGTTTTTTAGTCGGTATGTTCGTGTGGGTCAAATCTTGCAAGCTGATTTAGACCCACTTGCTCTCATCCTGCAGAGTTGAAATTTTACGTATAGGTTCAGTTCTGATGACAATGATTTTTTATGATATTTATGACCTGATTCTCTATCGAGCATTAGTTTCAGACGAAACTACTAACCAACGGTTAACAGTACAGATAGTCCAGTCAATAGCTGAATCAATATACATAAAATAAAACAATTTCCGCGATATTGCCTTTCGATAAAGGGGCATTTTTATGCCTAAAGCCAAGTTTGTGCTTGGTGCCAGTATCGCGAAAAACGCGTTTTATTCAATAATTTGAGAACGGCTGATCCTACGTAAAAAACGATAGAAATCTTTTCTCTTTTAAATTGAGTTTCCTATGTTTTTTTTACTTTAAACTTTGTTTTCTAAATTGAATATTTGTCGAGATATCGCGCTCGAAAAGCACAAATTTCGGTACCTTTACGCTAACCGTTCGATATGGCGCGATAAAACCGCAATTTTATCGCGCCATATCGTAAGAAATATTAATTTTAGACAAAGTCGAGTTTCGACTACTAGCCGAATACTAATAAATAAATAGATGTGCGTCTCCAACGCTATGTGTGTACTCACTCATAAACCAGTCTGTTTTAACTTGTTTTATAACAATAAAATTGTTAAGACTAATTAACATGTACATATATAAAATATCTAATGATGATGTTCTCCTGACCGATTCCGGCTACGGCGGCCAATCTCATTGAGACTAGCCAATTGCGCAGGAGATATTATAGTGCACATGTGTATGCGCAGACACAACGTGCACTCTCTATTCCTGTTACCCTCATACTCCGGTGGGACGACTACTCAACACGACCGGTGAGAGTTCAGGCGCAGGACCCACGGCTTTACGTGCTCTCCGAGGCACGGGGGTGAAACACCGCCAACTTCCCAACTCCGGGTTGTTACTGAGGCTTATTATACAGAAAGACTCAATAACTAAACTTGGCTTGACCTGGGGCTTGAATCCAAAACCTCCGAGTCTGCTGCCGTACATGCTAGCCACTAACACCACCGAGGCAGTTAAAATAAAAAGGCAGCCTACAGATACAATATATATGTATTTATGTACTACTTGGTCTTGGACTTATATCTATGGGTAAATATAACTTGGTAAAGACAAACCAGTTAGGTACCATTTTCTCCGTTTATATATATATTGGTACCGAACTGTATTGTATTGTATATATCAATATAAAAAAATATATTTTCCGGTAATAACAATGATAGAATGTAAAAGAGAAGAAAAGTGTTAAAAACGTGTAATTTTATGTTTTTTTCTTTTAATTAAAATTATTTCGTGAACTCTCTCTAGTAATGACAATTATGCGTGGCGTGAGGTCTATTGTGGCTATTAGGTATCTATTCTAAATGAAAACTCTCGTTTAGTTATTTTTTACGACGACACGTTTGGCTCAGTTTGTAGTGACCCTACTTGCTGTGCCAGCGGTCGCGGGTTCGAGTCCCGCATGGGGCATTCATTTGCGTGATGAGTACGAATGTTTGTACTCTAGTCATGGGTATTATATTTATAATATGTATGTATTTAACGCTTGTTGTATGTTGTACGCTTACAACCCTACCTACAGCGGCAAATACCTAATGAGCAGGCTGGCTTTGTCAAGGGCCGTGGAACTCGGGAGCAAATTGTCAACATTAGACAACTCATAGAGAAGAGCCGGGAATTTAATGTTCCGATAATTATGTGTTTTGTTGATTACTCCAAGGCGTTTTGATTGCGTTAGGTGGGATTGTCTATGGAGAATCCTACTAGAAATAGGTGTTTCTAAGCATTTAATAGCACTGCTCGCAAACCTATATGAGAATGGGAAGTCAATGGTAAGAGTGAACGACGTGGTATCCGCTTCTTTCAAACCACAAAAAGGAGTACGACAGGGATGCATCATATCCCCTCTTCTTTTTAACATCTACGGCGAGTATATCATAAGGACAGCGCAAGATGAGTGGGATGGAGGCATTTCCGTTGGAGGCAACAAGATCAGTAACCTCCGATACGCCGATGACACTACGCTATTGGCTTCCTCAGAACAGGAAATGGCTGAACTGCGTAGAAGGGTCGAGCGTGCAAGTGAGATGGTCGGTCTTTCCATTAATTAGAAAAAAACTAAAGTGGTAGTAGATCGAGCTGGAACTTTTGCACGAACCGGAGAACTTGCGGACCTGGAATTTGTAGATGAGTTTGTGTACCTAGGATCACTTATAAGCAATCAGGGAGGCTGTGACAAATAAATTTGGAGACGTACGCAGATGGCCAAGGCAGCTATGAGTAAGTTAACTAGAATCTGGCAAAACAGGAAAGTGTCGAATACCACCAAGACCAGACTCGTGCGAGCTTTGGTGTTCTCCACATTTCTGTACGGTTCCGAATCATGGTCAATCCGTGCAGCTGACCGAAAGAAGATCGAGACTTTTGAAATGTGGTATTATAGAAGAATGTTGCGTATACCGTGGACAGCAAAAAGAACCAACAAGTCTAGTCTCGACTATATGCTCCACTCCACTATATGCTATCAACGAGTCCTAAGTTATTTTGGTCACATCGCCCGGAGACAACCAGACAATCTGGACAAACTGGTTGTAGTAGGGAAGATTGAAGGCAAAAGATCACGCGGTCGAGCACCTACCCGCTGGTCCGACCAGATTTCAAATATAACGGGACTCAATATTCCGACTGCCCTGAGACAAGCCGAGGATAGAGTGGTGTGGAGGCAGATAGTCAACAAATCGGTGCAAACATTCCAGGACAAGCACGACCTTCAGCAATGAAGTACACGAAGAAGAAGAGATGTATTTAAAGTTATATATGTGTAGTGTATCAACTATCTGGTATCCATAACACAGGCTTCGTAGCTTACAATGGAACTAGACGGTACTGTGTGTTAATTCCTCAACATATTTATTTATTTTACATATTTTTTCAGTTCGAGAACCATCATGCTTCACGGCGGCCGCTGGGATGGGCGCTAATGTATTCGTGTCTAAATACCGGTAAATCTCATTAATATTATAAAATTGGGAAAGTTTGGATGGATAGATGTTTGTTACTCAATTACGCCAGAACGACTGAACGGATCTGGATAAATTTTGGCGTATAGACAGATTATAGTCTGGAATAGCACATAGGTTACTTTTCATGACGGAAAAGTGTGGTTCCCGTGGGATAGATTTGCTTTTGCTTTTCACAGACACAAGGGATCGACTATCTATTCCATGCTAACCGTTAAAACGTACCTAGTGTGAATATAAGTGTATGTTTAAATTAAAAATAATAGTAACTTAGATTGTGGTAGTTTTTTTGTAGTGTCAGTGTAGTATAGGTTCAACATGTAAAAGTAACAAACTATCATACAAAGTGGACATATGTCAGAAATCCTAACGGGATTGCACAATACGTTATCATAGTTTTATGGTATCGAATTATCATTCGACTTAAAATTTACAGACAAACATTCATTTTTATATATAAAAATTGTGTAGGTCAGTGCGCACTCTCTTCGGTGAGGACGAGGCGTGCTACATTATGGACGCTAAGGTTCAAGGCAACATCGGCAGATATCTCAATGTGAGTTTATATCATTCATTCATATATTCATTCATGAATCATCATACATTTAATCAATCGTCATTCGTCATTCATTCATTCGATCAAATGTAAGGAAGAAAAGATAAGTGTATTTATATAAGTACGTATGGAATTTGTTTTAGTATGTTTGTAGAGTTTACATATATATATATATATATATATATATATATATATTATATATATATATATATATATATATATATATAAAATTGATTTCGATTAAATACGCAATGAACGTAGTAATCTTGCAGTGGGATCTCGATCCATAAATTGTGTTCCATTTTTTTGTATTGTATTTATTGAGATTAGGTTAATAAACAAGACTTCTAATGAAAAGTTTATTTATATTCACACTTGCACAGTAAGTAGACGCTAGACGCTTGCTTTACAAAACCGGAAGAAGGAACTAAAGTAGTGACGCCATCAGGTGTTACAATATAAAAATAAACAGGCAAACACTTATTTCATACAGCCAACTAATAAAATAAAATTTAATCCAATACTCCCACTAAATTTTATACAAAAGAAAATATTTATATTTGCCTGTTTTAAAAAAAACTTTTATAATAATAAACAACTTACTTATTTGACAATATTTCATCTCTTAAACAAACAAATTTAATAGTAGGTAGAGCCTTTGTTAAAATATCTGCGAGTTGATGTGAACTTTGTACATACTTAATAATAATTAATTTTTCTTTGACCTTTTCTCTAATGAAATTAAATTTAACATCAATGTGTTTTGTCTTTTTATGATAAACAGGATTATTTATTAATTTGATAGCACTCTGGTTATCAATACACAGAGTTGTGCAATTTTGACTTATATCAATTTCTTTGAAAAACTGTCTTAACCATAATAGATTTTTGGCGGCTTCACACCCAGCCATAAATTCAGCTTCAGTTGTTGATAAGGCAATACAAGGTTGTTTTTGACTAGACCAAGATATAGGCCCACCATTTAACATAAAAATATAACCAGTAGTTGATTTTCTTGTATCTAAGTCCCCAGCAAAATCTGAATCTGAATATCCAATTAAGTTTTCATGACCTTGATACTTTATACATAAATCTTTAGTTTTAATAAGATATCTAATTATTCTCTTAACTTGATTTACATGATGTACACTTGGATTATTAATATATCTACTTAACATATTTACACCATATGAAATATCTGGCCTAGTTGCTGTAGATAAAAACAATAATGACCCTACGGCTTCCCTGTAAGGAAAATTAATCTGACCATTATCAATATTTTTTGTTAACTGAATATTTACATCAACCGGTGTATTACAAGGGTGTGCAGTACTCATATTAAATTTATTTATTAACTGTTCAATATATTGTTTTTGATTGATACAAACACAATCATTACTTTTTACAATTTCTAAACCAACAAAACGATTTAAAATTAACTCTTTGATATTAAATCCTTCCTTTAAGTAACTTACAATTTGATTTAATATTGCATTTGATTTAGACATAATTAAAGCATCATCTACATATAAAATTAACAAAGCTTTAATACCATTAAAGTTACCTACAAACACACAATTGTCTGCTTGTGACTGAACAAAACCAAACTTCAATAAAAAATTTGTAAATTTATGATTCCAGCATCGGGATGCTTGTTTTAAGCCATACAGGGATTTGTTTAATTTACATATTTTATTTTCTGGTGCTTTCACACCATCTGGAATTTCCATAAAAATATCCTCTTCTAACTCTCCATACAAGAAGGCAGTCTTAACATCTAATTGTTTTATATTCCAATTATATTCAGCAGAAATGGATAATAATATTCTTATTGACTCATATCTTGTAGTAGGTGAAAAAATTTCATTGTAATCTATCCCTTCTATTTGTGTGAAACCACGGGCACAAAGTCGAGCTTTATACCTTTCTACTTGACCATCTTGGTTTCTTTTAATATTAAAAACCCATTTTGATGATATAGTTCTCTGATTTTGATTATCTACAAAACTCCAGGTATTATTCGAACGATGAGCTTCTAATTCTTCATTTATGGCTTCTAGCCATAATTTACATTCTTTACTATTAATTGCTTCGTTATAAGTTGTAGGTACATCCAACTCTATTAAATTTGCCTCATAAAAATAATTATTTCTTCTTGGTCGCAAAGTTACATTGGATCTATCTATGTTAGCGAGATCAATTTCTTGTGATGGTTCATAAGTCTCATCACTGTCATCATAGGTAGTATGTGTGCTGTCATCACTTCCACAATTCTGTTCACTTGTATTATTCTCAGTGTTGTCTATCAGAACTTCAGCATTTTGTTCATCATCATCATCACATATAAAAATTTGAGCTTTATTCTGTTTTAATTCTGGACTTTTGTGTTCATTGAAAATGACATTTCTTGATATTGTAATTCTTTTGGTGGTTAAATCATACATTTTATAGTTTGTGTTATCATACCCAACTAACATCATCTTTTGACTTTTACAATCAAGCTTCTTTCTCAGCTGATCTGGCACATGAACATACCCTTCACATCCAAATACTCTGACATGATCTAAACTAGGTTTTACACCACTCCACAACTCTATAGGTGTAATATTTGGTGTCTGACTCGAGGATGTGCGATTCAATACATAAACAGCATAATTAACAGCTTCTGCCCATAGATTGAGTGGTACATTACGAGCATAAAGCATGGATCGAGCACTTTCCATTATTGTTCTAAGTTCTCTTTCTGCCCGGCCATTCTGTTCAGGCGTGTAAGGGGCAGTGAGCTCATGAGAAATACCCTCACTGTCAAGATATTCTTTAAAGTCTTTGCTTAAGTATTCTCTACCATTATCAGAGTGTAATATGCGTATACTATGTGAGAATTTGTTTTTAATCATTAAATTATATTTTTTAAAACAGTTGAACACATCACATTTATTCTTTATAAAGTACACATACCTAAAACTTGTAGCAGCATCTTTAAAGATAACAAAATATTTCATACCTTGAACAGAAGGCACACTGAGTGGTCCACAAACATCACTGTATACAACATCACCTGGTTGCTGTGGTCCCCGGTTTGATTTCTGGAATGGTTGACGAGCATGCTTGCCATAAGCACAACCCTCACATACAAATTTGTCACAGTCTGATAAGTCCACACCAGTAATCACATTGTTTTTGCACATTTTCTGTATTTCTTTAACATTCAAATGTCCCAAACGTTCATGCCATGTTTTAAGGTCCAATTTTTGCACTACATTACACACTGGATTTTCAATTGTTTTAATTTTTAACTCATATAAATTGTTGTTTTGTAAAGATGCACATAGCACTATTTTATTGTCCTTGTAAATCAAAGCATCAGTATGTTTTTTTACAATATTATATCCTTGTCTTGTCACTACTCCTTCGGAGAATAGGTTTCTTCTCAATTTAGGTACATAAAGAACATTCTTCAAGATACTTGTCTCCCACTGTCCATTGACACACTTGTCTATCAAAATATTTCCTTGGCCAATCACTTCTAAAGCTTCTTGGTTTCCTAGTTTCAGTGGAGATCCTGTATACTCATACAATTCAACAAAGTTTTCACGTTTATAAGACATGTGAGCTGAGGCACCGCTGTCTAATATCCATCGTAAACCTTCATCATTATTTTTCAAATCTGTATTTGCTACATTGAAAGCTAACATATTCCTTTCACTTTGTTGCTTATGGTATTGTTTAGGGGCTTGACAATCTCTTGCATAATGACCACGTTTCCCACAGTTGTAACATATGAAGCGATGTGACTTTTCATTTGACTTTTCATTTAATTCTTTGTGTGTTTTTATTAATGGAATGTTTCTCTTCTTTGTACTTTGTTTTGCCACTAATAAAGCAGTCTCATTCTCTTCTTCTACATTCAAGCTGGCCTCCTCATCTAACAAGCGAGCTGTTAGATTAACTATAGTTTGATTCTGAGTATCGAGTGACATCCAAGCCTGGCGTAGAGATCTGTACTTGGAAGGTAGTGTACTCAATATTTTAGTTATGATCGCAGTATCACTAATAACCTCTCCACTTTCTTTAAGTTGTTTAGCCAAACTTTCTACTTTAGCTATATGCTGAGCAATGCTATCTGCCGGTGACATTTTGTATTGATAAAAACGCTCATGTATCATCATTTTAGTCATCTCGGATTTTTGTTCATATATAGACTCAAGTTTGGTCATCACCTCAAGCGCTGATTCGCAATTTTCGATGAGTGCTATTTGATTTAAATCCATAGCCGATGTTAATATAAACATTGCCATCCCATCATCTTTGTTCCATTGAGTCGCATTTCCTTCTGGTTTTAGCGTGTAGATATCTAACCCTTTGGCACGGAGGGCACATTTTATTTGAAATTTCCACTGTTTAAAATTAGTTCCATCGAATTTTTCTAGGTTCATTGTCTTTCCAAACTCCATTTTAGGTTATATGCAGCACGCGGTTTTACTGTCAAATCACACTTAGTACTTTACTGTTTTCTCTGCTCTTTGTTTATCACCAATTGTTCACTTACGTGGACCTGGGCCCATAACCTATTGAGATTAGGTTAATAAACAAGACTTCTAATGAAAAGTTTATTTATATTCACACTTGCACAGTAAGTAGACGCTAGACGCTTGCTTTACAAAACCGGAAGAAGGAACTAAAGTAGTGACGCCATCAGGTGTTACAATATAAAAATAAACAGGCAAACACTTATTTCATACAGCCAACTAATAAAATAAAATTTAATCCAATAGTATTTATTTACAGTCTGTTGTTTTTTTTAATTTAAAAGTAATATTGCTTAGTTTGAAATAGTAGTAAAAACTTCCTTTTTTCCATCCACAGCACTCATGTTCACCCAATGTGTTTGTCCAAAACGTTTTTGTGGACACCCACGACCCGAGGTTCCCTTGGGTGGCTTTCTTCGCACTATCCTACATAAAATCCGGTACAGAATTGACCTGGAACTACAATTATGACGTGGGTTCGGTTCCCGGGAAGATCTTATACTGTAAATGCGGCGCACTCAACTGTAGGGGACGTTTGTTGTAAATTTGGTACGTATCTTCTAACTATTAAAATGTTTATTTATCTATACCTTAATATTATAAAGAGGTAAAGTTTCTGAGATTGTGAGCTTGTGAGTTTGTGACGTTGTATGGGGTAATCTCTGGATCTACTAAACCGATTTAGATGAATTTTGGTAAGAAGATAGTTTGAGACCCTGGGAAGGACATAGGATACTTTTTATCCTGGAAATCATCCCGTAAGAGGCTGAAAATGGGGATGAAAGTTTGTGTGGGGAATCAAGCATAGATACACATTTCCTAACAAATATCTCTTGAAAACGTGGCGTCGATATGTGACGTTACGTCAAAGAGTAAAATTCAAAAATCGATAGATCTAATTGTCTAAACACAAATTCGAACTTACGCACAGCCCATAAAGTACTCTTTTAAACAAAACAACGTGAATTTAATTTTGCCATCCGAAAAGCAGTGAAGAAAAGAAGATTAAAAAAAGCGCATAATTTCGAATTGTGTGCATCTTTTTGAGGACACCTTTGAGACGCTACCTGTTTATCTTGAGTTTTTTGTATATATCAATGATTGTAGTGGAATCGTTTAATATTGTATAACTATATTTTATTCTTTTCGCGCAATGGACGTGTAGCCAAATTTTTCACTTTAAGAAAAATCATTTTTTAATAAATTAATCATAAACGGCACTGACAAAATGTCATTCAAATCGGTTTAGCCGTTACGCTGTAAGAAGTAACAAATAAACTTACAAATTTTTGAAGTTATTGAGTCATTATAAATTTATAGCCTGTTTAATTGAAAAAATATATTTAATGAAATTACTTTCACTTCGATTTAAGCATGTATATATATATATATATATATACATATATATATATATATATATAATATATATATAATGTTATATGTATTAAAGGTGTAATAATTATAAATCTTTTCAGGTATCGCAGTGGATTTAGTGAAAAATATAATAAAAATATATTAGTAAATGCTTTAGTGACTTTGTTGTAAATACATTTTTAACAGCTTTTTGATATCCTATTAGAAATCCAGACGCATTATATATGAAGGGTATAGGGACAAATCTATGTCTATGGTACAGGCATTTAAGTAACCTAACCCGACCACTGGTTTTTATATATATATATATATATATATATATACATATATATATATATATATATATATATACATATATATATATATATATATATATATATATTCAATGGATGTCGCTAAAAGCACGTTTTTGTCTTTGCCCAAAGCGAAAAGATTTAGCACATTACGTGTTCTTCGTCTGTACCCTTGATGTATATAAACAATAAATAAATTTATAACTAACACAAAATCTATTTGTACAGATCAAAAATCATATTAAGATTTTTAATCTGTATATGTAATCATATTTTTTTTAATTGTATATCTATCTTTGGTTGTGTGAAATCAGCTATTTTTTTATAAATTTAACGTTCGTTATTGTTTACATTTATATAAAGAAATATTTTTTTTTTTCAAATTATCATCTAAATATTTTATTAAATAATAATTGGTAACAAGCTCTAAAAAGTTTTTGTTTGTAATCACTTTAAATGTGTTCATTGTGTTCTCAGAAGTAGAGTTTTTCTTGGTTTGTTTGAAATGAGGTGAGTGTAAACTTTTCATTAAAGTGATATTATAGATATTATAAAGTTGTATCAGTAAAGAAATAATAATTGCTTTTAAGTGATTTTAAGTAAGTGGGTGTACAGGTTTTTTTTCATAAATATTTGGTATATTATTTTATTTTTTTGACCAAATCTCTACTTTAGCTTGCTTTAAAGCGGTTAACAAGAAAATTTAATGATTATCCAATTTTAAGTAAGCGTGAACACGTCATAGAGGCGCGTATTTTTTTTGAGATGCACAAAATTATAGTGTTGCCTCTAGTACCTTTGTGTCTACGGTGGTACGTTTCTTTGTCACTAAAGGAGTCACTACCGGTGACCAGTGACGCATTCCTCCGTTTTCATAAATACAGGCTTATTGGTCTATTAGCTTCTTTATACGATGCAGATTATTAGGTCCTAGGTTTGAATTTTGTCTCGAAAAGTTCGCAAAAAGTTATTAAGTTAGTGGATATTTCTATCCAGAAGTACTCCAGCAATTCGGAAAACTTCTCAAATATATCACGAAAGAGAAGATAAAGTATTAAGAGAAAATATCTAGAAATAGTAAAGTTTGACAGAATTTTTTATTCATATCAAATAATAATAAAAATAAATTTATTAAAATATAAATTTTACAAAAGACGTTACACATTTACACGCAACCCTAGAAAATCGGAAAGAAAATATTTTTTTCATATAATGTTCGTAACAGGGAATGGAACCTGTGACATTAGTTTCAGTAGATATTGTCGTTATTTTAACAGATAGGTTAAGATATATGTATGAATGTATGTAAAGCTTTGACTGATTCATTCTCAATGTATACAATTAGACATTAATAAGTGTATGTAATTAAAAACGATCTGAATTAAATAGTGTTTTTATTTGTATTTGCGTTTTATTTTTAACCACCAACGAAAAAAGAGGGTAGTTATAAGTTCAACGTGTGTATGTGTCTGTCTGTAGTATCGGAGCGCACCAACGGATGGACCAAATTTGATTTTGTTTTTTAAAGTTATACTTTTTTGGGACGTTTGAAAAAAATATGAGATTAAAATTTTTACTATGCGCGCGCACCAACCACCTACAGCCAAAAAGCGACATGATGAAGTTAGCTGCATTCCTTTTACAAACAGAGAGTTGTGACATGCGAGATGAAATCTTTAGCTATTTTTGTTCTGTTACGCCAAAGAAGTATAACTTCTTACATGCGTACATAAGTACACACACAGGTTGGTTTTGTTTAAAAGGTGACTTGATCGAGAGTGTTGTTACCTATAAATTAATAATCTGTTTAGCCGTTTGCAGCCTATCAGCTCTTTTCTAGGTAAAAAGATAAAATAACCTTCACAAATCTAATCGATTCGAAACTTGGTATCCTTTTTTTTTAACGTTGGGAATTGCATTTACGCACGAGGTGTGGGACTCACCGGCAAAGCCAGTATTACCCACTAAAACCCAACAAAACCTTCCCCCGTCTTAATGGGGCGTCGCAGGATCGCTTACACATTCAACTACGACGCCCCGACGGCAGGTCTGCCGAAGCAGACCACAACAACCATGGGGTTGCTCCAAAGTCCACTCTGCTATCAGAGAAGTATCAGGAGCAACCCGTATGGTACACCGCCCACCGAAGAGGGCCATCTTCCACCGCCCACCGAAGTGGGCCACCTCCCTGTGCGTTCCTTGGCTTCGCACCCGGCTGTATTGCCGGGCACTACTGAGCCCCCCACCATGACAAGGTGAACGCACGTTGGGGGGGAAAACTTGGTATCCTACTACAACTTATCACATGAACGCAAAAGTTTGTGAGGATGTTTTAATTTACCCCTTTAGTGTACAGCTTATCAAAATTGACAACATTAATTTCCCTGGTCTTAAGGATGTGTCAATGTGTGTATATGGGTGTATGTTTGATACTCTATCACGCAAAAACTACTGAACGGATTTTGATGAAACTACAATAATGTAGCGTTTACATCAAAGTAGAATTTAAGTATAATATACATGAACAACGTGGACAGAGCCGCAGGATAAGTAGTGTTGGGAACCGGTCTCACGTCGTGGAGAGCGTTGATCAACGCGCCGACTGGGCTGTGGCGCCTTGGCCGGACTCGCCTGCACGGAGCCCACCGCTAACGGCTGCCACTAAATACTTTATCTAATTTTATTAACGGCAATATAAACCAACGAATTATGCAGTCTACCTTTTATTTAACTTCCCAGAAGGACTCTTCCCAGAAGGACTCTTACAAGTAGTAATATTATAAAAGAATATATGTTTTTTGTTACTATATTATGATCCTTTAGTCAAAATTATGTTTATACTATTTACTGTAGAAACCCTTCGTCTATGGTGTTGAAGTGCCGTTTATTATTCTTAAAAGGTATTTTCTTCTCCAGTGAGTACTCCACCACAGTTTCATCACAATCGGATCAATGGTTTAGGAACGCATGGAGGACAAACATGCGAACATTCATTTTTATTTATATAGATAAGCTGTGGACAATCGCTTTGCTTCTAAGGATCTTAGTGTGGTTTTTTTTATTGGACTAAGGGGGCAAACGGGCAGGAGGCTCACCTAAAGAAGTGATCACCGCCGCCCATGGACATCTGCAACATTAGAAAATTCGAATTTCACGCAAAGTATAATTAATAACACGACAAAACATAATATGAAAAAAGGTTTTTTAAAATTCATAAAAAAAACTATGCATTTCCTATTTTTATTTCAAACCCAGAACCCTTGCTATTATAAGTGCTTTATGTTCATTTAAAATTCGGTGATAGATCTGACTCATCATCTGGAGATCATTTTGACAATTAAAAGTGACATTTTGATATTTCCAAGTGTCTAAATGGCAGTAAGGTCTAAATAATGTATGGAAATGTTGTAACTTTAAGTCTCAATAACTTTTTACTCTTTTGTTTCCTCAAAATAATCTTTATATATTTGGACTCTCACCTCCCTTATCCAAAAATACCACCTACTCCTTCAGGGGTCGCGTCTCATATACTAAACTGCAGCCGATAAAAACCGATTGACTGCGTTTATCATGAAGAGTTATATCCGGTCTATTATAGTGGATTGTCTTGTCAGTTAATATAGCACGGTCAAAATAAAGACGATAATTTAAGTTTTCTATAACTGTTTCTGGTATATATTTGTAATATGGTACAGTTCGTTGTAATTTTAAGCATTTGGGCTATTTGCTAAAAAATGATATTAGCAACCTGGTCATACTTGTGCTTATAATCAGTCTGTACTATTGTTTGACATGCACCAGTAATATGTTATATTGTTTCAGGAGAGCTGTTACATTTTCTACGTAAGTCTGTGTTTTGCATTAGGGTTTTCATTATATGTTTTTGGTAATTCCGAGTCTCTATTGTTTGATCTTGTATGGATATCATAAAACCCTCGGTTTCCGGGAAAAGCTCGACACGCCTCAACCATGCGTTTGATGCAGCCTTGTCAACATTAGATTGGCACAAGTCATGGCGATGTCGTCCATGCAGAGATTTCCGAGACCATTCATCTATTTTAAATTGATTAGATACTTGATTCTCATTTTTCTGGGTGTTTTTATCTGGTAAATTCAAAGGTGTTAATTTCTTGTCAATATTTACTATTGTTTCATGTAGAGTAGACTGTATCGATCTTTGATGAAAATATGTCCGAAGTATAGTAATCTGTTTATTATGTAAGTTAGATACATCTATGAGACCCTCTACCTCCTTCAGCGCGGGGCAATGTTTGACGCTGAACACAGGCTCGAGGGTGGTGTTTTCTACATTTCGTCATGCTAGTGTTTATTATGCGTTGGATATTTTGAAGTTCGGCTTTTGACCACTTGATGATACCAAAAGAGTATGTAAGGATAGGTATGGCGTAAGTGTTTATTGCTTTGATGAGATTACGAGAATATAACTGTGATCGCAGTAAAATGTTTAATCTATGCTTAAAGTTTTGAATTAGTTTAGCTTTAACTTCTTTAGATTTTATTTCGCTTGACTGATTGTAACCCAAGTATTTGTAAACTTCGTCCTGTTGTAATGAATGTATCAGCTGACCGTTCTCTAATAGATAATTAAGCTCTTGGTGTTGTCTGGTGTTGAGCGAATTAATTCTACATTTATCTATTCCAAATGTCATATGAATGTGTTTAGAAAAATATTCGGTTATCTTAGCTAATTTATGTAGGTCATCTAGTGATGATGCCTACAGCTTAATATCGTCCATATACATTAAGTGATTTAAGTGATACGTAATTAGTTGGTTGGATTCATTATTGATATATTTTAAATGGTAACCCACATTACTATTGTTAAATAAGCTTGATAATGGATTCAATGCCAGACAAAACCACAGAGGACTAAGAGAGTCTCCTTGGAATATTCCTTTTTTGATTTTAATTGATTAATTGTCTATTATCCCTATAGTAAGTCTTCAGTCGTAGTTTTGTGGACAATTTTTGTATTAGAAACTGTAGAAAATTTATCAAGCGTGGGTGAACTTTGTATATCTCTAAAACTTTAAGTAACCAGGAATGAAGAACTGAATCAAAGGCTTTTTTATAATCAATGTACATAGTATATAATTCAATTTTATTTCTATTTGCTTTCTGTAATGTAATAGTATCAATTATTAATTGTTCTTTACAACCTTGAGTAAACATTCTACAGCCTTTTTGCTGTTCAGCTAATATACATACTATTGGAGTCAATATGCGTATATATCACTTCAGTAATACAAGAACTAATGATTTTATATATTGCCTGTAAACAGGTTATAAGCCTATAGTTTGCTGGATTTAAGGTTCTGAATTATTTTTGGTAGCATATACGTGATTCCATACATAATATATTGAGGTATTGTATGAGGATTTTGGATGGATTTATTTATATGATTGTAGAGATGTAGATGAATGCATGTAAATTTTTTATACCAAAAGTTGTGGATGTTGTCTGAACCTGGAGATTTCCAATTAAGTAGTTTTCTAATAACTTTATTAAATATTTCTATAGGGATAGATTCAAATTCCATTTGCGTTTATTATTATTATTATGATTAAGTTTTAAAGTAACTGTTCTTATTTTGTATTTGTTTGGTTTATTTTTATTTAGTGGGTTATAGATAACTTTAAATGATAAATTTTAACTAACGGTTAAAAAAATAAAGCAGTTTAAATAAAGCAGTAATACTACGTTACCACTTCAATACTTTGGATATGAAGTTCCGGAAAAACGGGGCGTCGCAGGATCGCTTACGCATTCAACTACGACGCCCCGACGGCAGGTCTGCCAAAGCAGACCTCCACAACCATGGGGTTGCTCCAAGGTCAACTCTGCTATCAGAGAAGTACCAGGAGCGTTGGATTGCCGGGCACTACTGAGCCCCCCCCCACCACGACAAGGTGAACGCACGTTGGGGGGGGGGGGAAAGAAATTACCCCTTACCCGAAGAGTCGGAAGATGAACTATCGTCGGGAGGGGAGTCTAGTAACAGTAACTACGATCAAGAAGATGACGACTTTCAACCGGGATATATATCTAACTCTGTGTCCGAGTTCGAGTAAGTACGGAAAGAAATGAGAAATGTAAAAAAATATCTAAAAAATAGAAAATGGTTATTTTTTCTAGATAAGATGAAAGAATTATGGAACTAGCAACTCACCCTCGCTTCGCTCGGGTTCGTCTTTAATGAAAATCAAAAACAAATCTAGCCCATAGGAATCGTACATTTTTCCGGGATAAAAAGTAACCTCTGTGCTATTCTAGACTATAATCTATGTCTGTGCCAAATTCCATCCAGATCCATTCAGCCGTTCTGGCGTGAAAGAGTACCAAACATCCATACATACTCACAAACTTTCACATTTATAATATTAATAAAAGGAGGTATCAAATGGGATTGGGGAAAGTTAGATAGTTTTAATTAATTATAATTATTTGTTCCAACAGTAAACGTCTACGCAGACGAAATTCTAGAAAGAACGAAGAAGAAGCTAACCAAAAGAAAAATGAGAAAGAGAAAGAGACAGAAAAGAGAGAGAAAGAGGAGAAGGAAACGAATCCAGATGAAGAGTGCATCACAATCAGCGATGATGAAGAAGGTAAGGTTATTAATTAATAATAATAAGTATATGGATGTTTGTTTTTTCTTCTATCACGCAGTAAAGTCTACGTTATGGATCAACGTAATATTTAACAACCGGCGCAAATAGGGGTGTTATAAGTTTAACGTGTGCTACTGTGTGTCTGTCTGTGGCATCGTAGCACCCAAACGGATTATTTGTTTTTGTTTGATAGGTGACTTGATCGAAAGTGTTTTTAGCTATAAAATAAGAAAATCGCTTCAGTCGTTTGCAGGCTATCAGCTCTTTTCTAGACGGTAAAAGGATATGAGTGACTTCCACAGATCTAATTTATTCGAAACTTGGTATCCCGTTACTTTAAAGACATTGCAACGATATGGTAACCTTGGCCTGATGCTGCAGCGTCATCTGGAATCTGCAAGATACTCAGCTCTTTACTAAAATACTGTAGATATATCGTGTTTAGGCACATTGAAATGGCTTCAATGAATAATAACTTATTGTAGGGTTGCGTTGTAGGGTTTTTGAAGTTATACTTCTTTTGGCACATTTGGAAAATAATATGAGAGTAAAATTTTTACGATGAGCGCGCACGCCGACAGCCAAAAAGCGACATGATGAAGTTAGCTGCATTCCTTTTACAAACAGAGAGTTGTTACATACGGGATGAAAATTAAAGCTATTTTTGTTCTGTTACGCCAAAGAAGTATAACTTATCACGTGCGTGCAAAAGTACACACACACGTTTTTTTTATAATTTAATATTTGTTTGAACTTATTTATGGTATTTATTATTTATGGTTTCAACTTCTTTATTATAAAAAACTAACGAATTTTAATAATTTAATAAGTAAGTATGGTTAAAGGCTTTCAATTTTTTTATAGGTTTTAAAATTACACGCCCAAAATTTGTTCCAATTGTAGAATAACAGCTATCTTGACGATAACTCTAGAGGGAAACTAAAAAGAATCATTTCATCATAAAAAACATTAATATTAATAATAATAAAAATACAAATACCAATACCAATATTTTGAAGTAAAACTTGTTTAGTCGTGACTGAGGTGTAATCCAGTGCATTGAAAGAATGATTGTTGCGGAAATACGATGTGGCAGGAATATTAAAAAAATGTAATATTTATAAAAAATAAATATTTATTACTAATATTTCATAGTACATTAATCACCAACATATCATATACTAAAACCTTCTACGAAACACGCTGCATCTTATGGTATGAGTATTATTCCGATCAGTCAGTAGCTATCGCAGTATAACCGAACAATAAAATCGGCTCTCCATTTATTATTATAGAGTACATTTATATTTTTAAAATAATTATTATTTTTAAAAATATATATTTGTTATAAAAAAAATGTAATAATTATTATTACTTATAAAAATGAGTATTTATTACAAACAATTTTATAAAAAAAATATTATATTTATATTTTAATTTGTTTTAATTTAATTGCGGGTATCTGCCACACGCGTAGATGTTACACGCATAATTTTTTTTTAACAATGCACCTTTAGTTATCTTTCCAAACGATGCTTTCAATCCAATCTATGAAGCTGGAGACCCTGGTGTAGACCCCGGGTTGGTTAGGAAGCCCACACCCAGTACCGAATGATGTCACTCCTATGATAAAATGCATCGTTCCTTCACCAATTTCTGGGAGAGCAATTTTCACTTGCAAAGGACCGCCAGAATCACCCTGAAATGATTTTTTTAGAATATATTAAAATACTAGCGACTCACGTTCCTAGATGATTCTTTAAATGGACGTAACTTTTTCATTTATGAACCGATTGAAATAAAACAAATACTAAATATTAGGTGAAGCTTTCTATAACGTATTAGTGATAACCGCATCCAAATCGGTAAAGCCGTTTCTGGGATTAACAACCCAAACGCACAGACAAGCAGACAAACAGACAAAAGTTCTAAAAATTATTGTTTTGGGTTCTATTGCGTAAATAAAGACTCCCAATGATAGTTTTTCTCAAATATCTTCCATGTACAGACAGCGATCAGTTACACTTTTATTAATATGTATAGATTGTCGCGTAGTAGAGAGTATGTAACGTCATTAGACCAAAACTAATTGGCCAAAATTAATGAAATGCCTGAAGCGTGCTTTATATGTACACCCTAAGACAGATGTCTTAGTTCACAGAACGTAACAATACTTTTCAAAATTTCATTTTCAATTAGGCACACAAAATGGATTTTAATTAAAACAAATTCACAAGAAACAAACCGACAATTCAAAGGAATATTTTGTTTTTGGAATAATATTTTCATTTCATTTACTTTTGAGTAACAGTATGACAGATGATAACCAACAGACTGACATTTCAAAAGAATATTATTGTTGCGCTATGCGGGTTGCTCCTGGTACTTCTCTGATAGCAGAGTAGACCGTGGGACCAACTCCTAGGTTCTGTGGTCTGCTTCGGCAGGCCTGCCATCAGGGCATGGTGGTTTATGTGTAAGCGATCCTGCAACGCTCCTCCTCCACTCTGCTGTCAAGGAAGTACCAGAAGTAACCTTGCTAGGGTTGGTCTTGTGTAATAAATATAGATTATTTAGCTTTATTTACATGAATATATAAATATATTTCTTTTTACCTGGCACGAATCTACACCACCAGACTTCTTCCCCCCACATAACTGATGGTGCTCCAGTCCACCCCAAAGTCGATTACGTGTATGCTTTAGCAAAGCATCACATTGTTTTGAATCTATAATATCAACTACTGCTGCCTGAAGGTTTGGAGATGTTTTTGTTTCTGGAAATTATAAAATATATCGTGGAACTATATATAAAAGAGTGTTTAAAAACTAAATCCCATCGGTTTAATTGGGAGAGTAATGGCACCAGCAAGTTAAATCAATACCAAATAAATATTATATAAAAATATATTTATTTTTATCAGCCCTTTTTAACGTCCCACTGCTGGGCACGTTCCTTTCAATGGGAGGACAATCGGTCCATAATACACTATGGCTAAGAGCAGGTTGACTTCACCACATGTCTTTCGAAAACTAGATAGGTCCTATCAAACACATAGAGTAGGTACTAGAAAAACGAATATAGAACTATTGACTTTTAAATGTCAATTGTTTTGTTATTAAATACACATTAAAACCCCAAAATATATGTTTTATCTTAGAAAGAAAGCTTTGTTTTTAAAATATAGGAACAAAAAATACTCTTTTCTAAAGTACAACAAGTATTGGTAGTTTAAATAAAACTATCTTTTCGGATTTTTTCGCGGATTTATTTTGATTTTTGGTACCCGACGTTCCATTTCATATTCAGTTATAAAACTTATTGAAATTATAAAAATGATTAAAATTAACAAATATTGTAAGGTACTTTGGTGCCATTTTTGATTTCTTTTGGTTCATTTTGTTATTTTGTGGGTAGATCGTCAGTAAGAACTATATAATATCTTTGAGACATCTAAAATCTTAGTCCCTCCCATGACCATCATTGCTGTAAAGCATTCGAAAAGTCAAAAACCAAAAATCAAAATAAATCCGCGAAAAAATTCGAAAAGAAGATTTTATTTAAAATGACAAATATTCGCGTAAATCTAAGAAAGTATTAAGTATTGGTAGTATGAACAAATAAGCATCGAGACGACGAAACGATTAGCTTTATAATATTTGTATGATTTACCTGCATCTATCGCTCCCCAACCTGTTAATGTTGCTGAAGTACCGAGTTTTGAAATATCAAAGTTAGTCCAGAGACACGCTGGTTGTAGGTGTTTTGTGAATGTTAACACTTCTGATATCTCCATTAATGCAATATCAAAATATTTCGTTGGCGAACTATAGGCAGGATGGACGATTATTCTTAAAATTTTAGAGTCTTGTGGGGAAAGTCCATCGACATACTGTTGGGAAAGAGATTAAATCGATTAAAATAAGTATTACCTTGATTTAAAAAAAAAAAACTTGTGTGTGTACTTATGTACGAGTATGTACGCACGTAAGAAGTTATCCTTCTTTGGCGTAACAGAACAAAAATAGCTAAAGATTTCACTTTCAGCTAACTTCTTCATGTCGCTTTTTGGCTGTTGGTGTGCGCGCGCATCATAAAAATTTCCCACAAAAAAAATTCCAACCTTCCCAAAAGAAATATAACTAGAAAATGTATTAATGTACATAATATGCATCTGTGAGGCTTATCAGTTGCGCAGTGTTTTGGTTTGACAGGCATTCGTTGTTACGGAAGTCATCATAGGTTTCAATTCTAAGAAATTGTAAATATTGGACTTCCGTGTTAGTCGCTTCAGACTAAGGAATAATATAGATAGATCTAAAGTGATAAGTAAATACATGCCACGGCTTCGCCCCGTCGCGTCGGTCTCATCTCAAACAGACTTAAAAATTCTTTTCTAAAATATTATACGGCATGTACATATACATATATTATACCTACACATATATTCTAGTTCAAAAAGTTTATTATTTTACTAGCATTGACCGGAGCTCCGCCCGCGTTCAGATGATCAAAAACCAAATTCTTAGGTTTTACATATTAGTATACTCTTACATTGTAGTAGTATTGTAGTTTTTATTTTTTCAGAAATGAGATTTTTTCCCGCGGTAAAAAGTATCCTATATGTTGACCCGGATAACCACCTTACCAAACTTCATCAAAATCCCTTCAGCGTTTTTTCTGTGAGGCGGTAACAGACAGACAGACAAAATTCTAAAAACTATATATTCGGCCCCTGTATCGATAATAATGTTTATTTCAATAAGATTTTCCAAAAAATATTTAATGTACAGATTCGGCTTATTTACAATTTTATTATTTGTATAGATTTTACTGACCATCATTATTACTTAAATTACTTTATTTTATTTCACCACCACAATAACACCGGTTCGAAAACAAAGCCACAGTCCTGAGAAGATCTGGCGAAAATCTCAACGGGAGTAAAATTATAATTGGTATACCTACTTACTACGCTATTAAAAATATTTTTGACACCAAGTCTCACGATTTCGGGTACAGAGCTTTGTAACCTTGTGTCGCGCGATGATTTGGTACAATGGGCAGCTGTTAGAGTAAACTTAGAACTGATGAGGGAGCATCCACACTTAAATATCCAATTTCCTTTTAGAGGTTTCCATCCTACTGCACCCTGGAATGTATTAATAATATGAATAACTGCATCATGTTTCGCATACCGTTAGGGTTGTTGATGTATTTGGCTACCTTGTTGGTCTAATAGCTTATACGGTTACACATCGTGAGACCCTGGGTTCGAGTCCCGGTTCAGGTCAAAATAGTTGCTGGGGTTTTCTGTCCCAAAATACTCAGTAGTCGCGTGGAGTAGAGTAAACAATCGCTAATGTGTACACCCCCGTGCTTCAGAAAGGGCGTTTAGTTGTCGGTCCCGCGCTGTAACTGTCTCTTGTCGTGTCAAATTATCGTCCTATCAGAATATGAGAGTAAAATAAACAGGGTGCGTGTCGTGTTTGCGTATTTGCACAAGCGCTGCACTATAGTATGACTCGAGCGGTTAGCTAGTTGGCTTCAACGAGATTCGATCACCGTAACCGGTTCGGAGGACATTTATGAATTGGAAATCTGGAAAGTAATATCAAATACCCAGACAATTCTTTAGAAACAAGTATTTATCACACCTCTTCAGATGACATTTTGCTGTTTCCGCCCTGATTTGAATATATTAGATAGTGGACCAATGTTATAATGGCGTTAACTTATTTTCTTACTAGCATTGCCCGCGGCTCCGCCCGTTCATATGACCAAAAACCAAATTCTTAGGTTTTACATATTAGTATACTCTTACATTGCAATTTTTGTATTTTTTCTCAGAAATGAGATATTTTCCCACGGTAAAAAGCTATTAATAACCAGCTATCACCATACTAAATTTCATCAAAATCCCTCCAGTGGTGTTTCTGTGATGCGGTAAGAGACAGGCAGACAGACAATAATTCTAAAAACTATAGATTCGGTCTATATATATATATATATATATACTCGTATATATATGACTTCAGAACTAAATTTCCTTGTAAGGATGTCTGTTTCTAATGATGCTATTTTCTATTTAGAAAAAAATTGACAATGTAAAACAAAATTTATTGTGTAATCAAAATTTATTTTAAAATATATTCGAAAATGAAATTAGAAATTTAAGTTATAGTATAAAAAATGTTTTAAAAGACGACAAAATCGAAAGTGCATATTAATTACAAGACTTCCGCGACACCATTCGGACAAAGAGAGACAATAGCATTCCCAAGGAGGTCAGGCAGGCGGCCGGTCGTAAAACTTTTGCCAAATCCTATCAGCAGTACAGAAGATGTACTGCGCCGGCCCCAAGTGATTGGGAAATGGGCAGGGGGAAGAAGAAGTTTCTAATGATGCTATATCTATATTAATATTATAATTGTGAAAGTTTGTGAGTATGGATGTATGGATGTTTGTTACGCTTTCACGCCAGAACGGCTGAACGGATCGGGATGAAATTTGGCGATTATATAAGAGATAGATTATAATCTGAAATAATATACAGGCTACTTTTTATCCTGGAAAAACATACGGTTCGCGAGGGATAGATTTTTTATTTTTCTTTTTTGAAAATAAAAGGAAATGAAGTAATGCCCGCAGCATTTTAATGAAATTAAAACTATACCATGTGTGGAAATTCTTCCGATAAGGCATTTCTTCCTCCATAAACGTAGTAATTCTTGTAACCCTGGCCTGCTTGTCCACAAACAAAAAAAATCTTATTATAATAAAATTACACATGTGAAAGCTTTTCAAAATATTTATTAGTGGATTTTTTACGGATTTGGTGAAACTTGCGCAAATTCTGCATTTAGTTTACGATATGTTTAGCAGAGTGCTAATTATTGTTTTGAAAATGACAATAGATGGCGTTGCTCCATAAGTTTTGGTATAATTTATTAGAAACTAATAGTACTACTTAAAACTTTTATTGAATAAATTAAAAAAAAACAGTTAAACCTATATGCTACATTATGAAGCGGGAATTTAGGTTATGTATTAAAGGTGAAAGAACAATAGACGAGAGTTATCCCACAAAACCCAATAAAAAAAACTTACATTCTTCCATTTTTTTCTTTGTCTCAGCTCTGTCACTTCTTTGCCTAATATATTCTAAGCATTCTGTAAAAAAAGGAATTTCAATATTTGACATTTTAAATAAAACTATCTTTTCGGATTTTTTCGAGAATTTATTTGGATTTTTGGGACGTTTCGAATGCTTTACAGCAATCATGGTCTCTCTCGTGACCATGATCGTTTCATACTTTTTGGAGTCTGATTATTCATCAGTCGGGTTTTTAGCTTTTGAAATTCTCAGTGGTTTTCTCGTGACGCGTTACCAGACAGACAGACAAAAATTCTAAAAACTAGATTCGTCCTCTGTATCGATAATAAATAAGATTTTCCAAAAAATATTTAATGTATGGATTCGACCCAGTTAGAATTTTATTATATGTATAGATTATTTTGATAAGCATAGCATTACTCGAGAAATTTAATAAGGAAACAAAAACTTTTTTTTATATATATTATTAAAGATTGCCTACATACTTGCTGTACTAATCCTACGTCCAGGTGCATTGAAGTTTGGTGTGGGAGGTTTATCGAAAACGCACGCATTATTTGGTCTCGTCGTTGTAGATCTCTGTGCATTGGATCTGTGTAAACCTAAAGTATTGTTCTGAAACACAAATACTGTATTTATTTCTTGTGAACCGCATTTTTAATTAAAATTTTACCTAGATCTAGTATCTCATTATAATAATATTATTATTTGGTCAATACAAAATTGTCAGAGGAGTTTTAAAGTCGGTAAACAAATTATGTATATACTAGCGACTCACCCTTGCTCCGCTCGGGTTTGTCCCTTGGTACGTTTTTACGGTTAGTATAGATTTCTTAGAGATGAGATATTTTCACGTAGTAAAAAGTATCCTTAATGTAGATCCGGATAACCAGCTATCGACATACCAAATTTCATCAAAATCTGTCTAGTGGTTTTCTCGTAATGCGTTCTCAGACAGACAGACAAAAATTCTAAAAACTATGGATTCGGCCTCTGTATCGGTAATAATGTTTATTTTAATAAGATTTTCCAACAAATATTTAATGTACAGATTCGGCTAAATTACAATTTTATTATATGTATACATAATAATAATATATGATGTTATATATACCTGAGTATTTCTTTTTATGGGCAGTACCCTCCTTGTACCACAGACGTTTGATACTAGAATGGGAGAATTTTTAAATTTAATTTAGAACAACTAGCGACTCACCCTCGCTTTGCTCGGGTTCGTCCCGGGTCCGTCCTCGGGTTGCTTCCCTATACAAACTTTCACTTCCATTGTGACCCCTTCTAGGGATGATTTCCGGGATAAAAACTATCCCATGTCCTCCCCAGAGTCTCATACTATCTTCTTATCAAATTTCATATAAATCGATTCAGTAGTTTCGGAGTCTATTCGATACAAACAAACAAACAAACAAGCGATTGATATGAGTTTCACTGTCGTATACCGATTTGACTTTGAGATATGAAGAAAAATGAGCGTAATTATGAGTTTCGTCCAAAAGGGCATATCTCGGAAATCTTAAAGCTAGATACTTAAAACTAACGCGAGGTTTTAGGTAACCTTTGAGAGCATATTATAATATTTTTTTTAGATTTTTAAAATAATTACAATACTTTTAAAAAAAAATTTTTTTTTTTTAAAGTTATTTTCCTTAAGACAAACAATCACAAAAAAAATATATATGTAATAGTATTAGCCCGAGAGCTCGTGACGAATTTGGGCAAGGTCCTTTTGGCAAATTGAAATTGTGAAAAAATATAATATCAGGAATTGGCGAGTCCAGTCCCGCAAGTCTGGTGTAGCTTTAGCGGTAATTTCGTTACTGCGCATTATATAACATTTGCAAAAAAAATATCCAAAAAAACATATTTTTGGCAACTTGATTTTAATTTAGTTTTCATATAATTCAAAAAAAGAACCTCAGACGTTTTTGTCGGTTATAAAGTATTGCCAGACCTCTCCAAAGATGCTTTATTAAAATTCCCAAAAAATATACTTTTGGCATTCTGAAATTTTAATCACGTATTTATTGAGTAATTTTCAATAATACTTGCAAATCGCCAGACGAATTTACCGGTTATAAACCCTTCCAAGACGTAAATAATGTTTACAAATTAGTACTACAAAAAAGTCTTATGCGTAGCGATAGATGCGAGAAAGGTAGCTTATCGAGGTATGCCAGCAGTTGATGGGGGCCCAAGGTCCTCGCGCTGTGATTGGTTATCAAGAAACCGCACGTTTCGAGTATGGTTCGGGCTCTGCGTTCACAACAGAGTATTTTAGAGTAGTTTATTTGGGTTCCGTACCCAAAGGGTAAAACGGGACCCTATTACTAAGACTCCGCTGTCCGTCCATCTGTCTATCCACCTGTGACCAGGCTGTATCTCATGAACCGTGATAGTTAAACAGTTGAAATTTTCACAGATGATGTATTTCTGTTCTTCCAGATTGGTCCCATTTAAATTTCAAAAAAGAAAACCACCCCTAAAGGTGGAAAAATAGCTAATGATAAATTTAACCTATTTCTAATTGTCATATTGACTTGAAACTTTGCAAGTGTTTCTATTTCCGTTGATAGTACAGTGGTTCGGTATTATTGACCTGATCTGATGGTAAGGCCAGAAGGTGGCTTTGCTTTGTATGGGCTGGCACCGATTTCGAAAATATTTGATTAGGTATGTATTTAATAGGTAGGCTTTTATTACTTAGCCAAAGCACACCGACTTCGAAAATATTTGATTAGGTATGTATAGTAAATGAAAACTACAAATCAGTTATTTTTTACTTTTTAGTGCTTTTGTTTGAAGTCGGTTTTTATTTTTTTGTTAAAAAGTTTTTATCGAAAGACATGTGCACTGTGCAGTCCGCCAAAACGGACTTGGCCAGCGTGGATGACTATGGTGTGTCGATCTCAGCTGTCGAAAGTTAAAAAGGGCTGAATGCAAAGCTATTTTACGAGATCATTTCTTACGATATTATAAACTAGTGTTATTACATAAAAATACAACTCAAGCAAAATTTACTTTTAATTTATTTTAATTATTATCCTCAAACCATCTGTTTGTAAAGTACAAACGCAACACATAAATCATAAAACCGGTGCTCACAATGATCAGATTTTAAACAAACGTAATCCGCGAGTTAGTATATCTATACATATAATAAAATTCTAACCGAGTCGAGTCTGTACTTAAATATTTGTTGGAAATTCTTATTGAAATAGTCGTACAAATTATGTTTTACTTTGCAATACTTGCTGGCCCGGTAAGAACACTAAATTGTAATGGTTATACTATAGGTTTGAAGTGTTTTATATAAAATTACATTATTAGTATCGAGTTAGAAATATCCATACTAATATTACTATTCTTTATTGCATTTAAAAAATCAATACAGTAATTTAAAAATAGTTATTGTTAGCAAAGGTGGACTTATCTCTAGAAGAGATCTCTTCCAGCCTAAACCTATGGCAGTGAGAAATAGAGAAGAGAGAGGCTAAATTCGTGCAGTCGTAGTTATATAAATAATATATAGATACTCAAAAATAAATGGCTAATTAAATACATCATCTGTGAAAATTTCAACTGTTTAACTATCACGGTTCATGAGATGCAGCCTGGTCACAGACGGATAGACAGACGGACTGCCAGCGGAATCTTAATAATAGGATCCCGTTTTACCCTTTGGGTACGGAACCCTAATAAACTACTCTAAAATACTCTGTTGTGAAGGCAGAGCCCGAACCATACTCGAAACGTGCGGTTTCTTGATAACAAAAACCTCTGGGGTTCTTTTTATTGGATTATATAAAAACTAAATTAAAAGATTAAACAAAAATCAAGTTGCCAAAAATATGTTTTTTTTTGGATATTTTTTGCAAATTTTATATACTGCGCAGTAACGAAATAACCGCTAAAGCCATACCAGACTCGCGGGACTGGACTCGCCAATTCACGAAATTATACTTTATCACAATTTCAACTTGCCAAAAGGACCTTCCTAAAATTCGTTGCCAGCTCTCGGAACAAAACTATCTCAACGCATTTAATTACAATTTATGGATTTACATGAAGTATTGGAACAATAACTCTATTATATAAAAAAATGCTAAAACATATATTTAATTAATTGTATTGAAGAGCATTTATACCAAGTTTCAAGTAATTCTGACCATAAATATTTTTTTGGATTGTATTATAACGTGTTTTCCCGTGGGAAAGAGATAATATCCCGCGTTTAAAAGTAGCCTATGTCACTCTCCAGCCCTCTATCGATCTCCACGTAAAAAATCGCGCCAATCCGCCAAGCCGTTTTGACGTGAAAGCAAGACAAACAAACACACTTTCACATTTATAATATTAGATTATTTAATTAGCCATTTATTTTTGAGTATCTATATATTATTTATATAACTACGACTGCACGAATTTAGCCTCTCTCTTCTCTATTTCTCACTACCATAGGTCGGCTGGAAGAGATCTCTTCTAGAGATAAGTCCACCTTTGCTAACAATAACTATTTTTAAATTACTGTATTGATTTTTTAAATGCAATAAAGAATAGTAATATTAGTATGGATATTTCTAACTCGATACTAATAATGTAATTTTATATAAAACACTTCAAACCTATAGTATTACCATTACAATTTAGTGTTCTTACCGGGCCAGCAAGTATTGCAAAGTAAAACATAATTTGTACGACTATTTCAATAAGAATTTCCAACAAATATTTAAGTACAGACTCGACTCGGTTAGAATTTTATTATATGTATAGATATACTAACTCGCGGATTACGTTTGTTTAAAACCTGATCATTGTGAGCACCGGTTTTATGATTTATGTGTTGCGTTTGTACTTTACAAACAGATGGTTTGAGGATAATAATTAAAATAAATTAAAAGTAAATTTTGCTTGAGTTGTATTTTTATATAATAACACTAGTATATAATATCGTAAGAAATGATTTTATAAAATAGCTTTGTATTCAGCCCTTTTTAACGTTCGATAGTTGGGACCGACAGACCATTGTCCTCCACGCTGGCCAAGTCCGTTTTGGCGGACTGCACAGTGCACATGTCTTTCGATAAAAACTTTTTAACAAAAAAATAAAAACCGACTTCAAATAAAAGCACTAAAAAGTAAAAAATAACTGATTTGTAGTTTTCATTTACTATACATACCTAATCAAATATTTTCGAAGTCGGTGTGCTTTGGTTAAGTAATAAAAGCCTACCTATTAAATACATACCTAATCAAATATTTTCGAAATCGGTGCCAGCCCATACAAAGCAAAGCCACCTTCTGGCCTTACCATCAGATCAGGTCAACAATACCGAACCACTGTACTATCAACGGAAATAGAAACACTTGCAAAGTTTCAAGTCAATATGACAATTAGAAATAGGTTAAATTCATCATTAGCTATTTTTCCACCCTTAGGGGTGGTTTTTTTTTTAAATTTAAATGGGACCAATCTGGAAGTATACACTTTCAAACAACAGAAAAATTGTCCAAATCGGTTAATAAATGACGGAGTTCTGAGGTAACAAACATAAAAATAACAGTCGAAATGAGAACCTCCTCCTTTTTGAAGTCGGTTGAAAACATGCTAGGATCTCTCAGACATGCAGGTTTTCTCACGATGTTTCCCATCACCGTATAAGCAAAATAATTTTAAAGGATTCTAAATAATTACTTACCTAATATTGCTGCAAACAAAACACAAAAATAGCGCATTTTTAAACTTAACGGCACTCAAACAGATGGTATAAAAATATAATAACCGTTTTTATGAAACAATTTATTATTATCGAATTTTGATTATTACGAATCGTCTTCTTACTATAGAGATCGAAACAACACTGCGTGTTTGAATATGATTGCATTATATATAGGTAACTTATTTTACATACCGAGCAGTTTATTCACGCGCGTTTCTTAACTGACGAGCTTTTCGAACTCGAACTTTTTCATATGTGCCTTTTACACTTTTTTGTGTGTAACAGTATATTTTTTACAAGTTTTTTTTTTTAATTTATAATGCTTATTAGTCGGTATGTTCGTGTGGGTCAAATCTTGCAAGCTGATTTAGACCCACTTGCTCTGATCCTGCAGAGTTGAAATTTTACATATAGGTTCAGTTCTGATGACAATTATTTTTTACTAGCATTGCCCGCGGCTCCGCCCGCGTTCAGATGACCAAAAAGCGAATTCTTAGGTTTTACGTATTAGTATACTCTTACAATGCAGTTTTTGTATTTTTTTCTCAGAAATGAGATATTTTCCCGGGGTAAATAGCATCCTATATGTTGACCCGGTTAACCAGCTATCACCATACTAAATTTCATCAAAATCCTTCCAGTGGTTTTTCTGTGATGCGGTAACAGACAGACAGACAGACAGATAAAAATTCAAAAACTATAGATTCGGCCCCTGTATCGATAATAATGTTTATTTCAATAAGGTTTTTCCAAAAAATATTTAATGTACAGATTCGGCTTAGTTACAATTTTATTATATGTATAAATGATATTTATGTTGTTTTAACTGTTCTAACCTAACCTAACCAACGTAGAAAGAAAGAAAGGGTGCTTCTGAGTAAGATGTAGCTCCCGCCTTATACTTTTCTTCTTAGCCTTCTCAACCTACTATCCAAGTCGGTACTGTTGCGTTGTCAAAAAATAAAACTTACCTAACTATTGTCTTACTATCCGTGTTTTCGCAATGTCCCTAGGGTTTTTACGAAAATTCTAACTATCAAATCATCCTACAGCATATATATAAAAATGTATAGTTTCCGGTTAACAATGAAAGAATGTAAAACAGAAGAAAAAAGTATTAAAAATGTGTAATTTCATGATTTCCCTAAATTTTTCTTTAATTTTAGGTATCTGTCGAATTTCTTTTTAATTAAAATTATTTCGTGAACTCTCTCCAGTAATGACAATTATGCGTGGCGTGAAGTCTATTGTGGCTATTAGGTATCTGTTCCAAATGAAAACTCCCGTTCAGTTATTTTTTACGACGACACGTTTGGCTCAGTTTGTAGTGACCCTACTTGCTGTGCCAGCGGACGCGGGTTCGAGTCCCGCTGGGGGCATTCATTTGCGTGATGAGCACGAATGTTTGTACTCTAGTCATGGATATTATATTTATAATATGTATGTATTTAAAGTTATATATGTATAGTGTATCAATTATCTGGTATCCATATATCTGGTAGCCTCGTAGCTTACCATGGAACTAGACGGTGCTGTATGTTAATATCCCAACATATTTATTTATTTAACATATTTTTTCAGTTCGAGCATGCTTCACGGCGGCCGCTGGGATGGGCGCTAATGTATTCGTGTCTAAATACCGGTAAATCTCATTAATATTATAAAATTGGGAAAGTTTGGATGGATAGATGTTTGTTACTCAATTACGCCAGAACGACTGAACGGATCTGGATAAATTTTGGCGTATAGACAGATTATAGTGTGGAATAGCACATAGGTTATATTTTATCCCGGAAAAATGTGGTTCCCGTGGGATAGATTTGTTTTTGCTTTTCACAGAGCAAGGGATCGACTATCTATTCCATACTAACCGTTAAAACTTACCTAGTGCTAATATAAGTGTATGTTTAATTTAAAAATTATAGTAACTTAGATTGTGGTACTTTTTTGCTTAATGATATTGCCATGGATTATGTACAAGCGATCGTGTGCGTTAATAGGTGCCTACCAGTGTAGGTTCAACGTGTAAAAGTAACAAACATACACACAAATACACACTTTCGCATTTATACAATAATTATTCTTATTCTATTGATTAAGCTTATGGGCTTTCTAACATTAGTAACACCTGCACCATCTATCATACAAAGTGGAAATATGTCAGAAATCCTAACGGGCTTGTACAATACGTTATCATAGTTTTATGGTATCGAATTATCTTTCGACTTAAAATTTACAGACAAACATTCATTTTTATATATAAAAATTGTGTAGGTCAGTGCGCACTCTCTTCGGTGAGGACGAGGCGTGCTACATTATGGACGCTAAGGTTCAAGGCAACATCGGCAGATATCTTAATGTGAGTTTATATTATTCATTCATTCATTCATTCGATCAAATGTAAGGAAGAAAAGGTAAGTGTATTTATAAAAGTTTTTATGTATGGAATTTGATTTAGTGTGTTTGTAGAGTTCTTTTTTAAATATATTTGTTTGTTGGTTTGTTGATGAATACAAAGTTTATTCTTTACATATGTATATTTAAGCCATGTGTCTTGTTAAAATTAAAAAAAAATGTTTTGAATAGTGTCTACAGCAATTTATGTACTTCGCACAAAGAAACTGATTTTAATAATCCCTCCACGACTGCGGACACGCCGGCGTGTCAGTTAACAACAGATTTCTTAGAAATTTAATTATTTTTTTAGAAATTTACCTGGAGGTGATAAGGCTATATTTAATAATGTATTTTTTTTGTTAAATTAAAATAAAAATTAATACTATCGACTTCAAAAAATAAAACCGACTTCAAACAAAAGCACTAAAAAGTAAAAAATTACCGATTGGTAGTTTTCATTTACTATACATACCTAATCAAATATTTTCGAAGTCGGTGTGCTTTGGCTAAGTAATTAAAGCCTACCTATTAAATACATTCCTAATCAAATATTTTCGAATTCGGTGCCAGCCCATACAAAGCAAAGCTCACCGACTTCAAAAATATTTGATTAGGTATGTATAGTAAATGAAAACTACCAATCAGTTATTTTTTACTTTTTAGTGCTTTTGTTTGAAGTCGGTTTTTTTGTTAAAAAGTTTTTATTTTTCCCTTTTTAGTTTAGACAGTAGTAGCAAAGTAAGAATTCTAAAGTGTTAGGCTTGTCAAACCAAACAAAATAAGCCCAAACTCAAAGTATCTACTATTAGTCGTTGAAGAGTTCAACCTATCCACCTTCTGGCCTTACCATCAGATCAGGTCAACAATACCGAGCCACTGTACTATCAACGGAAATAGAAACACTTGCAAAGTTTCAAGTCAATATGACAATTTTAGAAGTAGGTTAAATTCATTATAAGCTATTTTTCCATCCTTAGGGGTGGTACTTTTTTTTGAAATTTAAATGGGACCAATCTGGAAGTATACCCTTTCAAACAAAACAAAAATTGACCAAATCGGTTAATAAATGACGAAGTTCTGAGGTAACAAACATAAAAAAAAAATACAGTCGAATTGAGAACCTCCTCCTTTTTGAAGTCGGTTGAAAAGGAGCAAGTGTTTAAATCGGTGGTATTTTTTTTGTACATAATTTACACGATATTCTCGACAATTAAGTTAATTTTTTTTCCATTTTTTTTATTATTTATATTTATTTGAAATATAATAAATACTTCCTTTTTCCCATCCACAGCACTCATGTTCACCTAATGTGTTTGTACAAAACGTTTTTGTGGACACCCACGACCCGAGGTTCCCTTGGGTGGCTTTCTTCGCACTATCCTACATAAAATCCGGTACAGAATTGACCTGGAATTACAATTATGACGTGGGTTCAGTTCCCGGGAAGATCTTATACTGTAAATGCGGTGCACTCAACTGTAGGGGACGTTTGTTGTAAATTTGGTACGTATCTTCTAACTGTTAAAATGTTTATTTATTCATATAAAAACATAGATACACATTTTCTAACAAATATCTCTTGAAAAAGTGGCGTCAACATGTGACGTTAAGTCGAAGAGTAAAATTCAAAAATCGATAGTTTCAATTACGCGTGTAGCCAATTTTGTTACTTTAAGAAAAATCCTTTTTTAATAAATTAATCACAAACGGCACTGACAAAACGTAATTCAAACCGGTTTAGCCGTTACGCTGTAACGCTGTAAGAAGTAACAAACTTACAAACTTTTGAAGTTATTGGGTCTTTATAAATTTATAGCCTCTTTAATTGCAAAAAATATTTAATTAAATTACTATCACTTCGATTTAAGCATCTATATGTATAATATTATAAATTAAAGATGTAATAATTATAAATCTTTTCAGGTATCGCAGTGGATTTATTGAAAAATATAATAAAAATATATTAGTAAATGCTTTAGTGACTTTGTTGTAAATACATTTTTAACAGCTTTTTGTAATCCAATTAGAAATACAGACGCATTATATATGAAGGGTATAGACAAATCTGTGTCAATGGTACTTGCATTTAACTAACCTAACCCCACCACTGGTTTTTTACAAATATTCAACGGATGTCGCTAAAAACACGTTTTTGTCTTTGCCCAAAGCGAAAAGAACTGGAAATGTCCATGATATACTGCTAAAGAAGTATTGTCCAAAAATTTACATAGTTAAAAGTTACTACATACTTTGATCTTAATATAAATATTATAACCTCTAAATTTTAAATTGCATTTTTCTCACAATCTATTCATTAGGACATTACCTGTACTTTGCCCTGTATCCTTGATGTATACAAACAATAAATACATTTAAAATTAAGACAAAATCTTATTTGTACAGATCAAAAATGATATTAAGATTTTTAATCTGTGTTTGTAACCATATTTTTTAAATTGTCTTTGGTTGTGTGAAATCGGCTATTTTTTTTTATAAATTTAACGTTGGTTATTGTTTACATTTATATATTTTTTTCAAATTATCATCTAAATATTTTACTAAATAATAATTGGTGACAAGTTCTAAAAAGTTCTTCTTTGTTTGAAATCACTTTAAATGTGTTCATTGTGTTCTTAGAGGTAGATTTTTTCTTGGTTTGCTTGAAATGAGGTGAGTGTAAACTTTTCATTAAAGTGATGTTATAGATATTATAAAGTTGTATTAGTAAAGGCATAATAAGTGGTTTTAAGTGGGTGTACAGTTTTTTTTTAAATATTTGGTACAAAGTTTTTTTTTAAATATTTGAACACGTCATAGAGGCGCGTATTTTTATTTGAGATGCACAAAATTATAGTGTTGCCTCTAGTACCTTTGTGTCTACGGTGGCACGTTTCTTTGTCACTAAAGGAGTCACTACTGGTGACCAGTGAAGCATTCCTCCGTTCTCATAAATACAGGATTATTGGTCAATTAGCTTCTTTATACGATGCAGAATATTAGGTCCTAGGTTTGAATCCTGTCTCGAGCTAAAAGTTGTTAAGTTAGTGGATATTTCTATCCAGAAATACTACAGCAAATCGGAGAACTCCTCAAATTTATCACGAAAGAGAAGATAAAGTATTAAGAGAAAATATCTATCGATTGCTTGGCATGCTAGAAATAGCAAAGTATGACAGATTTTTTTATTTATATCAAATAATAATAATAATAATAAATTTAATAAAATATACATTTTACAAACGTCGACGTTACACATTGACAAGAAACCCTAGAAAATTGGAAAGAAAATATTGCTTTCATGTAATGTTCGTAACAGGGAATGGAACCTGTGACCTTAGTTTCAGTAGATATTGTCGTTATTTAAACAGATAGGTTAGGATATATGTATGTATGTATGTAAAGCTTTGACTGATTCATTCTCAATGTATACAATTAGTCATTAATAAGTGTGTGTAATTAAAAACGATCTGAATTAAATAGTGTTTTTATTTGTATTTGCGTTTTATTTTTAATCCCCAACGAAAAAGAGGGTAGTTATAAGTTTAACGTGTGTATGTGTGTCTGTCTGTAGTATCGTAGCGCACCAACGGATGGTACTCAAAAAAACCCTTTGTCTATGGTGTCGAAGTACCGTTTATTATTCTTAATAGGTATTTTCTTTTCATAAATTGGAAATTAACGACTAATACCTATTTTTTTATGTCTGGCAAAATCGAAATTATAGAATATACAGCAAAACACGCTACTATTTTTGACTTTGAAATTGTTTTGGCGGAAGTATATATATATATATACACATATATACATACATACATAATTATATAGTCTGAGAGCCAGGTATACGAAAAAAAGATATTTTAAATAAATATCACGGGGAAGTTCCGTAGTCTTTTCGACCGGACTATATAATAAAGTTACGAATTCATTTAAACTGACTCATCTGACATATTAATATATTTCCAATGAGACTTCCGTCATCTAATTTAATATTAAGCTTTTAATGTGTTTTTTTGTGTAGGATATTTTATAAAAAATAATATAATTTCAAAACCATGTCTGTTACGCAAAAAAATAAATGAAAAATATTAACTGTGCACAAAAAAATGTTATTAATTATATCTGTTATTTTAGGTATACAGCCAAATCGTGTGTGTGTGTGTGTGTGTGTGTGTGTGTGTGTGAGTGAATTGTGTTAATTGTACTGTATTCAGCCCTTTTTAACGACCCACTGCTGGGGTTGGGTCTCCCTTCAATATGAGCGGATCAGGCCCTAGTACACCACGCTGGCCAAGTGCGGGTTGGCGGACTTTATGTCATGTCTGTCGGAAACTTGCTAAATTCTCTTAGATATGCAGGTTTCCTCACGATGTTATCCTTCACCGTAAGGCAAGTGGTAATCATGTTAGACACGATTCGCATGTGAAAATATCAGAGGTGCGAGACCTGTGATTTGAACCCGCTTCACTCGGTTTCCCAAGCGAGCGCGTTACCACTGGGCTACCACTGCACTGCAATTGTATGAAAATTATAAAAATAATTGTAAAATAACTACTTCAAAATACGTAAATAAACATAAAAACTATAAAAACTTATTTAAAATAATAAATACCATTAAAACATTTTTCTTTTTTTTTGCTTTTATGGCTTTTAGACGTGTTAAATGAGAATAATTTACCAATGCCGCGTAGATTAATAGAAATTAAAGATTCTCTCATAGATTTCACTATACTTATAATTTTCAAATGTTGAAAAAGACATCCAATGAGTCGTTAAAATTCAATCCTTTTAAAATTCTGTCGTAATATGAAATAATTATTAAATTATTAAACGTTTCTTGGATTGAAATTGAAATATCTTAGGTATATGTAAGTACACAGTACACACAACGCGCAAAAAACAAGACTGCGTAGAAAATTCTACTCGAACATACACAAAAATATCATTAAAATCGTCGCAGCCGTTTAGGAGATAATCAGTTAGGTGATTAACACATATTTCAACTTTCGCAAAAAACGCGCGTGACTATAACCGTTTGGTTTGTCAAATAATATTGTGTACATTTTTTTCGATGTGACGCGCAGAGCTGATCCGCTCTCGAACAAGACGAGGCGGCTTAATCAAATATGATAATTAATAGTAATAAAATAAATCCTTTTGAAAAAATATATGTATAACTATAAAACAGTTGAGTGCCAATTTAGAATTTTACAATGCGGAGTTTTTGTGTTTTATGTGGCATATTATTAGGTAAGTTTATTTTGTTATATATTTAATGTCGTTTAAATTTTTTTTTAATATATAAATATCTCGTGTCACGGTGTTTGTGGTCGTGCTCCTCCGAAACTGCTCGACCGATTTTAATGATATTTTTTTGTATTTTTGCTAGGTATGAGTTGGTAGTATAGGTCGTAACTCGTAGTATTTTTCACCCTCCTACCCCAAAACTTCATTTTTTAAATAACTAGGGGCGAACCCGAGTGGAGCGAAGGTGAGTCGCTAGTATAAATATATTATTTTCATGCTTCCTTTCCTTATATTATATTGATTATGATATATTGCTCTTTCTGTTGGCTCGTTTAATTAACTTTTTGTGGTAAAACCATAAAGCCGGTTTTCATCAATAATATTACGTGTTTACCATAGGTCGGTTTTTACTTGGGAAATACAATATGGTCATACAAAGTATATGAGATTTTTTTAGGGTATCGAATGTTTTTAGTTTTTACAACAATTTAAATAATACGTTTCTTATTTTAAATTATTATATTACTAGCGACTAACGCTCGCTTCACCGTTCGTAGGCCACGTGGTCTCACGAGAACCAATCGTGTCTCCCTCGCACTTTAAGCTATGCATAGTGCTGTCCTCCCGGACTTTCTCGATTATCTAACAGGTAAAAAAATCTATCAAATTAATCTGGCTTTTTGGGTTTATTAATTATTTGTCTTTGAGTATCTATATTACTCTCAAAAAATCCCAAACTGCCTCTAGAATTTTTTTTCATTTGGTTTCAAAAAACCATTTTTCAACAGTCGGGTTAATATTTAGACCCGACTGATTAGTCTGGCCTTTTGATTTTTTAATTCCTTCAATATCTAACTTAAGGATATAAAAATTTTAAAACGCCTCAAAAATGTTTTTTTTTAATAAATAAATTTCCCTTAAAAAAATTAAGGGTTGCTAGGGTGCCGCTACCCAACAGCCATACCTAGTTGAGGTATTATTATATATATAGGTAGGTAGGTATTATTATATATGTTATTTAGGGTTCCTTCAAGGACAATTAAAAAAAAATTTATAGTGCCTCAAGAACCTACCCTAAAATGTTCACCAGCTCTCTTACAATGATGTCAAAATAGCTACCTACTCCATATCTATAGAAATTATATATTTTTTATGATATTAAATTGTAATATCATCGCATCATTTATTTTTTACCTATTCGTATGATAATTTCCATTCTGTGGAACTTTAGAAGGCATAATAACGATTTTTTACTGACTGTACTTGATTTATGGAAAAATACTCCGCGGCGTAGATAAAAATTATAGATAGAACATAAAAAAATATGCGCTCTTTAGGTATTTTGGAGATAATCATTTTTGAAGTGAAAAGTTGTATGGGTTTGTTTGGATGGGGAGTAAATTCATGTAAATCGTCATCGACATGGTCACGTGACGTGTTCACGCTAACACTCAGAGTGCCGATAGATGTCAAACCAGATAAATGTAAACAGTTTTAATTTACAAATTTTAATTTAAGATTAAACAATTAATTTGAATATCCAAAAATAGCAACTGTTTGTTTATAGTTTTAAGTTTTCACTTCTGTCACCAGTCCTCGTGACTGTTTTTTTATAAAAAAAATGATTAACCATCTACCATAACCTACACGAAAGTCGTATTGATCGAAATTTTTTCATAAATCAAGTGCTATAGGAATCATTCGACTTAGTAGATCCAGAGATTACCCCCCTACACCGTCACAAACTCACACAATGACAATTCACAAACCCACAAACTTTACGTCTTTATAATATTAGTATAGCATTAGCGAATTACCTCCGCTTCGCTCGGGTGCGTCCCTATGTACGTTTTATATATATATATATAGTATATATATATATATTAGTTATTGCTAGTGTATCTTAGGGATAGACATATGCTATTGCATACTTTTCTGTAGGCCTTTAAAAAAAAAAAAAATAGCTATTGTTTTAAGGTATATTTATATTCTGTACAAAATACGTTACAATCATTGCTTTTAAAAATCGGGTTGGGCAGTGTCGGGGTTCACCACCGTTGGTTTTATGTGAAACGTCCATCTATAGCACGAGCTAAGGCCGACTTATTGGTTTTTTATACACTTCCTGGTTATTATTATTTCCTATAAATTTGGTCCAAATTACACGTATTTTCAACCGACTTCAAAAAGGAGGAGGTGCTCAATTCGACTGTATTTTTTTTTATGTTTGTTACCTCAGAACTCCGTCATTTATTAACCGATTTGGACAATTTTTGTGTTGTTTGAAAGTGTATACTTCCAGATTGGTCCCATTTAAATTTCAAAAAAAATACCACCCCTAAGGGTGGAAAAATAGCTAATGATGAATTTAACCTACTTCTAATTGTCATATTGACTTGAAACTTTGCAAGTGTTTCTATTTCCGTTGATAATATAGTCATTCGGTATTGTTGACCTGATCTGATGGTAAGGCCAGAAGGTGGATAGGTGGAACTCTTCAACGGCTAATAGTAGATACTTTGAGTTTGGGCTTATTTTGTTTGATTCGACAAGCCTAACACGTTAGAATTCTTACTTTGCTATTACTGTCTACACTAAAAAGGCAAAAATAAAAACTTTTTAACAAAAAAATAAAAACCGACTTCAAACAAAAGCACTAAAAAGTAAAATATAACTGATTGGTAGTTTTCATTTACTATACATACCTAATCAAATATTTTCGAAGTCGGTGTGTTTTGCCTAAGTAATAAAACCCTACCTATTAAATACATACCTAATCAAATATTTTTGAAATCGGTGCCAGCCCACACAAAGTAAAGCACACCGACTTTAAAAATATTTGATTAGGTATGTATAGTAAATGAAAACTACCAATCAGTTATTTTTTACTTTTTAGTGCTTTTGTTTGAAGTCGGTTTTTATTTTTTTGTTAAAAAGTTTTTATTATGTATTTAAATCGGTCGATCGGAATGAATTCTATAAACACATAAAATCACGACGCCATCACGTGTGAGTCTGCACTTACACCGAATAGAAAAGAGCGAGAACGGCAATTATTTAGGCGAACGGAGATTATAAATATTGCGCCGCTATATAAATATATTGCGTATATGAAAAAAAAATAGTAATAATCTTTGAAGATAGCAAAGGAAATAATTATACATAATACATATATCATTTTTCAGACAATAACAACGGTTATAGTCCACTTTTCTAACCTAAGTTCATAGTTGATGTTAAGACGTTTCACGTTAAAAATATTTCATGTACAGATTTCGCTAACTATTTTATTACATGTACCTATAGATGTTGAAAATTTTTCTATTCTAGTTTCTAACGTCTACAGTACAAACAAGATAATCTCCAAAAGACACACTCAGGTTAGTATAAAATATTGTTACTATAATTTGATTCAGTTCGTGTTATTTATAACACTGGCTAGCGAGTGGCGACTCACCCCCGCTTCGCTCAGGTTCGTCCCTAGGTAAAGACGCTTAGTATGGAATAGATTTAAAAAAAAAATCGTGAATTTTTCCGATGTTTTAATAGTTATTCTGCTATTTGGGGTGAAGACAAACCCAACAATATAAAGATCATAAATATCGGTCCAGCAGTTCTCGAGTTATAAGTGTTGTAATAAACCCAACTTTGTTTTATATACATAAGGATGTGTGTTGAGTGTTGGCCCGCTGTCAGTAGGTATATCAGCTTTTCGCTTACTTGGGTCTCAAAATATACAGTGTGTTAAAAAAACCCTGTCCGACCCGTGAAGGTATTATTAGGTATCGCGATTCGATTCTATTTATGTAAAAAAAATCAGATTCCAAGTAAAAAAAAATTACCCCGTTTAAAAATTTAAAATATTTCATAAATTGTGAAACTTACATAGCAATACTGGTGACGTCATAAGGTCATGAACGCAGTTGACCTCAAAGTTCAAACTACGCTTATCAATTTGTATTTTGTAAGTAGGTAGTCTGTTATTCGATGAGGACGCCAATGCGATGGCTGTGATGGAGATGTTGTTCCATGTGACGGCCTCCACGAGTGATACAGGCTTGACAGCGTCGCAAAAGGTTATCACGGATTATTGGCGTGAGGATTTAGCGTCGACCACACATATTCATTCCGGCTGTTAAAGACGCCTGTTCTATGAAAAGAACATTCATTGGTGAAAATAACCCTTTTTAAAAATTCAGCGTCCTCTTCAATTTTCCTTAAAATCCATGCACAATATTCCACTCTAGGTTCATAATTACTGGGTAGTAAAGCTTGGATACGACGGTAGTGGAAAGGATGCTGGCCATCTTCTTTTAACACTTCCCACACCTGAACGTGGTTAGTGCCCAATTGTCGTGCCACAGAACGAGTACTTCGGGTGGGGTCCTCATTAAATAACACAAGCACCTGCTCTTCAATATCCATGTCGATACGCGGTGTCCTTGTATCAGCGTGATGCGTTTCGTAGCCGTGAACACTGCCCGTGGTGTACATACGATTGTGAAGACGTTGAACCGCACGCTCTGTCGGCACCGTGGTACCATGCGGAACTGCGAAACGCACTTCATAGTCTCTATGAGCCTCTGCATAATTGCAGTCACTCCTCCCCAAACACATGATCATATTACAGTACTCTTCATTCGTATACGACATAGTTAAAACTCAATTTCTCCAACACGTGCACTCGGATGCAATGTTTCGCGAAACTGACATAATTTTAAGTGAAATAAATAATAAAGCAAACAAATAGTGATCGTAAGTATGTAATTCAAGGGCGGGATAGCCTCTACACGTGCCGAGCGGTACCTTTGACAACGGGCGGCGCATCGTCTGTCGGCACACATCAAAGATGCCGCCGCCACATGATTAACATAATACCGCCGAAATTAGTGTTGTACATTTATAAAATTTCCTAGAATTGTGGGGAAATTAGCAAAATAAATGGACTTTTTAAATTTCATTAATATGTTTACTATCATGAATATTTTATATTTCTTATTTTATTTGGTCATGTGATTGGGATACCTATACACTGGTTTCCGATCGGACAGGGTTTTTTTAACACACTGTATAAGATATATTTTGAAAGACCTATAAAATAGTGTATCAGCTATGAAAAGAACAGGTAGTTTTTGAACAATATATACGTAGATATTAAGAAAGAAACAAAAATGAAAATTTAAAAAGAAACATTTTTGAAAGTTCTTGCATATTTTGCTGTTTTAGGGTTTTGTACTTTAAATGGCAAAAAGCAACCCTTACATGATGACTTTATTGTCTGTGTGTCTGTCTGTCGGTCTATCAAGACTATCAGGAACGTGTGGAGTTACCAAGTTAACATTAATATCAAATACTCAGTTCTGCAATCCCTTGGTGCTGTGTCTCCAATCAAACTTCTACGAGTAAGTCAACGCAATCATATGAAACGACCGTTTATGACCATTATATTGATACTTTTAAGGGAATCAAAACCTATGGGGTACTTCCCATTAACCTTATAAAAAATTATCTGTTTTACAAAAACATACGAAAACCTTCTATTCATGTTGAAAAAAACTTTGAAACTTAGTAGATAATATAGTGATTTTCGCATTTTAATATCAAAATCGATATTTTTCTTACATTTTCAGAAACAACAATCATGGATATGGAAAGATAGGGACGACAATGGGTCAAATGTAAGTAAACATTCGATACAGCTTTTTTTTGGGCGGGTAGACGCGAAAGTGTAAAGACGTGTTTTTATGAGCTCTACAATATATATTTATAGTAACATTTAAAATTTATGTGTTAAGTGTTGAATACCTGTGCTTAAGTTAACTGTGACCGCACTCTCCCACACACTCTCTCCACAATGACAACAACTGTTGAACAGCTCTTGAAAAGTATGGATGAGCTCTCTTCTATGTTTTCTTCTAGAATGGTTGAATTTGAAAAAAATCTAACACAATCAGGTTCCACAGTTCCAAACTTAACCGTTAAGGCATTGGCTGCAGAGTTTTACACCTTTAAAACATTTGTGTGGAAATCACTTGGCATTCTGAAATCTCAAGTGGAACTTGTTGCCCTTGGACTAGACCGTATGGAGACACAGTCCCGTAGAAAGGTTCTTCTGTTCCATGGTGTCAAGGAGGATAAAGATGAAGATGTGCTGCAGAAGATCCTTGGTATATTATCCGACCAAATGAAGTTGTCCGATGCTACGCCTACAGCAATTGAATCTTGCCATAGACTGGGTATTAAGAAGGTTTCTGCCCGGCCTATCCTTATACGTTTCTCTAATGTTCAACTGCGCACTCATGTCTGGAAGGCTAAAACTGCATTGAAGGGCTCCAAGATAACGTTGTCGGAGTTTCTGACAAAAACCCGGCAAGAAGTGTTTACCGCTGCTCGCAAACATTTCGGCATTAAAAAATGCTGGTCTGCAGACGGCGTGATTGTTATACTCCTTCCGGATAAAACCCGCACTAAGATCACCACTTCATCGGAGCTTAAACAAATCATCACTCAGTATCCTCATAAATCTGTATCGAACAACGATGAATAGTGTATTTTGTTTACTCTATTTGGATTTGGTCGCATTATACTGTGTTCTATAGTTATCACTTATGTATAATTCGTAATACATCTATTTGTTACACTGTAGGGTATAAAAATATTACTTATCCGTTCATTTTCTATTTAAAATTTAAAAGTTATATTCAGTTAGTTACTGTTTGTTTCTGTCATTCACTTTTAATTGTCAAATGTGATGTGTTAAAATATTATGGTAAACTGTCAACGTCATATTATTGCGTTTAGTTTTTGCATATTTCCTATATGGTCTACATTTCTTGTCACAGATAATGTTAACAGTTTCTTGTAATGTAATCTGACTTCTTTTTTTTTTCTCTTTTAAATTTTAATTTAAGTGTTGTCAATGTGGTACTTTTGTTTTCGTTATTTATTCTCACAGTTAACTTATGCACGTGAATAGTGTTCATTGCATATTATTATTATTATTTCTTATTAATACATATTTCTAGTTTATTTATTTATTATATTAGTACATATTTTATTATTTATATAATATTAAAATAATTTTTAATATAAATTATGATAGATGATCAATATGTTTCTTGTTCTTCAGATGAATATGAAAGTGCTGGCAGCAACAGCACATCACTATCTGACTCAGCACCGCTTCCAGATAAACTCACTAATGCTTTAAACGATAGATCGGCTTCTCTCTCCTTAGTGCATATCAACGCGCAGAGTATACTTGCTCATTATACCGACTTTCTCGCATCTTTTAGTACCGGCGTAGTTGACTGTATACTCGTGTCTGAAACCTGGCTTAAACCATCATTACCTTCCACTAGTTGCGCTCTCCCAGGTTACAAATTATATCGTAATGACCGCTCTGGCCGAGGTGGAGGTGGCGTAGGTATCTACCTTCGCTTCAGCCTTTCTGCCAGAGTTGTGTCTTTATCCCCTCAAAATCCCTCAGGATCTCTCGAGTATCTCTTCTTAGAAATTACTGTACACCATAAAAAAATTTTGCTTGGAGTGCTTTACTGCCCAAATGACAAAATTAATTACTTTACTGACCTAGAGTGTATATTTGACAATCTTGTAACTCTATATGATGAAGTAATTTGCATGGGTGACTTAAACACTTGTTTACTAAAAAATGACACGAGAGCCCAAACGTTACATGCACTAACTGATTCTTTCAATCTGCATATTCTTCCTTTGTCTTCTCCCACCCACTATTTTCCTAACTGTAGGCCTTCTCTTATTGATTTAATTTCCGTCTCGAGGCCTAATCTGGTAATATCTCACGGCCAAATGACTGCCCCTTTCTCTTACCATGATTTAATTTACCTATCATATAAACTGCGTTCTCCAAAGGCTAGAGGCAAAATTCTTTTCCAGCGCGACTTTAGGCATATGGATCTGGAACGCTTAAGAGAGGATGTGAAGAATTGCAACTGGTCATCTGTATTCTCATCAGATAATATTGACAGTATGGTTGAGTCATTAACTACTGAACTGATTAGACTTTACGACATTCACGCCCCGGTAAGACCAGTTCGCATGAAGCATGCTCCAGCCCCTTGGTTAACACCTCTAATCAGGAGAACTATGGCTAAGCGCGATAGGGCAAAATCTAAAAACAAAAAATATCCAACTGAAGAAAATCTTTCTGCATACAAAAAGCTTCGTAACATCTGCAACAGGATGTGTAGGGATGCCAAACGTCGGTATATTCATACCACAATTCAGGGTCTCTCCCAATCGCAAGTTTGGAGATTCCTCGAGTCACTTGGTGTGGGCAAGAACCCGAATTCGGGCGAAGTCTCGGTTGACCTCAATAAACTAAATTGTTATTTTGCTACCCCACCTTTAACATTAAATCAACAAATCAAATCTGCTACCCTTAATCACTTATCTAGTATTGTCCCACCAGACTCGTTCTCTTTTTCTTTCAAACCAGTCTCAGAAGATGTCATTAAGAAATGTATTCGTTCCATCACTACTAAAGCCATCGGTAGTGACAACCTCAGTCTCGACATGATTCTTCCTGTGTTGGACTGCATTGCTCCAGTTTTCACCCACATCATAAATTACTCACTGACCTGCAATATTTTTCCAACACAATGGAAGAATGCACTAGTCGTACCCTTACCCAAAGTCCCAAATCCATCCAGCCTCAATGATTATCGTCCTATATCTATCCTTCCCATTCTATCCAAGGTCCTTGAATCTATTGTCCATAATCAACTTTACTCCTACCTTACCTCCTATAATCTATTATGTCGTTACCAATCTGGTTTTCGTCCCTATCACAGCACTGTTGGTGCGCTGCTGAACATCACGGAGGACATTCGGTACGCTATGGATAACACTAAGCTTACTGTGATGGTACTTCTTGACTTTAGTAGCGCATTCAACTCTGTAGACTTCGACATCCTTCTTGGCACTCTTCGCGCAGTTAACATTTCCCCTGCGGCTACAGACTGGTTTAACTCATATCTCTTCGGGCGTCGCCAGTGTGTGAGAGCTAATGACACTTCATCAGTGTGGTTGGATCTCACGGCTGGGGTCCCCCAAGGCGGCGTTCTTTCACCACTGCTCTTCTCTATCTTTATTAATAATATATCTCGCGCCATATCTTCTCCCTACCATCTGTATGCAGACGATTTACAACTCTATCGTCATTGTGAGTTGAACGATTTGCCTGATGCTATTCAAAATTTAAATAATGACTTAATCGCTATTCAAACTTGGGCCGAATCTTTCGGTCTCTTAGTTAATGCAAAGAAGTCTCAAGCAATAATTATTGGCAGCAGGTTAAGGTGCAGAATAGATTGGAAATCAGTGTCTGCGATTACTTACTCTGGAGTTCCAATTCCTTACTGCGATAAGGTAAGGAACTTGGGTCTCATTATGGATTGCAATATGACTTGGACACCTCATATCAATGAAGTTAGTAGGCGTATGCACTTCACTTTCCATTCTCTTAAGCGTCTCCAATATTTTCTCCCCTTCAAAACCAAAGTTATGCTTGCGCAATCTCTTCTACTACCCATACTCGACTACGCCGATGTATGCTATTTAGATGTGACAGAGGAGCTACTGAATAAACTTGAGCGTCTCCAAAATCTCGCCATACGCTTTATCTATGGTCTACGCAAGTATGATCATGTCTCCGAATTCCGAGCTCAACTTCAATGGCTCCCTATCCGCCTTCGCCGTGATATGCACATCCTTTTGTTTCTATTTAATATTCTTCATAATCACAATTTTCCTTCTTACCTTCGTTTCCGGTTCAACCTGCTTCCGACTCCTACACGTTCCAGGCGGCCCTGCATCACATCGATGCTTGAGATACCGACAAGTAACACCAAGTTTTTACAAAACTCTTTCTCGGTACGTGCTGCAGTGTTATGGAATAAACTTCCTAAAATCCTACAGGAGAGCCCTTCTACAGCTGTGTTTAAAACGAACATAAAAAAGCATTTTCTAGCTCAATCTTGAACAATATATTTTTCTGTTTAACATTTATTTGCATATGTATGTTTATGTATATATTTATATGTACGTATATATTTATATAGTTTTAGTATGTATTAGATTACATGTTTATATTATATATCTATAATTGTATTTATGTATTTATGTTATATAATATGTATATAATTAAAATATGTATATGTTTTTTATATTTTCATATATGTATATTAATGTATTCATATATTTAACTTTTATTTATGTGTCATACTTATATACTTTACTATAACAAAAATTCTGCACTTTCTCTTTCTGTCCCGCTATTTAACACTATTTCCCACATGCATGGGTTGACTGGAAGAGATCTCTTATAGAGATAAGTCCACCTTTGTCCACGTCACTTTCTATGTATTTTGTTTTTTATAATTTATTTGTGCAATAAAGAATATATATATATATAAAGAATATATACTATTTATTCGATACTCTCTTATTAAATTTTTATTTCCTTAAACTTAATAAAATCGATCAAGTGCGAGTCGAATTCGCACACGAAGGGTTCCGTACCATCGTACATGCACTTTTTATTAATATGACTCTTACTCTATAATATAATATGTAGTATATTAACTTCGATGATCGATTATGAACGTTGAAAAATCTTTCTTGTTTTTTATTTTCATTATTTGTTGTAATAACGGCAATTGAAATACTTACATATTCTGTCAAAATTTCAACTCTCTACCTTTTACGGTTCATGAGATACAGCCCTCTGACAGACGAATAGGATTTCACTGGCACCCTTTGGTTACGGAACCTTAAAAAAGGAAAAATTCTAGTAAAAAAACTCTCCGTGTTCAAGTAGCTACATTATTATACTATTTTAGTGTAAAAACTTAAAAATTAGGTTCACAAGAAATAAATAGTGCTTTTGTTTCAGAATAACAATTTCAATAATACAACTGAGTGGACTACAGAAAGGCCTTCAACGACAGAATCAAATCCCCTGTGTATATTCAAAGATCCTCCCAAACCAAACTTTAGTGCGCCTGGACGAAGGATTAGTGCAGCAAGTATGAATTATTTTATCGGATTACTATTATAATTACGAAAATTTGTACGTGTGCGTAAGTGCTTGTATGTGTGAGTGCGTGCGTGCGTGCGTGTATGCGTGCGTGCGTGCGTTTATGCGTACGCGCGCGCGTGTTTATGTGTATGACCTGGAGTAGGTATAGACTATTGTTAGTCATCTAGGCACGTACCAAGTGAATTGAGGGTAAGTCCCTAGCAATTTTATAAAAAATGTTTTGAGTTGTACAATTTTACAAGTAAATCGCTGTATTTATTAAAATGATTTCCTAATATATTTATAAATAATATTTATTCCTAATATATTTATAAATAATATTATAGTAATATATTTAATAAAAGCTAACATGTATTAAAATACCTAAAATATTAAACTCGGCAGTTTAAGCTATTATTGGACGACCTTTATTGGCTGCAAAAATGATGGAGCCGAATTTATCTATCACGGTTGAGATAATATATCAATAGAGTCTGGAGTTCAAGGCTACTTTTAAAAATATCTCGAAATCGCAGATAAATAAATTTCACATAATTGACAATAGAAATTTTTTTTCTTTTCCAGAATGCTTAGAATATATTTGGGAAAGAAAAAACAGAGTGGACAAAAATATAAAAGTCACAGATTGTAAGTATATTTCAATAGGTTTTATTGATATATTCAATTAAAATTCAATAGATAAGTATTTATTTATAACGGCTCGTTCTTGGTAATCCATATCAATACTGATATAATAAATGTGAAAGTGTGTTTGTTTGTTTGTCCTTCTTTCACGTCTTGGCTACTTTTTACCGCGGGATATTATTTCAGTCCCACGGGAAAACACGTTATATTGTATTAACAACCCAAAAAAATAATTATAATCAGAATTACTTGAAACTTGGTACTAATACTCTTCAACACAAATAAATTCGTGTTTTAGTATTTTTGGAAATTCATTACATATGGGTGTAAAATAGGGGATGGAAGTTTGTATGAAACCTTCCTTTTTAGAGTTTTTTTGTAGTTTTAGCGCGAGCCAAGCCGTGGGTTCTGCTAGTATTTGTATAAAAATACTTTACCAGATCAAAGCTCAAGCTGTTTATTTGGATCCATTTATATGTTCAAAATTTAACTGAGCTATTTTTGTAGTATCAATTATAGCTTATGTTATTTAAGACACTAAGGAGTCACAAAAAATACTATCCCGAAAACTTCTATGAAAAATGCAAAAAAAGTGACGACAGTTTGGCTCAGTAACAGTATAAGTACCCTACTTAATGTGCCAATGGTCGCGGGTTCGAGTCCCGCTGGAGGGCATTTATTTCTGTGATGAGGACGAATACGTACTCCAGTCATTGGTGTTAATATTTATATATACGCATTTAAAGTTATATATGTATAGTGTATCAACTATCTGGTATCCATAACACAAGCCTCGTAGTTTATAATGGAAATAGAAAAAAAGAAAAAGAAAGAAAAAAAAAGTTTTTGAAGTTATACACTTGACGTATCTAAAAATTATTCCACACTATCCACTGATATCAGAACTAAAATATAAAAATACCTTTAAAATTAAACCTGTTATAAGACAACCGAATTAATAAGAATCCCATATTTTAGTGCAGGATTTGACCTATCTATGCTAAGTTTTATCTAGTATAGTATTATATGATCTGTGGTTTTATCCAAATATGGTAATTATTTCATTTTTCACTTTCATAACAAACATCCTTAAAAGCTTTTTCTATAATATAATTGTTATTTTGCTTTTTTATATAGGTAATCGTGATTTGATAAAGAACCGAGGGTCTAACGGACCTTACTTCGTTGTTGGAGGCATAGATACTTTAACTGGAGAATATCCGCATATGGTATATTATTTTATGATTCATTTGAATAATATGTCGTAATCTATACTAATATTATAAAGAGGCAGAGTTTGTTCGTTCGTTCGTTTGTTTGTTTGTTTGTTTGTTTGTTTGTTCGAAAGGACTAATCTCAGGAATTACCAATCCGATTTGAAAAAATCTTCTTGTATTCGATAGCCCGTTTATTGAGTAAGGCTATGGCTATATATCATATAAAATATATTCTATCTATTCCATACTAATCGTTAAAACGTACCTAGGGACGAACCCGAGCGATGCGAGGGTATGTTATAGGATAAGACGGAAAGATTCATTCAGTAACCTTATCTAGCTGATGATTTTCAACGTAGCCATTGTTAAATATTGGAGTAAAATGAAAGCAAAATATAGTACCTATTATCCATACAAAGTGATGTTTTACTTAAGCCAACATAGACATAAGATTTAGTCATAAACATCCGCCTATTTTTAATATTTACAATATTTTATAGGTTTCTATGAGCGTAGATGATTGCAAAATCTAAAAAAAAAACATTGTTACACATATATTCTTGTGCGGTGTGAGATTCTAGGTGTAAATTGGACATAAGAAGTTTTGCGTCTTTTCGGCAAACAAACATATATTATAAATGCTAAGGGTCTTTTAATATGATGCTTTTTTAGGGTGGAGTAGGATGGAGAGCTCGAGAAGGAACATGGATATTTAAGTGTGGATGCTCCCTCATCAGTTCTAAGTTTACTCTAACAGCTGCCCATTGTACCAAATCACCTTTCGATACTAGGGTACAAAACCCTGTACCAGAAATCGTGAGACTAGGTGACAAAAATATTATTGATGTCGTAAGTATTTTAATAATATTCAATAATATATAGAATATATATTATAATGGGGTATTTATAAGTTTGGTAGAATGTAAGCTCATGCAGTGTTTATATGATTCTGGAACATCTCTCTCGAACATCTGGACATAAAGTCCGGAAGTCGAGTTCCTGGTGATACTAAGAATGGTTATTGGGTCTTTGTTCAGAAATTTTCAATAGCAGCGAGTTGAAAATTTGGGGATGGTGCTGTTAAACCTTCGTATCTGGCAGAGCATGAATGAGTGATAATTTACCGGAAATTTCGGTGGTCTTACCGCATTAGGAAAGTCAAAAAAAAATGCTGTGCCGTTGGCTTGCCTATTAAAGATTAGTCATATTAGGCAAAATTCGACCAGATTTTTTATAAATAACTTTCACTTCTTTAAACATAGATCCTGTTAAACATTAGTATACTGAAAAAGTTCGCTAAATGTGGAATGGCAAGTGCTAGAGCTAAAATAAAGCATGTTATCGGATTTATTTTCAATATTTGAAAAGGAATTTGAAAAAATATTAATATGAGCAGTAATATTATCAGTTATTTACATGTTTGTAATCCTACCTGGTTCATTTTCTTCCTTAACAGTTTTCCGAAGGACTACTGCCAGTTGACGTTAAAATTTTAAGAATAATAACCCATCCTTTCTATTCTCCGCCGAAGAAATATTTTGATATTGCACTAATGGAGATAGAGGAAATAATGAGCTTCACAAGTAACGTTCAACCGGCGTGTCTCTGGGGTCAGTTTGATACATCAAAACTTGGTACTTCAGCAACGTTAACTGGTTGGGGAGTTGTGGAAACAGGTAATGAATCGTGGGATTTACACAAGATATCATTCTACAATCGCAAATCGAAGCATTGTTGTACGCGAAATTATGTTAGACAGAAATAGTACTATAGGGATTTACTTTTTCAGCCTTAGTCGGTAAATTTGTATAAAGGAAAGGCTCGTGTTAAGAGTCAGTACTCTTCATGGTTAAAAACGATTATATATTAGATTAAATCGATTAAAGATTAGATTAGATAGATAGGACAAGGTCTAATTTTTCCCTAATGTTTCCTAAAAGTTACACCAGAGACTTATTTATTTATCAGATCACCGTGTTTAATATGAAAACGATTCCATGGCATCCTTTAATGGCGATAAACGTTCCAGTGAGTTCATAGTGTGTAACATTGGTTTTTATACATAGTTGTCTTAAAATCCAAATAGGATGTACGTAAATATGTAGACTATATAGAATTGAAATGGCTCAATCTAAGAAATAAGTAAAAAAAGTTTTTGTTTTATCTTAGCTAATTTTCAGATAATTTCTGTCAATGTCAAGTATTAATTAGATTTCAGAATTTTTATGCACTGGAACTGGTAAATTGATACTCCAGGCAGCTCTGTAGTATGTCAGAATTCTCTTTATTGATATACATATAACTAGCTTTTTAAGTTAAATAACATATTTTTTTCTAATTTTAATTCTAGCTACAAAGATAACATCTCCAAAACTTCAGGCAGCTGTAGTAGATGTTATAGATTTAGAGCAATGTGACGCCTTGCTCCGGCCAAGTTGCAACAGACATTGGTGTGGAGTACAGGAGCACCAGATATGTGGTGGAAAACTGTCTGGGGGTGTAGATGCGTGTCAGGTATATATTAGTAATAGGTAGGTATAGTAGTAGTAAAATAGCCTGGAGCGAATTTTTGGTGACGACCCCTCTGGGGCGTGTTTGTTAATATGTTTTATGGTTTAAACATATATTACGCCTAGAACAAATGTGAGGGGTCCACCACATAGATCGGGATCTTAGACTATACTTGTATCTATACTTGTCAAAAATAAAATATCAATTAAAATGTCGTACAGAAAGGTAAAATTTGACTCATCCTTTCAATAAACCAGACATAAATGAATATTTAGGCTTTTTCATTATAAATGGCAAAATATTCAAGGCTTCTATAGTGAAGTAAACAATATATTTGGTTTTTGTTTAAATAAAATGTAACAATTAAGGATTATGATAATTAATAATTTGCTTCCGGTTGCTGTGAGCTAGCGGTAGTGAAAGTTGCTTGATATAATGAAATAAATGTCTTTAAGGACTTGGTCCACTTTGGAAAATATGTACAAAGAAAACGAATTATAAAAAAGATCATAGAAATAAAATATGACTTTAAAATGTCAGTCTGTTTGTAATATGGGACTCCTCTTATTGCCGAATTGAAACCAAAATTTTGATTTTTTTTTAAATATGCTCTAACAATATTTTTCAGGGTGACTCTGGAGGTCCTCTACAAGTAAAAATTCCTCTCCCAGAATCAAGTGAAGGTTCCATGCATTTTCTAATAGGAGTGACGTCATTTGGTATAGGCTGTGCATTACCAGACCTCCCCGGGGTCTACACCAGGGTCTCCAGTTTCATAGACTGGATTGAAAGCATTGTTTGGCCGGAGAACTAAAAATACCTTATGAAAAAATATATTTTATTATAATTTATATTGATGCAACGAATACCATTTTTACGAATACGAATACATATTATAATATTTTATAAAACGAAAAAAAAAACTCTTTTATTTTAATCAGTCTGTTATTTTGCTCGAAACCTAATATCTACCTCTGATTAAACTTACATAAAAATAATATATAAAGAGTTGCCTTTTTATTTTTTTAACTAGCGACTCACTCTCGCTTTGCTCGGGTTCGTCCCTAGGTGCGTTGTTATTTTTTTGAGCGAAACCCTAATTCTTTTTCTAAAATAAAAATAGCCTATGTTACTCCCTTTAACATCAGCTATCTTCTAGTGAAAGTCCCGTCAAAATCAGTCCAGCTGTTTCAGAGATTTTCCGGAACAAACAGACGGACAAACAGACAAAAAATTAAAAAGAATATGTTCATATGCATTTTAATATTATATAGTTAATATGCATTTAGTAAAACGCTGTTATTTTGACATTACATACAGACACTTCAATTTTATTTATCTGTATAGATAATCGAAACCAACCGCAGGTAAATTCTTATTTAAAAAAAAAACAGTGCGTTAGTTTGTAGGAAAGAGACGGGAAGTGTAAGTCTTCTCGCCAAAACTTCATTGAATCGGCGCTTGGTAGTAAAGGCTGTTTGTGATAGGCATGTTATGATTTGAATGTTATGTTTTTGATAGAATTAGTATTTCATTAAAAACATGCAAAAAATGCAATAATGATAATAGTTTATTATCATTATAACTCTTCACTTCAAATCGATGGGTCACGTTTAAGATTTTGATGTTAATGCCCAGCTCGGATGTAAAGATTTTGGGAGGGCCTATCATTAATCATATTTGATACACTAATAATCATATAAATTATTCATTATATAAAATAAGGTTTTATATGTATTATTGTAAAATAATTATTTGATTTTTTAAGTTGTTATTCTGATATAAAATATTTATTTGAGTTTTCGGAAGTTGTCATCTTGAGTAGAAAACGGGAGGTAACAGCGTGGTGTTTCTTTAGGGTTCCATACCCAAAGGGTAAAACGGGATCCTATTACTAAGACTCCGCTGTCCGTCCGTCTGTCTGTCTGTCCGTTTGTCACCAGGCTGTATCTCATGAACCGTGATAGACAGTTGAAATTTTCACAGATGATGTATTTCTGTTGACGCTATAACAACAAATACTAAAAAAAACAGAATAAAACAAATATTTAAGGGGGCTCCCATACAACAAACATGATTTTTTTGCTCGTTTTTGCTCGATATTGATAATGGCAACAGGTAGATGCTTGAAATATTCACAGAATATTTAGCTATATTCACTTTAAAAATAAATAATTAAATTAAAATGAAAGAAATATTTAGGGGGGCTCTCATACAACAAACGTATTTTTTTTTAATAGATAATGGTACGGAACCCTTCGTGCGCGAGTCCGACTCGCATTTGGCCGGTTTTTATGACTATCAGAATGAGCCGCTAATTTATCATATTTTAATAGTGAATTTTAAGGATATTATTAAATATTTAAACAAGTCACTGGGGGAAGTCCCGATGTAATTTTTTATGTCGCGCCTTAGCAATAAAGCGAGTTGTTATTTATGACTTTTATTGAAAAGACCGGTTTTATTATATAGAACTCAATAAAACATAACGAATAAAAAAAACCTATTGAGGCTATTTAAATAAGCCCAAACACGATATCTCTGTCGTTATTTATGATAAAATTAGTATTTTATATATGTAAATTGTTATGTATGTTTATTTATATTATGTTTTAATGACTTGCATTTTATGCACCTTTCCGCTCTTCTCACTTATTTTTTTGTATCCTTTTCGATAGATTGCTTTTAGAAATAAGGCCGCCTTTGCACATTTCTTTTATTTGTATTTTTTCCTACCATTTTCGCGTGCAATAGTGTTAGAAAAAAAAGATATATCTGCAGTATTTTAGTAAAGAGTAATGTATCTTGTAGATTCCAGATGACGCTGCAGCATCAGGCCAAGGTTACCATATCGTTGCAATGTCTTTAAAGTAACGGGATACCAAGTTTCGAATGGATTAGATCTGTGGAAATTGTTCATATCCTTTAAGCTTCTAGAAAAGGGCTGATAGCCTGCAAATGGTCGAACGAATTTTCTTGACTTATACTCGTAGCTAAGAACAAGAGTATTCTCGATGAAGTCACCATTTTTAAATAAAAAAAACTAAATTAAAATTGGTTTATCCGTTTAGGCACTACGATGTCGCAGACCGATACACCGATACATACAACTTACAACTCCCCTCTTTTTGTGTCGTGGGTTGAAAATGCATTAAAAATTATAATTTTTGGTTAATTTTATTACTATTTCTGAAACTTTGTATTACTCCAAGCCTTTTACTCATAGTCTACTTGTATAGCTACTGAATTTCATCCGAATTCGTTCAGCAATTCTGTGAGTCTATTTCCGTGGGATAGGAACGCTGTATATTAGCTACTAGCGGCTTAACCTCGCTTCGCTCGGGTTCGCCTCTAGACAAACAAAAACAAATCAAAAAAAAAAATTGAAAAATATCTAAACTGTTGACCGGGAATATAATGTACCACCATGCAAAATTTCATTTAAATCGGTCCAGCAGTTTCGAACAGATAGTTTCAAACAACAGACAAACAGACAGAGAAACAAAAAAAGAAATGAAAAAATCTGGATTTGTTCTACTTTTCTTCTTACATCCCCCTGACTTAATTTTTAGCATATTTTTTCTATGTACAGACATTCGACCGCTACAGTTCTATTATATGTATAGATATGGTGATATTTAACACAAATTCACTTTTTGTTAGTTTATAAACATATGAATTACTTAAGGACATACGGTATAAAAATAGTACCTGTTCGCAACAAGGGCGACTACAATCTATATCTATAAATAAATAAATGTGTTGGGACATTAACAGAGCACAATCTAGTTACAGCACTAGTAAGTAAGCTACGACGTTTGTGTTATGGATACCAGATAGTTGATACACTACACATATATAACTTTCAATACATACATATTATATATATATATATATATATATATATATATATATATAAACACCTATGACTGGAGTACAAACATTCGTGCTCATCACACAAATGAATGCCCCCAGCGGGACTTGAACCCACAACCGCTGGCACACCAAGTAGGGTCGCTACAAGCTGAGCCAAACGTGTCGTCAAAATGTACATAATATATTCGATCTTATGTTCCATCACCAACAACTTAACAGGTCAATCACACCACCTTTGGCCTTCGCCGCCTTCGCCTTCGGAAAAACAAATTATAATCGTTTGATTTATCAAAATACACGCGTCGAATTAAGAGAACTGACGTATTTTTGTACAACTAGCGACTCACCCTCGCTCCGCTTGGGTTCGTCCCTAGGCTGATTCCCCATACAAACTTTCATCCCCATTTTCACCCCCTTAAGGGACGATTTCCGGGATAAAAAGTATCCTATGTCCTTTCCAGGGTTTCAAACTATCTTCTTACTAAATTTCATCTAAATCGGTTCAGTAGATCCAGAGGTTACCCCCTACACCGTCACAATCTCAGAAACGAACAATTCACAAACTCACAAACTTTACCTCTTTATAATATTATAGTATAGATGTACATTCCTAATTCCTTATTATTGAAGAAAATCCATACTTAATATTATAAATGTGAAAGTGTGTTTGTTTTTTGTTTGTTTGTTTGTTTGTTTGTCCTTCCTTAACGTGGAAACAGAGTGACGGATTGGCGTGATTTTTGTGTGGAGATAGTTAAGAGGTCTGGAGAAAGACATAAGCTACTTTTTACCGCGGGAGACTATCTCATTCCTACGCAAAATCACATTTTAATACAACTCAAAAAAAATTGTGATCAGAATTACTTGAAATTGGGTATTAATGCTCTTCAATACAATTAAATAAATACGTGTTTTAGCATTTTTCGAAATTTATCCTATAAGGGGGTAAAATAGGGATGAAAGTTTGTATGAAACATACATTTTTAGACTTTTTTTTGTAGATTTAGCGCAAGCAAAGCTGCGGGTTCTGCTAGTATGTGCAAAGATTTGTCATTATTTATTATTATTAGTAAAAAAATTATTATTAGTAAAGATATGTTTTAAGTAAATATAAATAGTTATTGCGAGTGTTCCTTAGGAGAAAGAGTTATTCTATTGCAGATTTTTCTGTAGGCCTTATGAAGTACTACAATTTTCTAGTGCATTGTTTTGAGGCATCTCTTAGGTTTAGCCAGCATTAGATATTATGTAAATTTCAAAAAAACGACTCGATAGAACCAGTTTTTGTGCTTTCCCGTGGCAATGAAAGATTTTCCTGTAATAAAAAATATCCTAAACGTTGATCATTGCACAAAGTTAGGCAAAATCAGCCCCGTACTTTTTACGTGAATTGCGAACACACAAACAGACATACAGACAAAAAATTTAATAACTATAGTTTTGGGGTCTATATTATATACACAATACGTTACCGCCATTGTTTTTAAATAATATTTCATGTACTGATTTCGCTAAGTTATTATTTTACTATACGTACTAGCGACTCACCCTCACTTCGCTTGGGTTCATCCCTAACTTGTTTCCCAATAGATACTTTCATCCCCATTTTCACCCCCTTAAGGGATGATTTCAGGGATAAAAAGTCCTATCTCCTATCCTATGTCCTTCCTGGAGTCTTAAACTATCTCCTTATCAAATTTCATCTAAATCGGTTTAGTAGATCCAGAGATTACCTCCTACGACGTCACAAACTCACAAAGTTTTCCTCTTTATAATATTAGTATGATGATGTTCTCCTAGCCGATTCCGGCCACGGCGGCCAATCTCAATGAGATTAGCCAACTGCGCAGGAGATATTATAGTGCTCAAGTGTACGCGCAGACACAAGTGCACTCTCTATTCCTATCACTCTCATACTCCGGTGGGACGACCACTCGACACGACCGGTGAGAGTTAAGGCGCAGGACCGACGGCTTTACGTGCTCTCCGAGGCACGGGGGTGAAACACCGCCAACTTCCCAACTCCGGGCTGTTACTGAGACTTACTATACAGGAAGACTCAATAACTAAACTTGGCCCGACCCGGGACTCGAACCCAGGACCTCCGGGTGTGCAACCGTACATGCTAGCCACTACACCACCGAGGCAGTTAATATTAGTATAGATTGATAATGATTAGGGTATTAACACTTTACCGCTGCGAAAAACGCTCGTCAGTTAATAAATGCGCGTGAAAAAAAACGCTCAATTTGTACTTAGACAACGATGGACATAATAAATATCTTGATAGGCGCAGACTCGTTTTGATCTTCAACAATACGAGTCGTCTATATAAATTATGTTAAAAAAAATTGAGAAAACTTTATAAAACAGGCTGTTGTGTTAAAATGTTAGTTATCGGTGTTTTGTTAAGTATTTTATTGGGTAAGTTATAATAAAGTATAATATATAAGTATGTATGCATATAAGTATATAATATATATGTTTATATGTTTGTATTACATTTGTGTGTATATTAGTATATTTATTTTTGTGTAGGTAACTAATTCGTTGCCGTTTTTTTAATGTGTATCTCGGAAACGGCTTTAACGATTTGGATCAAACTTTGTATTTAGATAAGGGTTTGTTTTAAGTTTATCTATATAGGTATTATATTTTATAAAATGAACCTATACCGTAATATTTTGACTAATTGTCTAACATCTGCAGGGTTTCTGGAAGAAATCTCTTAAAGAGAGAAGTTATCTTTTGTACACAAACTTTTCCTTTATTTTGTAAAAAAAGTATTTTTTTACAAAATAAAGGTTGTTATATATTCATTTATATTGTATTTTTGTTTTTGGTGTAATAAAGGATTAATAAATATTTTTTATGGTATAAATAAGTATCTAAATCAAAAATTTATGCGCAGTTGAAGCAAAACTTCTTTGGTCGCTGCAGCAGACACCGCAATTAAATTAAAATAAAACAAAATAGGTATACATAATACATATTTTGTTATAAAATTATTAGTAATAAATATTTATTTTTAGAAGTAGGTACTAATTATTATATAATAAATATATATATTTATAAATAAAAATAATAATTATTATAAAAATACAAATAGGTATAATATATTTTTTTTAAATCCATAGTTAATATTATAAATGTGAAAGTGTGTTTGTTTGTTTGTTTGTTTGTTTGTTTGTTTGTTTGTTTGTTTGTTTGTTTGTTTGTTTGTTTGTTTGTTTGTTTGTATGTTTGTTTGTTTGTTTATTTGTTTGTTTGTTTTTTTGTTGGTCCTTCTTTCACGTGGGAACCGAACGACGGATTGACGTGTTTTTTGTGTGGAGATAGTTGGAGGGCTGGAAATAGCAAAATGAAATGTTGGGATATATTAAGGACCCCGTCACGATTTGTCTATTATAAATAATCCACCTATAAATAGATATTTAATGCTATAGTTTTGTTATTTATCTAAGAGTTATATAATAACTTGGTAGACGTCAAGACCGTAATTTTGCACTTAATCCTTGTCTATCATTCTGCATCTATTTTAATTTAATATTTTTATTCCGATTTACATTTTTGTGTGAAAATAAAATGTACGTATAAAATCTATAAATAAAATTATCTTTTATTATGGAATTATGAAGCAATAGATTTATTTCTACATTACTTTATTTACATTCTAATAGGCTTGATCGAATTGGATGAAATTATTTTTATAACTTAAGGGTAGGTTTAGATGGTATTTAATTAAAATTGGACCCGATAGAGGGTGCTGCTATCGAAATTCAGTTTTTTATATTATTATATTGTATTATTTTTTTATATTATATTTAAATTTTCGACCGAAAGAGTTTTGTGGCTGTCAACATCTGCCTAGCGGGTTCGTTTGTATAAAATATATATTACAGACTAGCGACTTACCTAACCGATTAGTGACCGAGTAGAATAGATAGACTATATACGGTTATAAATATATATTATTTTTTCTAACTTAAAGCAATCCGAAGTAGTGACTCCCATACAAAATAACCATTTCTGAACTTTTCGACTTTCCAGCTGTTGTTACGGGTTTGTCTATTTTTTATATTTTAACCAACCCTGATATACCTCCAACAAAACAAAAAAAGAATTATTCAAATCGGTTCAGCCGTTTTTGAGTTTTAGCGAGACTAACGAATAGAATAGTAGAAAAAGTGTTTAGGGAAAAAAAAACAATGTCATTGAACTTATTACTCATCTCTTTGCGATAAATAAGATTGATCTTTTCTTACGTTAAAACGAGATATTTATAATATCTGTATTTTATAGTTTTGTAATTTCGAAGCAATTATTATGAAATTATAGTACCAAGACATTTCGAAAGACATTGCTCTATCTAAATAGGTTGTATTTGTGTTGTTGAGTTCATGCATTTTTTTTATTGCCTCCGAATTTGACCAATTTTCCGTGTTATTTTTTTGCTTATAATCTTTTATAATAGTTTTTTTTAAATAATATCATCTAAAATTTAAAACAAACAACAAACAACAACAAACTGGCAAAGATTAAAATAACTCGAATTCATATTTAAAATAAAAAAAAACCTATTTTGGTGTTTATATTATATTATTTGTTTTTTTTTTTACATTTCAAGGGCACTAGTATTTTATTATAATTAAATTTTATTATATTTTATCTCATCTAACGTTTTCATAGCAATATACTAAATATACAATTTTTTTATTTTCCACTCAATTTGTTTATTGGACTTGTTGTAGTTTTATGCCACAACAGGAAAAAAGTGCTAATTGGCTAAGGTGGGTGGTCTGAGATACCAAGAGTATAGTACAACTAATAGATTTTTTGTGATGGCCATTTAACGTACCATTCAAAGATTGCGTGTTCATATTAAGGAAAACTTTTAAATAAAATAATAAAAGCCGATTTCCATGCACTAAAATGTAAAAAAATAACTTAACGGGGGTTTTCCTTTAGAATAGATACCTAATCAGATATTTTCAAAGTCGTTCCCAGCCGACAATATTTTAAGATATGAATTTGAATATGTAATACGTAAATATGTATTTTACGTATCGTATAATATATGAGATTTGCTTCGCATCGGCTGGCACCGACTTCGATTCGATTAAGTTATTTTTTTACATTTTAGTGCCTGGAAGTCGGCTTATTTTAAGTTTTCCGTTCCGTTTTTATAAGAAATACTAATAAGGATACTTGATTTATTTATCATTTTTTTTGTTAGGAATTACTAAACTAATCATTACGCGATAATGTCCTGAAAGGTATATACTCGTATAAACTGCCTCGGTGGTGTAGTGGCTAGCATGTACGGCTGCACACTCGGAGGTCCTGGGTTCGAGTCCCGGGTCGGGCCAAGTTTAGTTATTGAGTCTTTCTGTATAGTAAGTCTCAGTAACAGCCCGGAGTTGGGAAGTTGGCGGTGTTTCACCCCCGTGCCTCGGAGAGCACGTAAAGCTGTCGGTCCTGCGCCTTAACTCTCACTGGTCGTGTCGAGCAGTCGTCCTACCGGAGTATGAGAGTGACAGGAACAGAGAGTGCACGTTGTGTCTGCGCGTACACTTGTGCACTATAATATCTCCTGCGCAGTTGGCTAGTCTCAATGAGATTGGCCGCCGTGGCCGGAATCGGTCAGGAGAACATCATCACTCGTATAAAACAGAAATTGACAGTTTTGTATCAAAGGTAAATTTCTAAGAAATTAATTAAAATTCTAAAAAACCTATTGTTAACTGATACGCCGGCGTGTCCGCGGTCGTGAGCGATTAAAATTAATTTGTTTAGATTATTATTTTTGGTGAAATCGTCAAAACATTAATACAATAAAGCCTTAATTGTTATGAAAATATGGATTTTACACAAAACGGCTGTTTATTATTCGTTAAAGGTATGTTTATCTTTTGTAATGACTTATGGTAGGGGAGCCCACGAAGCTAAATGGGGATTTACTCGAGCGTCGTAGAGACCTATTGGGATGCAAAGCTTAGATGATAAGAAGAAAAAAATGCTATATGATATATTATACCTTTACATCGGTGGGGGAAGCGGCTATAGATTTTTAAATATGTAAAAAAAAACTGTTGCATAGACATCCTCGAGCGCGTCAGATATTGATAGCATAAATGCCCTACGTATTTTTAATAATGTACGTATGTTAATCTGATCGTTTGCATGATGCGGGTGGTTGTATTTAAGGGTTGAAAATGAAAAAAAAAAAATTTAATCGAGCGCGTCAGATTTTCTAAGGGAGTGTTAAGTGCACCAAAAAAAAGCTCTCATTCACTAATCTGACGATTTCGATGGGACGCAAACTCGCGGCCATTTTCATAATGTGCAAAAAAAAAATCGCCATTTTGAAATACTCAAGCGCGTCAGATTAAGATATATATGGTTCATCTTTATGTTCTAAACGTACTGTCTCATAATCTGACGATTATCTAGAGGGATTCGCCTGATCTGACAAAAAAAAATTAGAAAAACGGTTCACCTTAAAGGCCATACCTGCAACTTCCATGAAAACTACCAATCAGTTATTTTTTACTTTTTAGTGCTTTTGTGATTCTAACGTGTTAGGCTTGTCAAATCAAACAAAATAAGCCCAAACTCAAAGTATCTACTATTAGCCGTTGAAGAGTTCCACCTATCCACCTTCTGGCCTTGCCATCAGATCAGGTCAACAACACCGAACCACTGTACTATCAACGGAAATAGAAATACTTGCAAAGTTTCAAGTCAATATGACAATTAGAAGTAGGTTAAATTCATCATTAGTAGTTTTTCCACCCTTAGGGGTGGTATTTTTTTTGAAATTTAAATGGGACCAATCTGGAAGTATACCCTTTCAAACGACACAAAAATTGTCCAAATCGGTTAATAAATGACGGAGTTCTGAGGTAACAAACATAAAAAAAAAAACATACAGTCGAATTGAGAACCTCCTCCTTTTTGAAGTCGGTTGATAAACTAATACAACAGGGTGTGCGAATAATTCGAACTTACGAATTATTCGTTCCGAATCGAATATTAATATTCGATTCGAAACTCGAATCGAATAATTCGAAAAATTTCGAATAATTCGAACATATATTGCAAATTTAAAAAATGAGCAATTGTTTTCTCTGGGTAATTTATTTTTAAACGAAAAGTATATTATTCGTAAGTAGACTATTTTGACACACGATTTGAAGGAATTTAAATGGATACAATTGAAGATCCAGAGATATTTCATTAATTCGCGAATTATTCGAAAACTTTCGAATTATTCGAAATTTTTACGAATTATTCGAAATTTTTCGAAATTCGAATCGAATATTGATATTCGATTCGATTCGAAGGATGTTCGCACACCCCTAGACTCTTTATGATCAGCTGTGATGGTGTCATGGCGGCAGAAACCAGAGTGGGGACGGAGTGAGAGAGTAATAGATAGAGAAAGAGTGAGAGAGGAATAGAAACGCGGAGAAGGAAATGTAGGCATCACGCAGCTGCACGCATTTAACTTTATCGACGAATTTTGGTTATTTCGGCTTGCGGAAATCGTCAGATTATATATTTTTCATTATTCTTGCATTATTTCCTTCAAAATAAAAAAAAATTTAGCTACGCTCGAGAATGTCGAGATGACGTTTTTTTTTTACAACTTTGTTGCCCTCCCCTTTTTTTACGTCACTCTCAAATTGTCAGATTAGTGGAATATACACTTTTTAGGATGTAATTAACTCACCCTACCTTAATCTGACGCGCTCGAGAATTTCTGGTGGTCAATTTTTTTTTACTAATCTGATCCTGTATTCTTCACGGGCGGCCTTATATATGGGCCTCATGTTTTGTGGAGGTACTTAACCGGGTACAAGGTATCCCCTTGTATATTAATCTGCCGCGCTCGAGTAACTACAGAAAATCCCCTCTTGGGCTCCCCTACTATTATATTATAGGTATTGAAATGATCTAACTTAGTTTCTATAACTTTAGACTCCTCCGTTTCCTTAAAAAAATTATATATTTCAAATCCTCCTTCCTCCCTATCACCTCCCGTATCCAAAAATACTACCCACTTCTCCAGGGACCGCGTCCCATATACTAAACTCGTGCCGGCATTTGTATTATATTTTATTCAATTTCTTACTTAGCTGCTTTATTAAAGGGGTCCATAACAAAAGGTCTATAATCAATATGGCTTCGAATTAACGAACTGTACAATAATTTTAGTGTACAGTGTGTTGTACGGATATGCGCCCCACCACACACTAGACACATACGCATTTTTTAGTGATACATTCAGTATGAGCAATTCTATTCAGAGTTTTATCTAATAATGCCTAGGAATTTAATACTATCAGTCAAGTAAATAGCTGTTATTTCGATATTACAAACAGACACTTAAATTTTATTTCTTTACTAAATCTTATAAAATAATATAATATTCATCAATCAAATCCTTCTTTATTTTCCAGTATCAAACGTCTACAGTACAAGAATATTCTCGAATGGACAAGTTCAGGTATGTACATACATACGTATTGTATGTTAAAAAGCTCTCCTGACATTTTTTTCGGTTTGCCTGAAAATTTTAAATTGTATGTTCTTCTTCTTCTCCCTGCCAATTTCCCAATCACTTGGGGTCGGCACAGTACATCTTCTGTACTGCCGATAGGATTTGGCAAAAGTTTTACGACCGGCCGCCTGCCTGACGTCAATCCTCGCCGTCAACCGTCTCTCTTTGTCTGGATGGTGTCGCGGAAGTCTTGTAATATATAATATGCAATTTCGATTTTTTTGTCTTTTAAAACATTTTTTATACTATTACTTAAATTTTTAAATTGTATATTATAAATGAAAAAAGAACTCGTCACTGACTTTCTTCCAGCAGTTCTTCTAAACACTAAGTTATTTTTTCTGAACTGTTGGTATAGTAAATAAAAAAGTACATTTCTGAAAGTATATTGTATTAAAAATGAAATCAGAGACAAAATTCGAATCAGAATATGAAAAAAACCCATGCTAATTTCATTAAAATCATGCTCACATAACTTGATATATGTGATTGTAGCACCATCAACTGTTTAATTCAGGGCTGCAACTACCGCTTTGTTGACATAATAATCAAATTTTTTTCTATCCCAATCTGAAATCCTTAGTGAAATCTCTTTGTTTGACGACAGTTTAATATGTAGATTAACTAGTTGAAGGCTCAGTTGGTAGTGACCTTACTTGCTGTGCCGGCGGTCGCGGGTTCGAGTCCCGCTGGGGGCATTCGTTTGTGTGATGAGCACGAATGTTTGTACTCCAGTCGTGGGTGTTTATATTTATAATATGTATGTATTTAAAGTTATATATGTGTAGTGTATCGACTATCTGGTATCCATAACACAAGCCACGTAGCTTATCATGGAACTAGATGGCGCTGTGTGTTGATGTCCCAACATTTATTATATTATTACTAGCGACTCATCCTCGCTCCGCTCGGGTTCATCCCTGGGGTGGGGTCTGGGAGGACCACCCTTATCCTTATCACTTAGGGGTATGGAAAATAGATAGTAGCCGTTTCTCAAACCACTGAATACGCATATAAAATTTAGTAAAAATCGTTAAAGCCGTTTCGGAGGAGTACGGTAACAAACATTGTGACATGGAAATTTTATATATAAGATTATTATATTTTATTAATAAGCCGTAATTTATTTTGTTACGGTCAAGGAATTTCGTTTGTTAATAAATAATTGTAATTTGTATTTTTTTAGTACAATCAACCATGGATGTGGGGAGGCGGGAACTTAAATCAGCAAAACGTATGTGATAAAACACAAGAATTTTAATATAAAGCTGTTGGTGCCTAATAGTAGCCTATGTATATTATAATATTTGATGCGATCAAGGAATTTTATTTGTTAACTAGCATAGCCCGCGGGTCCGCCCGCGTTTAGATGACCAAAAACCCAATTCTTAGGTTTTACATATTAGTATACTAGGTACTCTTACAATGCAGTTTTTGTATTTTTTCTCAGAAATGAGACATTTTCCCGCGGTAAAAAGTATGTTATATGTTGACCCGAATAACCAGCTATCACCATACTAAATTTCATCAAAATCCCTCCAGTGGTTTTTCTGTGATGCGGTAACAGATAGACAGACAGACAGACAAAAAGATCTAAAAACTATAGATTCGGCCTCTGTATCGATAATAATGTTTATTTCAATAAGATTTTCCAAAATATATTTATTGTACAGATTCGGCTTAGTTACAATTTTATTATATGTATAGATAAATCTTTGTAATTTGTATTTTTTCAGTACAATCAACCATGGATGTGGAGAGGCGGGAACTTAAATCAGCAACATGTAAGTGATAACACAATAATTTTATTATAATGCTGTTGGTGCCTAACAGTAACCTATGTTTATCGGTGTACAAAGTTTCATTCAAATCTAAACAGATTTAATCAAGTAAAGAGTGTTGGGACATTAACACACGGCACAATCTAGTTCCATGGTAAGATACGAGGCTTGTGTTATGGATACCAGATAGTTGATACACTACACACATGATGTTCTCCTAGCCGATTCAGGCCACGGCGGCCAATCCCAATGAGATTAACCAACTGCGCAGGAGATATTATACTGCTCAAGTGTACGCGCAGACACTCTCTATTCCTATCACTCTCATACTCCGGTGGGACGACCACTCGACACGACCGGTGAGAGTTAAGGTGCAGGACCGACGGCTTTACGTGCTCTCCGAGGCACGGGGGTGAAATACCGCAAACTTCCCAACTCCGGGCTGTTACTGAGACTTACTATACAGGAAGACTCAATAACTAAACTTGGCCCGACCCCGGAATTCGAACCCAGGACCTCCGGGTGTGCAGCCGTATATGCTAGCCACTACACCACCGAGGCAGTTGACTACACACATATAACTTTAAATACATACATATTATAAATATAAACACCCATGACTGGAGTACAAACATTCGTGCTTATCAAATGAATAAATGAATGCCCCCAGCGGGACTCGAACCCGCGACCGCTGGCACAGCAAGTAGGGTCACTACAAACTGAGTCAAACGTGTCGTCAGAGAAGAGTATTCAAAAAAACTTTGAATCCGAATATGAACAAAGCCTTGGTTGGCTAACTTCATTAAAATTATACTCTCATAACTTGATGTATGTGATTGTAACACCATCAACTGCTTAATTTAGGGCTGCAACTGTAGATTTGTTGATACAAGAATGTATTTTATTTTATTTTCTCTCCCAACGCGAAACCCTTATCTTTTTATCTGATGAAAGTTTAATATGCGGATTAACTAGTTAGTGTGCACTCTAACTGATTTAAGCATATTAACTGTTATATGTATCGTAATATATTTTGGTATGGTCAAGGAGTTTTATTTGTAAGTAAACAAATGTAATTAAATAATAATTATTATTAATAAATTATTATTAATATTATTATTATTTAATTTTTATTTAATTACATTTATTTATTTACAAATTAAATAATAATAATTTGTTTTTTTTTTCAGTACAATCAACTATGGGCATCAAGAAACGAGAATTTAAGGAAGCAACAAGTAAGTGATAGTACAAGAATTTTAATTTAATGGCTATTGGTCCCTAACAGTAGTATCACTCAAGGTCATAGTTAATGTGCAAAATTTTATTCAAATGTAAATAAATTTAATCAAGTAAATATTCTTCAAACAAATTTAGAATCATCTTCAATAACCATCCAGGTAAATTTCTAAAAAAAATAATTAAATTTCTAAGAAATCTATTGTTAACTGTAACGCTGTCGTGTCCGCGGTCGTGGAGGGATTAAAATTAAACTTTCAAAACCCGATGTATATATGACCTTACCACCATCAACTACTCAATTCAGGACTGCAACTGTAAATTTGTTGACACAATAACCTATTGTTACGTTCTATGAGTTCGGGAACGGAAATTAAAGCAAGTTTTTTGCACTACGGATGTTTTATTGCTCATGGTTAACAAGAGTAATTTGTTTCTCCAGATTATGTAGATAGTAGATTCACCTATACGCACAGTATAAATAAATAAATAAATAAATAAATGTTGGGACATTAACAAACAGCGCCATCTAGTTCCATGGTAAGCTACGAGGCTTGTGTTATGGATACCAGATAGTTGATACACTACACTTATATAACTTTAAATTCATACATATTATAAATATAAACACCCATGACTGGAGTACAAACATTCGTGCTCATCACACAAATGAATGCCCCCAGCGGGACTCGAACTCGCGACCGCTGGCACATTAAGTAGGGTCACTACCAACTGAGCCAAATGTGTCGTCAAAGTATATACACAGTTCTGACTAAATTCAGTCGCTGAACTCTAATTTTCACCACTAGTTACACTTTTACTATAACTTCACTCTACTTTTTTCACTTTTTACCTTTTTAGTAATTCTTCTCAGTCTTCACTTTGCTATAAAATTGAACTGATTTCTCGACACTGCCAGCCTTTTTATATGCATAAACAAAGAATATACTATTATTTGAAAATTCCAAACTTTTCTAGTAGTTTCAATTTCTTCCTGAATATTTTATTCCTTTCTTACTCTTACACGGCAATTTACGATTAGCTGTCCTTGTCTGTTAATTATCATGTGTTTTCACTGTCTTAGTATGTATAAAGCATGCTCCAGACATACCATTTTTAACTATTATTTTCAACCGATTTCAAAAAGGAGGAGGTTCTCAATTCGACTGTATGTTTTTTTTTTATGTTTGTTACCTCAGAACTCCGTCATTTATTAACCGATTTGGACATTTTTTGTTTTGTTTGAAAGGGTATACTTCCAGATTAGTTCCATTTAAATTTCAAAAAAAAAATACCACCCCTAAGGGTGGAGAAACCTACTTCTAATTGTCATATTGACTTGAAACTTTGCAAGTATTTCTATTTCCGTTGATAGTACAGTGGTTCGGTGTTGTTGACCTGATCTGATGGCAAGGCCAGAAGGTGGATAGGTGGAACTCTTCAACGGCTAATAGTAGATACTTTGAGTTTGGGCTTATTTTGTTTGATTTGACAAGCCTAACACGTTAGAATCCTTACTCTGCTACTACTACGTGCTTTGGCTAAGTAATTAAAGCCTACCTATTAAATACATACCTTATCAAATATTTTCGAAATCGGTGCCAGCCCATACAAAGCAAAGCACACCGACTTCGAAAATATTTGATTAGGTATGTATAGTAAATGAAAACTACCAATCAGTTATTTTTTACTTTTTAGTGCTTTTGTTTGAAGTCGGTTTTTGGTGTACACACTCTTCACTACGCGACACTATTTTATATTCTCTCTAAATCTGTAACCCTTAACTGGAATCTGTTTATTTGACGACAGTTTAATATGCAGATTAACTTATTAGTGTGCACTCTAACTGATTTAAGCAAATTAACCGTTATATTTATCGTAATATATTTTGTTGTGGTCAAGGATTTTATTTGTAAAATAGCGGCTCACCCTCGCTTCGCTCGGGTTCTAGGAAAACACTAATAGAGATCTATTAGTTCCCACGGAATCCGTTCGTTTTTCCCGGATGAAAAGTAACCTGTTGTTTGACCGGCAATATAAGGTATCAGAATGTTAAATTTTACTAAATTAGGTGCATAAGTTGTATAAGTTATTATAGTTTTTTTAACTATCCCACGAGAATTATTTAATTTTCCGCGATAAAAAGTATTTAAGATGTTGCCCGGGGATATAAGGTACCACCATGCAAAAATTCATTTAAATCGGTCTAATAGATTCGGAGATTAGCCCGTACAAACAGACAAACAGACAGAGAAATAAAAAATTAGAAAAAACCTGGATTTGTTCTATTTGTCTTCTTACATCCCTCTGACTCGGTTCTTAGCATTTTTTTTCTATGTACAGACATTCAACCTCTACAATTTTATTATAATATAGAGAAATAATTGTAATTTGTATTTTTCCAGTACAATCAACCATCGACGTGGAGAGGCGGGAACTCAAATCAGCAACTTGTAAGTGATAATACAAGAATTTTAATAGAATGGCTGTTGGTGCTTAACAGTAGCCTATGTGTCACTCCAGGTCATAGTCCATCTGTGCACAAAATTTCATCCTTTAATCAAGTCTTAACAAATCTATTGAGTTGTCCCAAAACTATGTACAAAATAGTTTATCACATTAATTATTTTGTATAGAAAATTTTCTCTGTTAAATTATAAAGGTTGATGAGGAAGTATTGTCAAAAAATGTTTTTATAAGTCATTTTTTTGCTATTTCAGTCAAGTAGGACCAAGTGAAAAATTACAGACAGACAATGATATATAGTTGCTGCTAAGCAATATCTTAGCCAAAATAAGTTCTTTTAAGTATCCCAATCCTTATATCCCAGTTTTGATTCACTCAACCAATTAATGCAGAGTTTGAACTAATCGGATCACAAGTTGAAAATATTTATCCATGTCATAGTCTGATTACCTGAGTGCGTTATTTTATTGCTTTTCATAGGTTACCAAGAGATACAATAAATGATATACATAAAATATGAAAATTAGTTCGTTGCTTTATCTTTTTTTAATAGATATAGCCACGGAACAACAGATAGACAAGATTTCTTAAAGTATTTTGTATATATATAGTCAACACTTTATTTGTATCTGACGATAAATTAAATTTATATTTTTGTAGCAAATCAAACCAGGTTCAAATAAAGTAACTACTACTACAGAGAGGGTCACAAAGACGAGTAATCCGGCCTGTGATTTCGTTATTCCTTCCAAACCGGACTTCAGGGCGCCTGGACGAAGGATAAGTGTAGCAAGTATGTTATATTGTTGAATATGAATTGTTTTAAACTAAAGCGAAATTTAAGGATTAAAGTACTTTCAAACTGATTCTTTGTGATTATGTGTAATCTTGTGAATGTATTATGACCTTTTTTTAGTAGCAATATATTGTATGTATTATTTGGACCAAGCAGGCAGGGGACTTTGTACATCGCTGATTTGCACGAATAACCACACATCTCAAAAATGTCACATGTTTTAACATAAGATGATCTAAAATAGTATTTTTTATAGGGTTAATACAACTTACAGCTATATTAGCAAAAATGACTCGGTGGTCTCTGTCATGTACGGCTGCAGATCCGAAGGCCTTGGGTTTGAATCTCGGGGAGTATCAAGCTTAGTTACTGTCTTTCTTTTAAAGAAGCCTCAGTAAGAGCCCAGAGTTGGTAAGTTGGCGACGTGGCACCTCCGTGCTTCAGAGAGCTTCTCAGTCAGTCTTGCACCTGCTCCCTCACCGGTTGTGTCAAATGGTTCCACCGGAGTACGAGAATGAGGAATAGAAAGTACACTTGTGCACTATAATATCTCCCGCACATTTGACTAATCTCAGTGACAGAGACCACCGTGGCCGAAATCATTATGTTGCAGAAATATCGTTTGTGTGATTCACATTTTTACAAACGACTTCATCTGCTAGCAAAAAGTTGTAGGTTTGTAAAATGCCTCTAATAAGCTCATAAATGTTTGTTAACCTTGACTTAATTTTCTCTCTTACTCTTACAGAATGCGTTGAATACATTTGGGAAAGAAACAACCGAGAAGATATTAGTACTAAAGTCAAGAATTGTAAGTATTTTCACTGGATTTTCCCTGTGATTTTGTAAGTTCACAACCTCTCTGTAACATTCACTGAACGATCTTAATTTGTTGGAGCGCATACAAAAGATTTGAAGTTTCACAATTAGAGTGATTCCATCGTTCGAATTTAACCGTGTGTATGAGTAATCAAAATGTATTATTATTTTTATAACATGACTCTCTATTATTGACAGGTCAGAAAACTTTGCCTATTGGCGATTTTAGAACAACCGTTGTTGGAGGAAGAGATGCTTTGCCGGGTGAATTTCCACACATGGTACAGTTTTATTATCTTTTGATTATGAGTATGTAAAAGAAACGAATTCATTTTGGTATGGGATAAATGCTTGGACAATTTAGCATGCGATGTTTAAATATTGGATAATCAATCACACTAGAATTATAAATGCGAAAGTTTATATGTGTGTGATGGAGTAAGAAAAATATTATTACTCCGAAATGGCTGACGGATTTCAACAAAATTTAATACACAGATACGATCTGGAGTAACAACTAAGAAACTGCTACAAATAAAATTAACCAAAATTTGACACTGCCTATAAGTATACTTAATTTATTCGGCAACTGGCTCAATCATTTGGAAGCATTTTGCTTATCTAGACTTCAAAGGTAAAACAGGCAATAATTTTTAGTGGCTAGTAATGGCTCTCGTCGGTGAGTTCAATACCGTAGAGCCACTGCTTTACTTAAATGCAATACGTAATATTAAAGAAACATTGCTATCCCATAGAAACCGCAATTTTCTTTATTAGCATACAAATAGTTATAGAATTTCATAAATAGTCCAAATCTGTCATAAATTTTATATCTACAGAGTTTACTCATTCTAGTGGGAACAGTTAAATGACATGTTGTATATGATTTTCAGGGTGGAGTAGGATGGAGAGCTCGAGAAGGAACTTGGATATTTAAGTGTGGATGCTCCCTCATCAGTTCTAAGTTTACTCTCACAGCTGCTCATTGTTCCAAATCAGCACGTGACACCAGTGTGCAAAATGCTGTTCCAGAAATCGTGAGACTTGGTGACAAAAATATTATTGATGTCGTAAGTATTACCCACCATTACCATTACCCATTAGTAACCCACAACTAGACAGAACATCCACCAATGGTATATTTGTTGTTGGTTCTTTAGCGTAGACCATGTAAAGTGAATCTAGAATGATTATATAAATGAATACATAATATTAAAAATTCTATATGACAACATATAAATTCAATGGAAATTAAAACTGAACTCATTTTGAGTTCCTGGATATTTTGAGTTAAGATCGCTAAAATTAAATTTATTTTACATATATCTTTAAGAAATAATATGAAATACGAACTTATTTTTGCAAATAATAAAGTATGTATTGCGAAGACGTGGGTTCTGCTAGTTTAATATAATTACCATGTTCCTGGGTTACAACTTAAGATTGACTCAAAATATGCTCGCAGATGTGAGAAATAAACGATTATAGATTTGACTAACCTTAGATTTTAACTATTGGTGTTTTAATAAATATATGATTTGTCTTTTTACAGTTTTCCAATAATTTACTTCCACGAGATTCTAAAATTTTAAGAATAATCGTCCATCCTAATTATTCTTCACCAAAAAAGTATTTTGATATAGCATTAATGGAGATAGAGGAAATAAAGAGCTTCACAAGTAACGTTCAACCGGCGTGTCTCTGGGGTCAGTTTGATACATCAAGCCTCGGTACTTCAGCAACGTTAACTGGTTGGGGAGTGATCGAAACAGGTAAAAAATTAGCGTATAATAATGAAAACTACGAGATAGAACGCAATGCTATTTAGTTACATCGTACAATTTTACTAGCAAATTATAAAAGTAAAATTAAAAAATAATACGATATACGTATTCTATATGGTTGTTGTATTCAGCCTTTTTCAAAGTCCCACTGTTGGGCACAGGCTTTCCTGCACTACGAGGGGGATCAGGCCATAGTCCACCATGTTGACCAAGTGTGGGTTGGCGGACTTCACATGTCTTTCGATAACTTGCTAGGATATCTCAGACATACAGGTTTCCTCATGATGTTTTCCTTCACCATAAGACAAGTGGTAATCATGTTGAAAATGATTTGCACATGAAAATATCAGAGGTGCGAGACACGGTCCTACAGGGTACATTTAATTATCATAACAACGGTAATATACTCATAAGTAAGCATAATCTGATTTTAGTAGAAGCCCTAAAGCATATAATTATTAAATCTAGTCGTCTTTAAAACTGGATTTCAGGAAAATTTTTGTTCTTAATTATTAGAAACATCGATAAAAAAAAGTAAAATAATCCAAAAAATAATTTGATTCAAAATGTCAACTATTCGCGTGAATGTAAGAAAGTACTGTATATATTTTTTAATTCCAGCAACCAAAAAAACATCTCCAAAACTTCAAGCAGCAACAGTAGATATTATAAATTCGGAACAATGTAACGCTTTGCTCCGGCCCTCATGTAACCGACTGTGGTGTGGAGTGGTGGACCATCAGATATGTGGGGGAAAGCTGTCTGGGGGCTTAGATGCATGCCAGGTAAAAATAATCTAGTCTATTGGCTTTTTAGACATTGTTAGCAATTCTGGTTCTAAGTTCATTGTAAGATTCGTGATATGTAATTGCGAGAATACTTTCCACCGGTGGTAGGACTCTGTCAAGCCTGAGGAGTCCAACTGGATGAGTTTCACCCAATTAACTATTTCTCCCGTAAAGCAACAATGATTGCATCGTTGTGTTCCGGTTTGAAGGATAAGGTAGCCAGCGCAATTACAGGCATGAGGCATATCATCTTATTCTTCACAGTGACAACGCACCTGTGGTTCTGCATTTTTGTAACATAAAACCTAAGTGCATGAACCGTAGGTGTTATAAGCGACTGGTACCGCTTTCCATGATGTGGGCATCTGTTTGTTTATCACTGAGCAGTGAGCACCATTAAAATAAAACTCTATTAAATAGATATTTAATAGTAAAAATTTAACTTTGATACAAAATAAGGTAGAATATGTAAAGAGGAAATATTATGTACTAGTGCAAAATTTTATTTTAATTTTAGATTGACTCGCGATGTTGAATGAAAGAAACCAAATATCCAAATTTAATGTTTTCGCGTGTTTATTTTTATATATAATAGTTCAGGTTTATAAGCTTTTATTATTTTTTGAATCAATGTCCTTAAATAAAGGTTGTTTAAAAAAACTAAAGAATCAAATTAAATTAGTAAAAATATTTGCCTAAAACATAATATATTTTATTGCAGGGTGATTCTGGAGGTCCTTTGCAAGTGAAAATCCCTCTCCGAGAATCCAGTGAAGGATCTATACATATTATTATAGGAGTGACGTCATTTGGAATCGGATGCGCACTACCAGACTCACCTGGGGTCTACACCAGGGTCTCCTCCTTTATAGATTGGATTGAGAGCATTGTTTGGCGAGAGTAATAAATACTTTAAAAAAACTATTTTTTTTAATTATTATTTTCATTTTATTCTTTCTTTATATATCTCTGCTACTGCCTACTGATTATATCTGTAAATCCCATTTGAGATAAATTGGTTTAAGAGTAAATTATCTGAATGGATTTTAATGAAACTTTACAATAATATAGCTCATATATCAGAATAACAAATAGGCAAATTTTTATCCCGGAAAAATATACGGTTCCCGTGTGATAGAATTGTTTTTGTTTTTTCAGAGGCGAAACCGAGCAAAGCAAGGGTGATCCGCTAGTGGAACAAAATTTCACTGCATAGTGTTATCGAATTAACTAACGTACAATTCAGTTTAGGTCGTTATTGCTTTATAGGATTATATCCCGTAAGTTAGTATCGCTGCGTGCTTTGTTCATATTCAGTTAAAGTATTTATTACTAGCATTACCCGCGGCTCCGCCCGCGCTCAGATGACCAAAAACCAAATTCTTAGGTTTTACATATTAATATACTCTTACAATGCAGTTTTTGTATTTTTTCTCAGAAATAGTATCCTATATGTTGACCCGAATAACCAGCTATCACCATAACAAATTTCATGAAAATCCATCCAGTGGTTTTTCCGTGATGCTGTAACATACAGACAGACAAAAAAAAACTATAAATTCGGCCTCAGTATCGATAATAATGTCTATTTCGGCTTAGTTACAATCTTATTATATGTATAGATAGCTTTAAATACGTACATATGAATATATATATATATATATATATATATATATATATAAATATATATATATATATATATATATAAATATATAATAGACTTTGTATAAAGCTTATCGCGAAAAAAGAATTGCGTGCAAGGTTTGAATAAAGTAGGTTTAAGGAAGGACAATAAGGTAATCCATTTTTGACTTTTCTAGAGTCATAAATTAACGATCAAAAACCTTCTATGTACGTGTTTAATGAAAATCAACGTTATGGCTTTCATATAAAATTGAATATTGCTTGGCGTCACTATAAATTCATCTTGTTACATAAGATTATAGTTAATGTAAGTGTTAAGAGAGTCCATAAATATAAGGAAATAAAAGGAATTTCTCTTTGTGTAAATTACCCCGTTAAAGTAAATTAATAAATAATAGTGTGTAATCATTATTGAATATTTGAGGAAAACATATGTGAATAGAATTTACCTATTTATATTAAAAAAAAAAACTGTTTCCATTTTTTTTTGTAGAAAAACTTCTTTATTATACATTGGAAAAATGAGTTTCGCGGAAGTGAGTGTTACGGAAGTGAGCGTAGCGGAAGTGAGTTTCGCGGATGTGAGGTCTTATTATTAATAATTTAGAATATATATATTTATATTTTAATAATTACTATTATTTATAAAATTATATATTAATATTTATAATTTTATAAAAAATATTATAATATTTATATTTTCATTTATTTTAATTTAATGCGGTATCTGCCACAGCGCCAAAGAAGTTTTACTTCAACCGCGCGTAAAGGTTACACGCACTCATTTTTTATTTATATAACACTAGCTCGTCAATAGCTTTAATATTAAACAATAAAAAGAAAATCGATAGACAAAAAGAGGAGAAAAAGCTACTGTACTATTTCGTCTTAGCATATTTATATATATTAACTATAATTTTAAATGTTTTATATTATGCATATTGCTGTAAAACATTCGAAACCTTAGACAATTATTAATTTACTAGCAGAACCCGCCCGTGGGAATTAGATGATCTCCCGCGGTAAAAAGTAGCCTATGTCACTCTTCAGCTCTCCAACTACATCCATAGAAAAAATCACGCCAATCCGTCTCTCCGTTTCAACGTGAAAGAAGGACAAACAAACAGTCACACATTCACATTTATAATTATATTAGTGAGGATTTTGCTTCTTTGACTTTGGATATAGACGCATGAAATATAATACCATTTCAGACTTCAATTACTTCTTCTACACGTTACATCTATCTTATTCTGGAAGATGAGTATACTTTTGAACCAAGTTGTTGGTTTCAAAAAGTTATTTAGAGATACGTACGTCTATACTTATTAATATTATAAATGTGAAAGTTTGTAAGTATGGATGTTTGTTACTCTTTCACGCCAGAACGGCTGAACGGATCTGGATGAAATTTAGCACAGAGATAGATTATAGTCTGAAATAACACATAGACTACTTTTTATCCCGGAAAAATATACGGTTCCCGTGGGATAGGTCTGTTTTTGTTTTATAATCAAATCAAACATATGTTGTTTGATAAAGCAATATTATTTTTTACTTTCATTATTTGCATATATAAATATAGTGTTGGTTAAAAGGATGTTATTCTTTAATTTTAGGTAAGACAATGTTTCATTAGCGATTCACTGTAAGTTCACATGAGGTCCTAATATAACATGATATTCGTGCCTATAATAATATCGTGGATTGTGCTACTGAGTTACGTAGAGGTAGCAGGTTTGATTTTTATACTAAAATCATTCTGTTATAATATTTATATGCAAAGACGAGCTTTTTATAAGCTTTCGTTTTAAATTATGTTATTGAAAAAAGCTTTTATTTAGTTGGAAAAATTGTACATCATTTGTGTGATGAGCACGAATATTTGTACTCCAGTCATGGGTGTTTATGTTTATAATATGTATGTATTTAAAGTTATATATATGTAGTATCATATCAACTATCTGGTATCCATAACACAAGCCTTGTAGCTTACCATCAAACTAGATGGTGCTGTGAGTTAATGTCCCAACATATTTATTTATGACTATTTCATCCATACCTGGAACTTTATTACAAAACTGTTAAATTTCTATATAACCTTAAAAATTTAAGTTCTTCTTCGAATAGCTCTATGTCTTCCTACAATAATCTAGGTCTTAAAGCTTAAACACTAGACAGGTAACAAGTGTTAGTCTTAACTCTAACCTTTACGTATACACTATTTGTGCATTTAGATTTCTAAAAGAAAAACAATCAATTTCCTTATATTGAATTAAGGTGAAAAATAGGTGTTTTGTGTGCATTACTAGATAATGTGCAAAAAATAATACGTGTGTGTGTACTTGTGTACGTACGTAAGAAGTCATACTTCTTTGACGTAACAGAACAAAAATAGCTAAAGATTTCATCCCATTTGTACAACTCTCTGTTTGTGAAAGGAATGCAGCTAACTTCATCATATCTTTTTCAGCTAGCTTCATTATGTCGCTTTTTGACTGTCGATGTGCGCGCGCACGGTAAAAATTTTACTCTCATAATTTTTTCCAAACGTGCCAAAAGAAGTACGAGTATAACTTCAAAAAATCAGACAATAGAGTTCTTGAAGCACTTTCAACTATTTTTTTATATCTAATAGTTAAACGTTAAATACTTTTTAATATCCTATCAAAACACTGTGCAGAATAATTTATGCTATTACTATAATAAATATAAAATAAGTAAATATTCCATTTCACATGTACATATGAGTAAAATAGAGACCCTTTCTTTTTGAAAACGACTAATGCCCGATTTCACCAACGTCACCTAAGTTTAAGGGATCCCTTAAGCATGGTTAGGGGGCTGTTAGGGGACAGTTTCTGTTTCACCGACAGTTAGGGGTCACCTAAATATTAAAAGGCCCCCTAAATTTAGGTGCTCGAAATATGGGCTTAAAGACGATCGTAAAACGAAATTTAATTTAGGGGCTAGTTTAGGGGACTTTTAAGCTAGGGATCCCATACGTAGGTGGTAGCTTATGGGTTGTTGGTGAAATCGGGCGTAAAACTCCTTATAAAACCTATGAATAGGATGTAACTGATATCATCACTCTATTCATAAAATTAACAAAAATAAGCCAAATCTCATTCGGACGGTAATTTGCTAACAAACACTGTGAAACAGTAATAAAGACGCAGTTTTATAGCATTGGTCAATCTTTATTGACATCCATTAGCTTTCAAGGAATATTGAGCTTATATAAGAATGTTGTGTGTGTGAGGCAGTGGTAGCTCAGTGGTAACGCGCTAGCTTGGGAAACCGAGTGAAGCTGGTTCAAATCCCGGGTCTCGATAATGATATTTTCATCTGCGAATCATTTCCTATATGGTTACCACTTGTCTTACGGTGATGATGTCGGTGAAATTTAATCTAAATCGGTTTAGTAGATATAGAGATTACTCCCTACAAACTCACAAACTTTACCTCTTTATATTACTAGTATAGATTACATTTACTATCTAGGGCAATGTTGTTTTGTTGAAGATAGCATTTCCAGGTTTACTTCCTACGGTCATACAACTTTGACATTAACTCGACATATGTATAATTTAGTACGTATCGATTTCGGCCACGTATTATACTATCTACGCATTTGGCCAATCGCACTGAGACTAGCTAACTGCGTAGGATGTTTTTTTTAATATATAAAAAAAATTATATTATATACAAGCGTTCGCCCAGCGGTCAAAATTCTAATTTAGCGAATTTAGCTATCTATGTAAAAAAAACCTAGCACTCACCCTTGCTTCTCTCGGGTTCTTCCCTAGCTTTCAACTTCTTTCAATACAAACTTTCATCCCCATTTTCACCACTTGTTTCACTTATTTTTAATTTCTCTCTTCATTATAAGAAAGTCAAAACTTAGTATGTATTTTTATCAACTTTTTTTTGATAAAAATTAAAAAAAAAACACATGATATCAAAATAACTTGAACAGATTCAAATGTTTTTGTGCTTCCTGGTTTAGATTTTTTCCTTGAAAATAATAGAGCCATCTTAATTACTTAAAGTAGTTCCTGCGCCACCGAGCTTTGCTCGGAGTTTTTGGTCAAAAGTACAATTTTCTTTTAAAACAAAAACAAAAAACTTGAATAAATACAAAAAAAAAACAAAAATAAATTATACCGTTGTATCCGACCGGGATTCGAACCCAGACACTTATTCAATCTTGCGCTTTGGCCGCTTGACCATGATGCTTATGCCCGAGCGTGCGAA